AAGCCACGCGGTTGTCTTCCTGTCTACTCTCCTCCTCGCGCTCAGCCCCGAGAGGTATTTCTCTCCTGCTGTGTCGTTCAGTGCCCTTGTTTGTATCCCTGGTTGCTATGGTGGTATGTGGAGATTGCGGTATCTGGGACTCGGGAGATTTGCGGTGTTGTCGCTTTTCTGCTGGATTGCCGTGTTTCTCAGGGGCGCTTGAATTAATTGGTTCCTCCTGTTGCTGACGGGCAGCAGGGGTTTCGCGGCTTTCGCTGTTTCTTAGATCGATGCGATGGTCAGCGTCATCGGAAGTTGTAGAAGCTGAGTGGCTCTGGAAGAGGGCTTTAAATACCGGTGCCTGTTCAACATTATGTGTATCTGCCTCGTTGTGTTCTCTCGGGGAAGGCGATGCTTCGTTCGTTTGATTGTGATGTGGGCTCTTAACTGCGCTCGCTGCACGTTCGCGCTTGAGGGCCGCTTTCAGTTCCACATACGCGCGCAGAATTTCCTGGAATCCTTTTAGTTGCTGGAGAATTAACTCGCGGTGCTCCTTGTGCGCCGTTGCCTCTAATGCGAGGCGGGCGTTAAAAGGCACAGACATACTTCGGCTCTTAATGGTTCCGCTGCTGCTTTCCGTCTTGTTTTATCTGTCTTCCAGGTTACTACAGCGTGTTGCACTCGTTGTAAAGGCTTCTGGAGCCACGACGCAAAAAGAGCAGAAGACTACAACTTCAACGGACTACTGATACTCTTCCCACGGAGCGTTGTTCTATGATGTGCTAGAAAGTCTTACAACAGTCGGAGGTGCCTCAGGCTGAAGTTTTACTTATATATGTGATGTAGCAGCTGAATGCGGCTTTTGAGGGGGGGGGGTCTTATAGTTCCTGAACAGGTATTTCAGAATAATAGCTGCTCTTTTGCCTATTTTGGCAGTTCAGTCAGTTTTAGTCATTAGGTAAAGCCTTTTCCTTCACGTGTCAAAAACACTTGCCACACTTCCAGCAAGTGTGATAACGTTTGTTATACCCAAACGGGTTGCCACCTCGCACGCTATTGGTGCTAGACAGATATTCAAAAACACAACTCGGACGATTCTCTGAAGTGTTTCTCGAATCCTCACATGAACGATAGAACTGCGGAGCTGACAAAGCGAAGAAACAGCGACAATAAAGAACGTGGAAAGAGGATTCATTGAAGGCACTTCACGGGAACGTCAAGAGAAAGTTTTTCATTTTACGCACTTGCACTGGCAACCGAGACGGCCCGCACGTTGCGTCAGGTCCAACGATGCGAGCAGCTTCCAGGGAAATGGGAAAAGGAGGAGAAGCAAACAAGCAAAAAAACGAGCAGGCTGTTTCTGAGTTGTTGGATGGCGCCTGAGAATGGAGCAGCCGGTCTCTACCCTCGACGTACCATCACCGTTGTGCGCCACTTCAGACTCCCTCTTTCGAGCCAACTCCAACACGAGCTTTCGCAGAGAAAAATGCATCGCTGCACTTTTAGGCAAAAATGACCGCATCTTTTACGTTTTGCTTCGCTTTTTTCTTTTCGAAACAGTGAAATAAAAAAAATACGAAAAAAAAGGTCTTCATCAGCCATGTCATCGAATCCGTCGCTCACGGCCGCTGCACCTAACGGGCGGCGGTGAAGGCGCCTTTAGGACCTTTGTCGCGAGCGGTAGAACAACAACCACGCGCAGAGAAGAACAGCTGTGCAACGCTCTACTTGATCGGGATGAAGCGGGACGAGTGCGTCGCGCCAACGCCGGGGCGGCCGTGCAGCACGGGCTTGTAGCTCATCGAGAACTCGCCCAGGTAGTGGCCGATCATCTCACCCTTGATCTCCACCGCGTTGAACTGGTGGCCGTTGTAGATCGCCACAACGGACCCCACCATCTCCGGCGTGATCACCACGTCGCGCAGGTGCGTCTTCACCGCCTTCGGCTTCTCGCCAACCTTCACGTGCTTCTTCGCCTCGCGCAGGCGCTTCAGCAGCACAGGCGGGCGGCGGTCCGCGTGGCGGTTCATGTTGCGGCGCGCACGGGCGTGCACCAGCGCCTTGAACTCCTCCTCCGTCAGCGCAAGCAGGGGGTCGATCTCCAGCCCACGGAACGTGAACTTGTGGAACGTGCGCTCCTTCTTGAGCTGCTCGTAGCGCTCGGCAGTGATGTTAGACGCCATGTTGGATGCGTTGACTAGCGTTTTTTTTTTTGGTAAGTGGAAAGAAGCGCATATAAAGAGCAACAAGATGGAGATGTGCGCAGGCAGGCGCACATGGTATTGTAATTCGCATTACAGGTATTATAATTTAAAAAAGCGTGAATTATTGGGGAAGAAGAGAGAGGAAAAATCAAAGAGGTATAAACGGCAAGTCGTCGAAGGTTTAAAAAAAAACGCTTCTTTTCTTTTGCGGTACTTCCTTGCACAGTTGCCCGCATTTCCTTACTGATCAATGAATGGCGCGCTGCACATCTTTCCATGGGGAGCTACGCGCGCTTTACTCTACTGAGAACGTAAAGGTGGAGCGGCAACTGCGATGGCACTGGCATCCCACACACACACCAATCGTTGGAGGTTCATTGTTCACCAAGAAAGAAAAGTGAAAAAGCCGCACGTATGCGCTGTGCGTTTCACCTTTAAAATCTCACACACAAAGCTCAAAAGGTTGAGGTTATCTTTTTTCGGGAAGCTGAAACGACTGCGAAAACGGGATAAAAAGGTTTTTGTTGTTTACATCGGCTGAGATTCCAAGCAAAGATAAGCGACAACAGAAAAAGGCTTTAAAAAAAAACAAGAACGCAACAACAATTGGCATTCCGAGCACTTTTTCACCTGCAAACCACAATGTTCAGAATATACATCTAATAGATTGGCGCATCCCTCCCAAACGATAGGCGGCAGGTGGACCCGAGCAAATAAAGTTTCCACAGTCGACCGGTATGAACGGAGGAAAAACAGAGAAAAGACGAGAGGAATTACCTTTCCTTCTCCTTCACGTCAGTTGGAGGGGACTCTTCAAATGCCCTCAACACTGGGTACTCGGACAACGCCTCGGCTTCCTCGGCAAGCTCGTACGCGTCTGGCTGGAAGAGCAGAAAGGGGAAATCAGGCATCGTCTGGCGCAGCATGTGCCGCAGCCGATACCACTCCACCAGCTCCCCTTCCTCCGAGGCCGACAATAAGTCACTAGCGAAAGTGGCGCTTCCCACCTTGAAAGGTCGCCCCGTCTGCGACGACAACTCCGGCAACGTTGAATCGTCCACCAGGCGGGCGCTGCTCGACTTCTTCAGCGCTTTGCTCCTCTTTGGCCGCTGAGAAGAAGTGCGCGATTCGCCCTGTTCTGATGTGTTGGGCAGCAGGCCACCTTTTGCATCGGTAGGACTCGCAACACTACCCGCAAAGTACTTCTTGGCACTCCTTCGTGGCGGAATAGCTGCTTTTGCGCTCTCCTTGCTCACCTTGCTGCCACCACCACCTTTACCGTTCTTCTTCTCTGTCGACGGTGAACTCCCTTTCGAGACTGGCAACAGGGGCTGCTGGAGAGTGGAGCTCGGCCCACCGTCCACACCGGGGCCTTCCTCTTCGTCCTCCGCCGCCTCCAGCTCCTGGCGCAGCGCAGCCGCAGCCGCCTCGCTTTGCTGCTGAAAGGGAAAGTGAGTGGAGCGCTTGAAGCGGGGGAGCAGACTCACCGCCTTCATCACCGTCTCCGTTGCCACCTGCCGCTCGACGACTTTCTTCTCCTCCTGAGCCCCTCGGCGGGACTCGAGCAGCTTGAGAAAACTCCGCGCCACGCCGTGGACGCCGAGCAGGTCGGCCGCCTCCGCCACGAGCTTCGCACCGGTCAGTGTGTCGCCGGGGTTGTGACCGGTGAGATCGAAGGAGATGCTGCCGGCGGACGTGCTGCCACCAAACACAGCGGAGCGCAGCGCTGCCTGCAACGCTAAGTTGTCCAGCTCCGCTAGAACCGCCTGGGCACGTGGCACCGACAGAAGGTGCAGCCCAATCACCACCTCGCTTTCCTCCACCAGCGGTGCCAGCACCGTCTCAATGCGGGTGTACACCTCTTCGAGCGCGTCCCGGACGAATCTGCGCCAGTGTCGCACAAAGGCGGTCGCGCCGAGGGGGGCGAGGGCGAAGGACGACACAACGCCCCGCCCTACCGACGGTAAGGGGAGCTGACGGATCAGGAGTGAGCCGGGCAGCGGGGTTCTGGGCTTCTCCTGCGTCGCAGGGACCGCCGACGTTGCCGCCGAGACGGTCCCACTCGCCCGCACAACCGTGTTGCGCTGCTTGTGCTCGTGCTTCTCCGTCGGCAGCGACGACACCATCTCCTCGCGATCGCAGTACGTCTCATCCGCGAAAAGGTCCAGCGGGCTGAGGGTGCCGCCGTGGATGACGCTGTGGTGACTCTCAAAGGACTGCACAACGGCCTGGACTCCGCGCAGAACCGCCTGCGCACCGGCGTCCTTCACCCAGCGCACGACGCCGTTCACGAGGCGCTGGTAGGAGAAGCGGCGGCTGCGATCGTTGTCGAGCTGGTCGACCAGCCGCTGCACTCGCGCCAGCACGTTCTCCATCACGTCGAAGGTCTCCAGCGGCAGCCGTCCATCAACGAGGTCCACGAAGAGCTGACACAGCGGCTGCGTCTGCTGGTAGCGCATCGCCGCGTACCACATGTTGTAGGTGAACCGCGTCCAATCCAACTCCACCACCGGCGCGGCCTCCGCCCACTCGCAATCCTTTTCGTCGACCTCTCCGTCCACTATCTTTCTGGCTGGCACACTTTTCTTGCGCTTTGAGTTGACGGCCTCGACGGCAGCGGCAGCGGCAGCAGTAGCCGCTCCCCTCGCAGGCGGGTTCAACGGGTAACGAGTCGTAATGGTGCCCGGCAGCACCAGCGGCAACGCGTCTTGCGTGCTCTGCGGCGACAGCTGTATCAGCACCTCTCGCGCAAACTGGGAGACGACGTAACCAAACGGGATCTTTTCCTCCGACTGCGCCGCTTCTGCTTTGCTCGCGTCCAGTCGCGTCAGCAACACGCGGCGGTGCTCAAAAGGTTGATACACACGTGGGGCGAGCATCTTGCCATCGCGCACGAACCGCGCCCGGCCACGAACAGCTTTGTAGGAGACAAAAAAGTTGTACAGGATGCACCCCGCCTGCGCCTCCGTCCAGAAGCAATTTCGCACCTCCGGCGACACGTTCGTGCGCAAAAAGTGCGGGACCGAAGGCCACGAGGCGACCGGGAACACCGGAATGACGGCGGCCTCCGCGACGTGTTCGAGCATCGCCCCCACAACCCCAACACCGCTGGCAGCGTCCCCGCAGGTGATGTCACCCTCGTTGAGCCACGCGGAGAGCATGTGCAGCTGCCGTGCCCGCAACAGCGCCGAATTCAGCTGATGCTTCATGTTGATCGCCACCGTCGACAGCTCCGTCAGAATGTCGGCGGTGGAGTGGCGGAGCTCGATGCCGAGTTCAGACTGCAGCGCCAGCGGTACATCGCGCGGTCGCGGCGTCAGAGGCGTCGTCTCGTTACCGTACTCATCCACCTGCGTGAAGAAGCGTTTCTCGTGGATGTAGGTGTAGAGGTCTTTGACCTTCTCCTCCAGTTCGCTGATGCGGAAGGTGAGGTCCTCGTTCTCCCGGGAGAGCCCCGCAATGCGAAGGCGGTAAGCCGAGTGATCGTCAAACGCAGAGTGCAGCAGCTCCTGCTGAAGGGTGAGACGGGACTTAACGAGCTCCTTGTTCGTGGCTGCGAGGAAGGCCACCGAAACCTGCGTGGACAGCGCCCGCACCTCCGTCCCGCTGTTGCCACGATTACCGCCGTTGGCACCGTCGCGGCCGGCGCCTGTCTCTTGCACCTCCGACGACGTCTTGTAGGCCGAGAGCTCCGTACTTGCCGGAGGGATGTCAATGCGGTGCCGCGCCAGCACGCTTTCGAGCTGGTCGATGCGCAAGGTGAGCTGCTGGTTTGTTTGGAAGACAGACGCGATGAGGTGGCGGAAGTCGCGAAACTGGTCCTCGGTGTGCTCGCACTCGTTCAGTCTCTCCAGCAGCTCCTCCTTCACCTCGACCAGCTCCGTGTCGCGCTCTTTGCGAACGGTATAGGCCGCGGCGTGTTCGGCTTCTGCGCGTGCCTCCGCCTTCTGCCGCGCCAGCACCAGCTCTTTGATTTTGCCTTCAAAGAAGGTCTCGAACTTGGCGTAGAGCTTCTGCTCTTGCTGGCGGAGCGCCTCTGCCTTGTCGTCGTCGGCGTGCCGCACCTGCGCGGCCATGTCCTCGGTGTACCGCTGCACGGAGTCCAAAATGTTCGTCAATTGTGGGTAGAGGGTCGGCAGGAGAGACAGGGCTTTTTGCACGGCTTTCTGGCGTTCCGTCATTATCGCATGACGGCCGGCCCGTTGGAGGACGTAATCCTCCAGCTCCTTCAGACGCTCCCCCCGCACCGTAGACGTGACGCCTGCGACGTGTGCAGAAAATGACGCACTTTCTGAGGTGCGATTGACGGCGCGATAACCAGAGCCGGCAGCATCGAAGCTGTTCGTCGCCAGGCTTTGTCCTTCGTGAGGCGTAGAGCGCACAGACGGGGCACCCACGTTTTTTTCCACCGGCGTGGGAGTGCTGAGCAGCGGAGATGTCGAAGTTATCGGAGTGGCGGTGGTGCGTGACCGTCCGCTGGGACCTCCTGTAACGGTCTCGCCTGCACTTTTCTGATGCTTTTGTGGGAGGAAGGCCTGGGGAGAGTCGAGGGTCGCCGGCGTCGCCCAGGGCTGTCCGTAGGATGCCGGCATCGCCGCCGCCTCGCCCGCTGCAGAAGTGCGAGAGATGCCTTTGCGAGGAGGAGAGGATTGGAAGTCAGCCTGCGATGCCGCCGGCTTCGGCGACAATCGCCGCTTCAGGGCGGGGAGGGAGTTGGGATGTGTTCGGCCGTGCATCACTGAGTTCAAGACACAGCTGATTAAAAAAAAAAGGTGTCTCTTTGTGGTCGAGAAGATTTCCGGATTATGCGACAGTGCTTTTGTAGTGTTCAGTGCAGTGAGCCGTCAAAGCCCCCTCTTGCCCAACGCACTGACAAATCTGCCGACGCCTTGCGGTTGTCGTTGCTGTTGCTGCAACTTCGCTGTCAACGTGCCAGAAAAAAAAGTAGGTGATGGCGGCGTGCTGTGGCAGAGAGTGCGTCTCCTTTAATCTCGCTCTCTTTGGCAATTGGTGGTGAGCTGCATCAAAGTAACGGTTCTCGCTTGAAAGAGGAGGCAGGGTGAGGGCAGGGAAAGGAGGAAGCGATAGATAACAAAAACGGTAAAAAGAAAGGAGTGAGGGTAAGAATAGGGGCAGCTCTCCAGACACGTGTGTGAGCGACGCATCATCTCCCTCACGCAACGCTTCTCCGGTTCGTCTTTGTTTGCTTTTCCCAGAGAGCACTTTTTAAAATTATTTCGAGAGCGCCCTAAAAATAAGGAGCCTTAGCAGGCCTCAGAAATACGGCACACAAGGAACCGAAGCACCTGTTCATACCGCTTATAAAGCGTCTCGTTTCTTTGCAGGCAAAGAAAAAAAAAGACCTTCAGCGACCACAACCCGAGGGGATACGGTCACAACGAGTCCTGCGGAGATCTGCTATTTTTTGTTGGTGTTGTTTAATTACCCAATCAGCGTCATACAACCAGCTTTAATATGTAAAAGTGAAAACAGCGAAGACGAAAACCGGAGAGAAAAGGTGTGGCGAACAACAGCGAGAGATCTTCCCATATATATAACAGCAAGGAAAAGGCGAAGCTCCGAGCGAGAGACAACAGGAACAACAACGAAAAAGGTTCCAACACTACTTGCGGAGATCTGCCCCGGTTAAGAGAAAAAAAAACGACGGTGGTTCATGACGATTCACAAATGACACAAAAAAAAATCTCACAAACACACCATGGCAAGGACTTCAAAAAAAAAAAGGCGCCTTTTGCGGTTAAAGACAGCCCCGTGCGCATTCTTTTCCTACTTTCCTGCTTGCCGTACGCATACGCTATTGGGTACGGAGGAAAGAATAAAACAAACGAGACAAAGGAAGGAATTGCCAGCTGCACTTCATCGTCAAGATATAAATATATATACCTTGGAATAAATGCGTTCAGTTCACACAAAACCCACACAATTACTCACCAACAAAAACCGGAAGCAAACAAAACGACAACGGACTCTGTGAAAGATGCGTGCGACGCTATTTTTTTTTCTCTTCTTCTCTTGGACACTCCTCACATCCCCCACACGAAGGCGCTAACAAATGCCGCTGTGCAAATGGACTTGTAAACAAAAAAAAAAACCTAGGAGAAGAACGAGAATGGAAATTTTTTTTGTCTTTGTCTTCCTACTCCTCCTTCTCTTGCGCTTCCTCCTTCATGTCCTCAGCGACGCTCTTCGGCACCGCATCCTTCAGCCACAGCTTCAGGCGCACCGCATCGGAGTGGTCCAGGTAGTAGCGAGGGAGGAACTTCGTCTTGACGAAGCCAAGATTCAGGTATAGCCCCAGTGCGCGATCGTTGGACGTCGGTGTCTCAAGATAGACCTCATCACAGTCCTTCTTGCGCATCAATTCTACCGTGAGGGAGACGAGGCGGCTACCCAGGCGGAAGCCGCGGAAGGCCGGCACCACGGCGAACATCGCCACGTAGCCCCGCAGCGGCATGCCGGCCCGCTTGCGAGTCACGCGGGAGACCACCGCGCCGACCTTTTCGCCCGTGACGCTTGCCTCCGGCTTCGCCTCGCTCTCCACGCCGTACGCCGTAATGCACAGGTCCGGCCAACCAAAGACGAAGTACTGATAGGTGAAGCTGCTGTAGGGCTCGGTGAGCTCCTCGGTGAAGAGCTTCACAATGAAGTTCATCTCCTCGTCGCTGCCCTGGAACTGCTCGTAGCGGATGTACTTGTTCGGTGCCACCTCCTGCCAGTTCTTCTGCTCCTCCGTCAGCGGCACGGGGACGTTGATGTACGTCGGGTCCGGCATCGCCGCCTGCTCCTTCATTTGGGCCAGGAAGGCGTTGCGCATCTGCTCCGCGAGCATGTGGTTCTGCGCCTCGGTGGCGGTCATGATAGATTTGCTATCCTTCTGTTTCCTCTGCACCTTGGTCGTGCCTTTCTTCGCCTTGCCCTCAATGGCCTTGACGAGGGCGTCGATGGCGGCCTCGTCAAAGTGGTCGCGGCGGGCCACCGCCTTATTACTCTTCTTGTTCGTCGTCTTGGGAGGCATTTTTCTTCCCTCTTGCTTTTGTTTTCCTGTTTTCTTATTAGGAGACGTGTTGTACGTACTTAAAGATTTAAAGAACTAGCAGATGTAGATGCTGAATCGGTCGGTGTGAGTGATGATGCGTCGTTGTTACCGCTGCGCGAACAACCATAACGAGACCAGGACAATACTGTTAAAGCAAAAACCCCAGCCAAGACGAGAAAACCAAAAACCAGCGTAAACACCGGGCCGTCCGCAACACAACAACGATACCGTTTTGTAAGGGGGAACTGTTAGGTCGAGAGACGGGAGAGAAACAGAAAAATTAACGAAGGAATGCGCGTCAACGTGACCAGCGAATGTACATTGATGAAGAGAAAAGAAAAATGCGTTATCGAGGAGGTACACGGAAGCATATAGGAAAACGTTCATCGCCCACAACAGTTAACGGCAACGCGAACCGCTTCCGTACAGCTCAGCCACCTCCTCCGGGGAAAAAAAAGTTTGTGGGTCGTTTTGTTGCTTCAACAAGAATTCGTCAAACGCCTTCGAACTCTTCGTGAGCGCCCCGCCGCGAGAAAACAAACTCGAGTGCGCCACACCGTATCCATGCCCCACGCGTTTCTCGTTCTCATTTCATTATTAATTATCTTTTTTTTTTGGATGTTGTCAAAGGAAAAACAAAAAAGTAAAGTAAATCATCGAGTATGCGGACTCATGTAAAAATCTCGGGTACCCACTCATCTCGCGCCCACGCAGATCGAGAAACTCCACCCACGCGCAGAGAAGAACAGCTGTGCAACGCTCTACTTGATCGGGATGAAGCGGGACGAGTGCGTCGCGCCAACGCCGGGGCGGCCGTGCAGCACGGGCTTGTAGCTCATCGAGAACTCGCCCAGGTAGTGGCCGATCATCTCACCCTTGATCTCCACCGCGTTGAACTGGTGGCCGTTGTAGATCGCCACAACGGACCCCACCATCTCCGGCGTGATCACCACGTCGCGCAGGTGCGTCTTCACCGCCTTCGGCTTCTCGCCAACCTTCACGTGCTTCTTCGCCTCGCGCAGGCGCTTCAGCAGCACAGGCGGGCGGCGGTCCGCGTGGCGGTTCATGTTGCGGCGCGCACGGGCGTGCACCAGCGCCTTGAACTCCTCCTCCGTCAGCGCAAGCAGGGGGTCGATCTCCAGCCCACGGAACGTGAACTTGTGGAACGTGCGCTCCTTCTTGAGCTGCTCGTAGCGCTCGGCAGTGATGTTGGACGCCATGTTGGATGCGTTGACTAAAACGTTCGCAAACTGCTGAAATGATAGCGCACGCGTATGTAAAACGAAAGGGTTTCGAAAACAAAAGAAGAAGTTAAAGGTTGAAATGAAGACAGTTACGGTTGGAGAGAGAGAGAGGGGGCAACTGAGAGTGAGAGAAACTCCGCCGTTTGCAACAGCCATAGAGCGTGGATCGAAAAGGAGACCAAAGGAGAATACATGCGATGGCACTGGCATCACACACGCACACCGTTTTTCGTCAAGGCATTTCCAACGTCTGAAACATACCAATTTGAAAAACGTTTATTGCTTCTTCTTTTTGTACACTAGCTGAAGATCTTTCCTCATGCCCTACTTGAGTGTAATCACAAACCACCAGCATCTGGAATATGCAAGCACCGCATGTGTTCCTCTTTTAAGTATTTCACAACTGTAGTCGCTTTTTTTTTTTGCCTCTCCGTCGCGGCTCTCGTCGCGATAGGCTTCCTTCACCTTTTCTTAAGCGTCGCTTTCGCAGGGAATAAAGTACCTTTGCTGTCAGTGTGCATGGTGAATACCCCTCACATAGATGCTGCTAAACGACAGCTGTTTCGGCTTAACTTCCTGCTTTCGCAGGTCCCCAGCTACCATCTCCATCTGAGGAGACAAAACTTCAAGGAAAAAAAAAGGGGAGCCGTTTGCCTCCAGCTCATATAATTCAAGGCTTTTAAGTTGCCTTCGTTACTGTAGTTTTCATCACAACAACAGGAATCATCGCTTTCCGTTCGTCACACATCACTCAACGACGCACATCATCATCATCATAGAATGCCTGCGAACATATAAAGCTTTTTTCTCCTGCTTTACGATTCTCTTCTTCGCTTAGCTCACCGGGCAGTTCGGCATCTCTGCGATGCTGATCTTCTCGCCAGAGGAGTGCACAGCAGGCTCTTCCTTCCAGCAAAGAACGCCCTCGCTGTTCGTGTGCAGGTGGGAGAGCACCTCACTCATCTTGTTGCCCGAGACCGGCTCCGGCGGAGGGGCGGCAGCCACGGCAGCGTCGAAGCTCGCGCCAAACAGAACGCGATCGCCAGGCTTCGAGCCCGCCGGCGGACGGATCAACATCACCTTTTCCTCCTTCTTGGCACACAGCACCATGCCCTGCGAAGTGACACCCATTAACGGCTTCGGTTTCATGTTGCACACAACCAAGCAGTACGTCCCCTCCAGGTCCTCCTGCGCGTAGTGCTCCACCAGGCCGCTGACAATGGTGCGAGTCTCATCGCCGAGGACCATCTCCTCGATGAACAGGCGATCCGCGTCGGGGTGGCGGCGCAGGTTCGTCAGTTGACCAACTCGGATGCAGATGCTAGTGGAGTCCAGCTCGGCCTTCTTGCCTTTTGTGCTGGGGCCGGCAGAGCCCTTCTTTTTGTTTTCCGCAATCGCCGAATAAGTGTCGCTGCCCTTCGCCGCAGCAGCGGCCGCAGCAGCCTTCGCCGCCTCCTTCTCCGCCTTCGCCTTTTCCTTCTCCGCTCGGCGGCGCATAATCTCTTCCTCAGACGGCTTCACGTACATCGCATCCGCCTTGTCACCGGCCGCAGCCACGCCGGCAGACTTGCCTGCCTTGTGCTGCACCAACACGGCGGCCGTGCGAACTGGCACTACGTACGCGTCCTCCTGCGCGTGGGCGGCCCACGCCATCGTCGTCGGCAGCACCTGCGCGTGCATCGGGTGGTTGAAGGCTGCCGCGTAGACGAGGAGGTCGGCGATGGTCGCGCGCGGACTGCCGGTGAGGTGCTGCGCGCCCCCGTTTGGGGTCGACGCCAGAATCTTCTCCACCTCGGCGTACACTGACTTGGCCACCGAGGCAGTGGGGTCGAGACCGGCGCGGGCTGCGTCAACGTCCAAGATGGACGCCGCACTCACCCACTGGTTCACCAAGGCCACTTCCTCCTCCGTGTCGCGGTTGCCAAAGAAGGCCTTCTGCGCGGGGGTGGAGGCCTGCATGCGCATCGCCAGCAGCACCGACTGGAGACCGCTGTAGGTCTCGCCGTTGAGCGTGACACGGTGCGGGCCCTCGGCGGCCGTCTCCATGAAGGCGTCCGACAAGCCCAGCACGTCCCTCAGCGCGTGCAGCAGCGCCGCGGAGAGGATGGAGGACGACTGAATCACGTACTGCATCTTGCGTCGATTATATCAAAAAAATGACAGAAAAACGCAAAGGAATAAATAGTTGAGAGGAGTTTGCTGCTACAATAATGGTGGCAACTACAGAGAGAAAAAAAAAAGAGGCAGGCACAAAAAAACCCCAGAGGTGAACGAGAGTGGAAAGCAAGAACGAGCAATCTATAAGCAGCACTACTACAGCTGCCACAGAGAAGATTGACGCCCCAGAAGCGCCTATGCGATGCCCTCTCAAGTGCATGCCTCCGCTGAACTTGCCAGGAGACTTCCGAAAAAAAGGGTGAGCTGACATGTACCACTTTGCGTAGGTGCATCTTTACGGTACGCGAGACTAAGTAAGTGCTTGAATATCGGCTTGGCGTATCAACGGACCTAGTGTGTGAACGAGAAAAACATATATTAAGGAAGGAAACGAAACGTGCTACCATGAATGAGAAGGCGGATAAAGATCGCAGCTCCACGGACACTCCTACACAAATTCAAAGAAAAAAGTAGTTGAAGTTGAGTGATACAACGGCTGAAACAAACAAGACAGAAAAGTTGTCGTTACAGGAAGAAAGCAAAACAACTGCGTTGAACCAGCGCCAATCCGATTGTTGTCCCACCACCAACACGCACTCTCTCATCAGCCGCACATCGTAAACAACAACCCAGGCAGACAGACATAAAGTGACCCACTTCTGCCAGTTACTCCCCTATGGGTGCCGTGGCTCCTTCTCTCACCCGTTGTCTCTCTCTCTCTCTCACTCTTAGAACCATATCAGCTGCGAAAACTGGTGCTGTCGTCCTCCGTCCTCAACATTCTTCTAAGATCTTATGATGTGCTCGACGGACGTTATTCGTCAACTGTCCTTGAATTCCATGTCACTCGCCGCTCCTCACCACTCTTTCCCAAGTGCATTTTACTCGATAGCGCGACTGGTGGATTTGCCGCTGCCGCGAAAGTACGACTCCTTGTACTCAGCGACGGCGCGGCGCAGAGAGGGGATTTCATCATTGACGACCGCCTCCATCCCGCGGCAGGCCCGGGCGGAGCACGTCGGCAGCGCCGTGACGCCGTTGGCGCCGTTGTCGTGGTAGATCGTCGCCACCCGCATCATCTCCGGCTTCACGGTGCGGTGCCAGCGCAGCTCCACGTCCTTCGTGCGCGACTTGAAGGCGAAGAGGCGGCTCAGCACGTAATCGGACGAGTCGAGGAGGTGACGCTCGAACTCCTTCAAGTGCGCCCGCGCCACCATCAACCCGCCGCAGCCCACCGCCACCGACAGCGGCACCAGTATGAGAGTACCGGCAAGGCTGACAGAAGACAGAAGCGTTGCCACAGCAGGGCAGAAGAGACAGACCGCGGCGAGAGCAGAGAAGACTACGAGCTCCCGCTGGCGGTAGTCCTGGCGTAAGACCTTGGCGGCGCGTACGGCCAGCAGAAGGTTGCGCGCGCTGTCCTCCGTCTCCGTTATTAAGTTATCCATCCGGCGGATCGGGGCAGACATGATCTCGCCTACGATTTCGTTGCGCTGCCGAGACAACTCGGCATCCGACATGGTGGTGGCGCTGCCACTGCCCGGGGGCTTCGCCGCCGACCCTGCTGCTCCGCTCATCGTTTTACCTAGCGGGGTGCACGTCGTGTACACGCGTGGGATGTCTTTCATCTTCATCACTTTGCTGAGATTCCAGCACAGCGTACCGTACGCCCTGGCGAAGTCCGTCACCTTCTCAAACAGGTCTGCCTTGTTCATGACGAGCAGAAACTTGTGCTCGTAGCCGGCAAGCGACTTGGTGAGGACGTCGAGCGTCTCGCCTGTGGTGCCAGGGTTGGCGGGGTCGAACATGAGCAGAATCACGTCGCTCTGCTGCGCAAACCACCGCGTCACACCGAGAAAGTCGTAGCCGCGGGTCTGGTCACTGACGTACATCGCATCGCCGGCGTTGGGCGGCACCATGGTCGACTTGCTGCTGTGCAGCGGGGTGTCGATCATGCCTGGGGTGTCGATGAGCACCATGTCCATCGGCACCTGCGACGTCTCGTGCATCTTGCGCGTCTTCATTTTGAAGTGGGTCACAAACGCAATGCCGAACTGCTGCAGGGACTGGTACTGATATTTCGGGTTGCTCGCCACACTCGGCCCGTCCGCGTCCATGTCGAAGGTATCCCGCTTAATCACCGTGAACCCGTCATCGGTCGGGGCGATACCCGTTTCCTGAATCTGACGCCCCGCAAGGTAGTTGATCAATGTGGACTTGCCTGAGCTGTGGTTGCCCAGCATTAGCACCATCGGCGTCGTGCTCTTCAGCGGGTTCAGGAAATGATACACCGAGTCGTAGGGCTCGAGGTAGAGCTGCCGCAGCTTGATCAGCTTTGCTTCGAGGTCCCGCTGCGCCTCTACGTGCGAGGCGCTGGCGGCCGGATCGACGACCGGCGAGGCAAGATCGGAAGCGGAGGCGGGCGATGGCATTGCTGACTTCTCGACTGTTATTGCCGGAGAGGACGGAGTCGCTTTTGCATCAGAAACGGTAGTTCTCTGCGTGTTTGAGGTCCGGGTGGTAAAGGAGAAAAAGCGGCGTTGCGTGCCGCCGGGCTGCAAGGATGCTACAGTTCCGCTTCCAAAAACAGCGGCAGGAAGACGCATAGGGGAGCACAACTCTCTCTTCACGGCGCTGGGTGAAGAAGACGCCAATCGGAGTGCAGAGTAGCATGGCGCGACGGAGGAACCACCGCGAATGAATCGCGGGGAAAGCACCAGAGACGCCGCTGCGCACCGCGACGGCGCCCGTGGCGCGGCGGCAAATCGGCGATACATTGCGGTACTACGTTTTTGTACACCTGTCAAAGGACGGTAGCGGGGGATGTGGCGGCGAGGTCCAACGCCTACGGAGACACACCAAAAGAGAAATGTGAAGAGAGAAAAACAAGGTGTGCCCGTAAGCGGAAAAGAAAAGGTCGTACCTTTGCGCAAGAAGAGGAGTACAATCCACGAGCTTTCGAAGGAGAAGGACAATAATTCAACACGGCAGAAACATTCGCTTTGTGTATGAGGAGCAACGACGGAGATAGCAAATATATGTATTTGTATAGATGCGCTCCATTGGAGTGAGAGAAAAGGAGAGGAGGGTGGAAGATAAGCAGAAAAATCAAGGGACTGCTATTCAACAACAACAAAAAAAAAGAAGCATGCAAAAGAGTACAGGATTCAAAATGACCCGTTTTTCTTTGCTTTTTTGTCGCGCCGTGATAGAAACGGGAAGAAAAGGCACATTTAGCAGCAGAAATGCTCCACATCATCAACGACGTCTCCACGTGGAAAACAAGGATGTAGCCCACCTCATCGTCTTCTTTTCTCTTATTCAAACAGTATTTGGGTCATCTTCGGTCGATGAAACGAAATACATCACCACGAACGCGGACTAGAACGCGAAATACACCAACCACACCGGGAAACTGGCTGGCGAACAGTACAAAACAAAATCACAAGGGAGAAAAACAGTAACAACAACAAAATTTGTGCGCCAGTGTGCGCACCAGCAAATAGCCACACTTCGATTATGATGCTCATGCGTGTTGTGAAGAAACAACACGTTGTCATGAGACCGCGAGGGCGGCAATGCAGTGTAGCCTAATGCGTCAATGAATCGAGACAAATACCCAGTCCGGTCGGCAGCCCCCATGAGTGTGTGTGTGTGAGGTAGACCCTTCCAGGTGAAAAAAAAAAACCCGCAACTGGAAGGAAACGCAGGTAATAGGGCGGAGACGTGGCGGTAGGGGGGTACAGTGACTCGAGTAAAAGGAAGCACAGACAGATACATAGAATGTAAACGAAAACAGACAAAATAGCAGAAATGTGCGTCCACGAAAGGGTGGACAGCACGGTTGAAAAGCAAAGGGCTTTCACAAGGCCCAAGAACAGAAACAGAAAAAGGGAAAAAAAGGACACGAAGAGATCAGAGAAAACAGATGCCTGTCGACATTATTAAAGGGAAAGAAAAACGGTGCACTTCATTCCACCGCCCGCTCGTCAGAAAATGCCACGTGGCCACAAGGAAAACAAAGAAAGAAGCGAAATTCCTTCTAAGTTAATCCGTGTGGGCCTCCGCGGAGAGAGAGAAAGAGAAGGACAAGAAAAGAGGTACAGAGACACTGAAAAGTGTAAAAAAGGAAAGCGGTCACAAGATAGGAAGAAAAAAAGAAGAAGGAAACATCAACGCTTCGAATCCTTCTTGTCTTCAGTAGAAGCCGTGGCAGGCTACTGAAATCGGACAAGACAACTCTGCAACGAAAAAAAAAAGGGAGAGGAAGGAGTAGGGAAAAGATGACGCTGTAGGAAGCGAAAGCGCTTACTAGGCGATCAGAAGAGGAAACACTGGAAAAACGACGCTATCAAATTGTATTGATGGCGCAAGTATAGAAAAACGAAATAAAATGAACGTTGCCGAAGAAACACACGCGCTTTTATGTGTCGCAGCCACTTTCCCAAAGCTGTGAACTTATCGGGTTAAATGAAGAAAAGAAAGAAAGCAGCAGCCCAAAATAATGACAAGAAACCAGTGCATTTTTTTTTTCGGCGAAAGACGAGCACTGATGCTGCCTTCTCTTCCTGGCTATTTCCAGCATGTTCTACTAACAAAAATATCGTTCGAAATAACTAGAAATATCACAGAAGCAGATCGAAGTGCTTGTGTTAACGAACGCAAGACACGAAGTAGGTAAAGGCGCTACAGTCTCACAAACGCTGAAATACAATAGAAAATGCATATTCCCATTGAAAAAGCGAGAAGATAAAAAAAAAGTTGTCTTACGTTTATATTTCTATTTACAATTTAACAGCTGACCGTCTCTTCTTTTTTATTTTTGTTTTAGGTAGTCTTCGGAACTCTGAGTGGGAAAAACAAATTGGGGATGAAGCAAACCAACAAAAACAAAAGTGAAGGCGTTTTCCAACAACAAAAAAACACGCCTCGTTGACCTCTAAGCTCGAAAGAAACCGCGTTTGCTAGTTGGGGCAAAAAAAGCAAAGTGCGGAGGCAAGGTGTGAGGGCATCTCCCAGTGATGGATCAAGTCGCATCCCGCTTGCCGCACTCTTTTTTATTGTCTCCCTGCTGGATGCTCAATCACATGCGATTCCCCACGACACTCTCTTCTCATAATCAAGACCAAAAGGAAGGAAGCGCCAAACCCCACAGAGGTAATGGATTTGTGTTCTCTTTTTTTTTAGATCAAAGGGTTAAACAGTTCGTTAACCTGCATTTTACAAAGAAAAAAAAAACTCAAAGAGGGCAAAGAAATCGAACGTGAATGAGACAAAAACAAAAGTATTTAAACAAGAAAAAAAGGAACAGGTAAGTAAAAGCGGTCAACCGTTCCAAAAACAAAAGAAGACGAAAACATCTGCCTTGGCCTTTTTTGTGTGCTTTTTTTAATGCCCCCGTCAATCCTGCTGCGCTGTTTGCTCAACCTCAGCAAGCAGGTTTTCGTTGGTGGTGTTGTGTCGGGAGAACTGTGCCGACAGTTCAAAGAGAGGCTGCAAGCAGAATACATTCCTTATTCCCGTTTTTTTTTTTGGAAATATCGATGCACAGCGAACAGAAGAGAACCATATGCAATCGACCAAAAAAAGACTAAATTCGCAAGGCGAAGTGAAAAGGAAGCTTCTAATGGGGGAAAAAAACAACATCAAAAGTCCTTCTTCTTTTCACTTCATCCAGTTACGAACGTAACGTAGAACCAATCTCTTCGTAATCCTTCAAAGGCTTCCGAATGGCAACAGTGCTATTCCGTACTTGGTCTTGACCGCCTCCGCTGTAGTTGTTGCCTGCTACGAGGAAGCTCAGCCCTGTGCCTCTTTCTTCATGGCAGCGGCGACCAGCTTTGCCTGTCGCGCCATCTTTGCCAAAAACGCCTCCGTGAATAGCTCGCGCTCCGTCTCGGTCACCTGAAACATCTCCAGCGGCACAAACTGGCCATTCGGCATCCGCAGCGACGCGTTCTCCTCCTCCTCCGCACCGGTGCTTGCCGTCCGGTGCGCTTCCGCGGCGGCACCTTCCGCTGCGCTCGACGGAGCAGGCGCAAAGAGGTCGTCGAAGAAGGCGTGTTCCACTACCTCCAGTGCAGAGAGGCGTTTCTGCGGTACGTAGCAGAGCAACGCCGTCGCCAGCGCGACCGCCTCATTCGGTGTGTCGACCGGAAAGAGCGTCTTCCACGGAATCGCACGCACCTTCAGGACGTTGTAGTACTCATCAAACGGCATCGCCATCTCGTCTCGCACGAGGGTGTCGTCGTCGCTCACGTCTCCACCATCGGTACGATGAGGAAAGGCAGAGCGCGCAGAGGGGCTCGGTGCGTGTCGGGCAGTGGATGCCGCGTTGCCGCCTTCCAACGCATCCTCCTCGTCGTCGTCCATGAAGCCGTCATACCCGGCATGGCCGGAACCACCGTGCAGGTCCCCGTCCTCCTCGCCCAGCACCTCGTCTCTCTGCGGCCCAAACACAGCCCCCGGCATGGACCGCGGCTTGTGCATCGCGTGGGTGCGCAGCAGCGCCTCGGCACACTGCGGGTTCATCGCGTACATCTCCCGCTTCGACGGCGCCCCCATCACCTTGAAGATCTCCGCCATTTGATCCACGGAGGTGCAGCCACGAAAAAGTGGACGGCCCGATTCCCGCAGCAGCTCCGCGAGGATGCAGCCGAAGGACCACATGTCCACCTCACAGCCGTAGTGCAGCGCGCCAAAGAGCAGCTCCGGCGCTCGGTAGTAGCGAGAGCAAATGTAGGACACGTTCTTCTCCTTGGTAGGGTACAGGATCTCCTTCGCGCTGCCAAAATCGCACAGCTGAAGACGCCCCGTGTCAGGATCAACGAGAACGTTGGCCGGTTTAATGTCGCGATGGCAGACATGGTGGGCATGCATGAAGGCTAGCGCACGCGCAAGCTGGAAGAGAAAAATCTTCACCCACCGCAGCGGCATGTGTGCACCAACTTTGGGGGAAACAGGTCTGCCGGTGGCGCGCGGCGGAGACGCCGAGACCTGCGGCGCCCGTCCCTCCTCGTTGTTCTCTGCCTCACCTTCTGCCTTCGCCGCGGCAGCATTAGCGGAGGACGAGAAGAGCTGCGTGGACGACGACGCCGTCGGCATCAGATGGTGGCGGTAAAAGTGTCTCTTGAGGGCGTTGAGGTCCATAGGGAGGTAGCTCATGACCATCTCGAGATAGGCGTAGGCGGGCCCCGCAGCAGCAGATTGGTGCATCTGCGAGAAAAACTCGCTGTCAGGATGATGTCCAGCAACACCGGCCATCTGTGCGTGGAAAGCAGCAGCCGCGGCCGCAGCGGCCGTCGCGTCCGCCTCCGTCGGGGCGCGATCGTAGGTAACGTACGAGTCCATCAACGCGACGATGTTCGGGTGGTGAATGCCGGTCCACTCCTCTACATTTTTCTCCGCAAATGGGGTAAGTGGTGAGCTGCTGCGGCTCGCATCGCTGCAGGGTGCTACGTTGAGCTTGCTTGATGCCTTGTGGTCGACGAGGACGGAGTTCAAGATGGTCACTTCGCGGTTGTGCAGCCTCGGATCGTAGCGGACGCGTTTGATGGCGACCTTTTCACCGCTATGTGTGTCCTCTGCCAGCAGCACCACGCCAAAGCTGCCTTTGCCCAAATAGCAGAGAGGTTTGTACAGAGGCGTGTCGGTGCGTGGGAGCTGGGCCGACGTCTTGTGAGCGCTACCGCCGTTGTTGCCACTGGTTTGGTGGCACGACGAAGACGACGGTCGAGCTGGACGATTCGACGAGCGCGGCGGTGGCGCACCGTTCTGCGAGGAGCTCATCATTATTAGATTGGAAGAAAGTTAGAGCAGTAATATAAACAGAGGTAGTATAAAGGGATGATAAACGATGTAACACGTCTTGATGTTCTGAGACGGAGAGGGCAATGGCTCACAAGACTGAAAGGGAAAACAAAATGGACGAGAGCGCGTAAAAAAAAAACACGAGACTGAAAAAAAAGTAAAAACAGACAAACGTAATAACAGTGGACGTACGACTTGCGCTGAGCCACCTGCCTTCACACAGCCTTTTCTGGATACTATTTCCTGTATTGGGTCTCAAGTCAGTCGGGGTGTATACTTTTTCTTCAGTGTTTTACTGGTGTAACGAAAGCAACGACAGATCAGACAGCAAAATATGAAATGAGTTCGCTGAGAGAGGTCGATGTATAAATAATAATAAGAGAATGCCAGAGAGGAGCAAAAGAAAATACTAAAAACACGTGTGCCGCGATGCCTGCTTACGCACACGCAAATACATATACGACCAAAAACTTCTCTTTTTATAAACAAACCAGCTAGGAAAGTGCTGCTTAGTTTTTTTTTTTAACGTTAGTTGTAAGCGCAAGCATGGATGTGGTGTGTTGGTCAACAGCGTCAGTGAGGTACGCCATTTGATGTGAGAGCAAACAAAGAGACAAAAGAAAAAATGCGAGGAACAGTGGAGAATCAGTAAATGCGTGTGTTGTCGCGTTAGAATGACTTCGTTGTTATCTCAATCAAACGCGACAGTTTTTTTTCCTTTTGCTGTTGTTGCTGTAACTGAGATTTCCATTTCAAAACAACGCTGTCAGCCTACAGACTTTTCAAAGAAAAATTCAGTCGACAACGAAATGTTGCGCGCTTCTTTTTCTTTCTTATTGTGCACCGCTGCAACAACCGCCATCAGAGGGTTTGTCAACGATGAAGAGAATACAGAAGCTGCATGCCGCAAAGTGGTTTTTTGTGTTTTTGCTTTCCTTCAAAAACATAAAGCTCAAAAAAAAAAGGAAATAGTACAAAAAACAAACAGATGTATTTCAGCGCCACCGCTTCTCGGCCTTTACCTTCCCCCATCGGAGTTGATGTGCTCCCTGTGCCCAATGCGTGTCAACGAGGAGCGAAGTGAAGCCACGGTTGACTGCAGACTTCCGAAAGAGGGACTCGCGAAACTCCGCTTAGCTTCTACCTGAAACTCTCAATGGAAAAGAAAAACATGCGTTCTAATGAAGACTTCTTCCTCGGTCCTTTCATTAAGCGATTCTGATATAAGCTAAGCGGAGTTTCTGCCTGTCCCTTGCACAGGCATTACACCCAACCACGACCAAAGGCATGCACACACACACGCACACACACACACACACACACACACACAGAGAGAGAGAGAGAGACCAGAAAAAAAGAAAGAACGATGAATGCAAATGCGCCAAAGCAATACGCCGTGATTACGTATCGTCAACGCACTGCCCACCTTCATCACTCCACTCTTTGTTTTCATTACCGCCTGTTCGGGACTGCCTTTTCAATGTAGTTATTCAGCGTACCCGAGACGTTGGTGATGGTTGCCGCAGGTGGACGCCACGGCAACAGACCGTTGTACGACGTCGGGTCGCGCGGGTTCGGCTTCATGAACGACTTCTGCAGCGCCTCCGAGCACGTCTCCAAGACTTCGAAGGGCGAGGCCACAGTGGGGTCTCGCTGGCACTTCCATACCGCCTTGCTTTTGTTCTCGTCGTTTTGGTCCTTCTCTGCTGTTCCGCTAATGACGCGGCTGAAGGATGCCAATAGCTGCACACATTTACCTCTATTTTCCACCGTCTCGTCGTTGAACTTGCGGAGTGCGTTGAGGGCACGGCCGATGTCGGTCTTAATAAGATGCTCTCGACTGACGCCCATAAACTGTGTGAGGTCATCGGTCATTGCGATGCTCCCCTCCAAAGGGAACGTCATCAGAATATCCAGTGCCGTCGTGCGCAGCTCGTACGGCGCCGGCTCGGCTCGGTCCACGTCGTAGAGCCAGTAGCTGAGCTCCTGCATAATACCGGCTTCCACCAGCGGCCCGACCATAAAAGCCTGCCGGCACCGCGCTTGCACAAGGTCCTTCAGGGCGACGCGGTGCAAGGGAAACACACCCGGTTGCGTGTTCCGGCCACTCACGATGTCGTCGTCCATCCGCCGCGCCTTTGCCATTGCCGCCACGAGCTCCTTCGCGATGTTCACCACTTCCGCCGAGGTGGACTTTTGCTGAGCTGCCTTCTTCGAGGCCTTGTCAGCTCGCATCTTCGACTCACGCAAGGCGGCCTTGTGCAGACGTGCCTCGATGTCAGCGGCGGCATCGGACAGCTCGGCTGCGGGCACCAGGCCAATTTCGTTGTCGTCCTCCTCATTGCCCATGCTGATAAGCAGATCGTCCACGTCCACATCGTCCACGTCGGCGGCCCGTGACTTCCTCTTGCCCTTTCCCTTTCCCTTGCTGCCGCTGCCGCTCTTCTTCTTCGACGACGACTTCTTCTCCTTTTTGCTCTTGCTGCCCTTGTGTTTCTTGGTCTTCTTGATGAGCTTTTTCCACCGCTTGTACAGCTTCTTGCCAAGGCGCTTCGCCTCTTTCTTGTCGCTGATGCGCAGCAACGCGTCGTCGTCCACCTCCCCACCTCTGCTGCCGTCATCGCCGGCATGACCGGAGGCAGCAGCACCACCACCAGCCGCAACACCACTAACGCCGTCTCCATCGCGGAAGACCACCTCTTCATTTGTATGATTATTATTAGCAGTATGGATGTTACTGTGCGCATCATCCACCGCGTCACTCTCGTCATCGTCATCGTTCTCGTTGTCACTCTGCTCCTCGTCGCTGTGGTCACTGCTGTCGTGGCGGACGGCGTTGACGTTGTTGCTGCTGGCGCGCAGTGCCTTCTCAAAACTCCACCCCACCTCCCCACCTTCCGCCCCGGCGTCGTTCATGGCGGGCAGCGTCATCTCCACCTCGGCCTGCGGCTGCACCGGAAGAGAAGCGGGGCCAAGCCCCAAAATGGCATCCTCCTCCTCCATTCTTCTTCTTTTTGCTCTCCCTCCTCACCTTCGTACGGAGGGAGAAGTCAGTGAGACAACACTATGTGCTGACGCTGGCGCTTGCGCAAATAGACAGTGTGTCACGCAGCAAAACCTCCTCTCCCTCTCTAAATATATGTGTGTGTTAATTGTATCCGGAGCCGCTTATGCCGTCAACAACGCGAATCCGACGCTTTATTTTTTTTTTTACAAAGTGGAGCAGAACAGAACAGAAAGACGAGGGCCTTAAAGCAGACAACAACAGAAAAAACGCGTTGCACGACGGTGGTGAAGGTGCCTGTGAGCTTCAGGTGAGAGAATATGCAGGGAGAGAGGCAACACAGAAAGGAACAGTAAGTGTCGACGAGCTCAACACCCCCCTCAAAAGAAAAAAAAGGCGAGACAGCAGCTCTGGACATCTTCGCATGCAGTTCTTTCCCCTGTGCAACGTCTGAGGAAAGAGCCGTAACCTTCATGAAGAGTGTCTGCAACGCGCGAGTAGGAATTGTACATTGAATTCTGACGACTTCATTTTTCTGTCGTGAAGGCAGCAGAGGGCAGAGAAACAAATGGCTGTTTTGCTTCTTCACCCTTTCCCTTGTCAGCTCTTACTGTTATTATCATTTTGGAAGAAAGAGGAGCAGACCAAGGATTGTCCTGTTCAGTACTCGTGCCACTCGGAGCTGTGGACCCATGTTCCAGAATACGTCGGCGCATACACGGCAGAGTTGCGCCACGACGAGCGCACGGAGCACAAGCCACTTCCCCAATCTCCGCTGCCGCCCTGCCGAACGCCGCTGCGCCGACCAGAGCTTCCACGCGCAGCAGAGGGCGCGTCGGTCAACGACGTCTTCATGAGGTGAAGGCGGTAGCACAACGCCAGCGTGTCAGAGGACAGAAGTCCAGCAGCCACCGGACAAACGAATTCGGTATTGCTGTTGTGTACGGTCTTGCGGCTTTCACCGACGACTTCAACGTAGAGAACGCAGAAGTGAATGTTGTGCAGCGACACCGCCGGCAGCGTTCGACACTCCGCAGTGCAACGAGCATCTTCCCTTCGCGCGGCCTTCCCGATCAGACTTCGACGCGTGGTGGTCTCCGGCTCACTCGTTGAACTCGCGAACACACTAGGCGGTGGGTGCGTGTGGGGCACCCGTAGTCGACGGATAAGATCAGAGTCTGCCAACACCGCCTCCTCCGACGGCAACGATGTCTTGTTGTCTGTTCTATGCGTGGCGCCAACGCTTTCATTCGATTTTCTCGACGGCTCTCCGTTCGAATAGCGCCCGCCGCTCGCAGTGTCCACCGTGGACATGGGCAACTCCACCACCAGCAACGCACACTGCAGCCGTCGCTGCAGTAGGCAGAGAAGGTAGTGCGGAATCGGGAACGTCTGCCCCGTCGCTCTCTCCTGCAGCGTGGTGGTGGTGGTGGGTCCCGTCAAGCCCTCCACGACACAGAGAGGGATGATGTTCACCACCGCCCGTTTTCCTACGTCACATAAATGTGTCGCTCCTACCTGTGCGGTTGCCTCCATCGGGTCGTTTGGGTTGGCTTCTGCGATGGGTGAATGCGTTGTCGTCATGTGCGATGCGGAGAGCGTGGGCGACATCACAGCAGACTCTTTACGCCCTGCTGCCACGTCCTCCTTTGGGTTCTCTGCACTCGCCGTTGATGAAAACACGCCGGCGTGGCACACGGCGTACACATCCGCCATCGACGCGCACACCAACACCTCCACACGGGCTATGGCCTCGATGACGGCTTGCCGGCGAGCCCGCAACGGCGCGGCCGCGTTCAACGATGCATAGTTACCATCCGGTGAGGAAATCGTCGACACGCCTAGTGAGTTATTGTTGTCTGGCACACCACATGATGGCGATGCTAGCCGGGCCGCGCGCCTCACCCACTGCTGCTCCACCTCTAGCGTAAAGCAGGCAAGTGAAAAAGAGGCGCTGGCAGGGCCCAATAAGAAAAGCACCCGACCGCCGCGCAGGGTGTGTGCGGCGGCCACGGTATAGGCGTAGTGCCGCAGTGGACGCGCCACCGCAGCGGCAGAAAGCGGGCCGCCGAGTGCGGTTGCCGTCGACAACGGATGCGCACTTGTGGTGAGGAGACACACCGAACTCGTCCCCAGCTCCGTCTTGATGTCAGCGTTTGCTACCGTGGTTGCTGGCGAGGAAATGCGTCTGTCTGACGGTTGAGGGACAGCGTGAGAGGCGGTGCATTGCTGATCTCGTGCAGCCGTCGCGTCATCGCCACTGTTCTCTAGCGAAGGAAAGAGCTGCACGGGCGTAGCGTGAAGGCGCTGGATGACGGCCCGTGCAGACTCGCGTCGTCGCACATTTGTCGTCGTGGGGACTGTGAAGGGACTGCTTGGTTCTGCACGACTACTCATGGAGGCTTCTGTTTCACCCGTAGTCGTCGGTGGCGCGAACTGCAAGAAGCGGATGAAGGTTCCCTGTGATAAATGCAAGAGGGGAGAGTTGAAATCGAGAACGAGCATCAGTACACAAAAAGAAAGGTAATACGGCGCAGTGACCCACGAACGGAAGCTGAGAGAGAGAGAGAGAGCATACCAAAACTACCAAGGCCAGATCACGCAACCGCTGCTTCCTCTCTGATCCTCCTCCAACGCAAAGCAGGAGTTTCGTTTTAGGTGGTGCGCGTTACGTCGCTTGACGTGCAACAGTCCAATAGCGCCAATTCGCGCTGCTCTAGAACCATCATGAAAGAGAAGTACTTCATGATGTGGTAATAAAGCAAAGAAAAAAGATTTTGAATTCCATAAAAGCATACAACGGAACACGTTGAACACACAGTGGAAAAGGAGCGATTCGGTTGGGAGAGGGGGTTGACGTGCAGATCACCTTTACGCAGAGTTATCAAAAACATACGCCTCAAATGGGGTTTCACCTCAACTAGAGAGAACAAAAGGAAGAAAGAAGCAGGAGCAGAAGCACAGCCACGCTTTTCCGGAAGGCCATGTGTGCGTGTCTGTGTCATGTGGTGATAAAGCAGCACCCTTGAGTGCACCCGCTGCTCGACACATGCGCCATGTACAAACGTGCGATTGAACGCAGCAGTAGTAGTAGATTCACTTAAACTTTAAAAGAACAAACATCGTTGCAGTCCAGAGAGGACCTCATATCCGAAAAAACGAACTACAGAGGTCCGTCAGTTTCGAGCAATAGCAACACCATCTCCTCCACGGTGGGGAAGTGTTCGCTGCTCGCCGGCTCAGACGGGGCAACCGCAGCGGAGGTCAGCGTAGCAGGATTGGCGGACGCCATGGCACGGCGGTGCTGCCGGCGCAGCTCTCGCGTCTCGATCACGCACACGTTCTCGTAAAACTCGCGTGCGCATTGCACAATCTGGTCCACGCTGGTCCCGCTGCTCAGCACGTTCATAAATTGCAGCAGTATCTCGTAGGCGTGGATGTGTGTGATAATCTGCGGTGCCAGCGCCACGAGCAGCGCGACGGTGACGATGACCTCGTAGGACTTCGTGTAGGGGCAGGCGAAGAGGACATCCCAGAAGCGCATCGTGTCGGCGAGGGAGCCGAGGTCGCGCTTGAAGCACACGAGAAGCCAGCGGAAGCAGAACGTCATGTCCTCCGCCATACACCGCATCTTTAGGTGGCCGTAGAGGCGGGGGTGGAAGTGACGGATCAGAACCTGCACCTGGTACAGCTTCCGCTGCAACCCCTTCACGGCCGCGTAAGGGGCGTCCTTCTTCCGCTCCTCAATAACGAAGTTGCTCTCCATGTGTTCACGCAGCATTTTGCGGAAGCACAGAAACATGGCCGCCTCTTCGGATGCCGGGGCGACCAGTGAGGCGATCGCCGCGACATCGCTCATGCCCTGGCTGTAGCCAAGATCCATGTTGTACATCACATGTGCGAGCAGAAGCTCCTGCAGCACGCGCAGCATATCCGATTTGTCGTCGCTGAAGGCTGGGTGGGAGCGGTCGGTGCGCTCGACGTCTTTGATGATAGAGTGCTTCGCGTAGCGATACACCGCGAAGTGCTCCTCCTGCTCCGCTAGGAACGACTTCCACTGCGTGGTGAGGCGGGTGTACAGTTCTTTTTCCTTCGAGAGTATCGCCTTCTGGTCGTCCTGGGTGGAGCCGATCGGGTAGGCGCCCAGGAGGTAGCACCACACCTCAAAGCGGACGCTGTTGTCGGCCAGCCCGCCACGCTCGAACAAGGACCGTCGAAACGCACGCCAGCGGTCCGCATTCAGCACTCTCCCCCTCTTTGATGCGACGCCCTTCGCTGCAGGCGTCGTCGTTGCAGGTGATGAAGTTGTTGCTGCTGGTGCCTCCAGCGGTGCGGCATCGAAGACGGCCTCCCACTCCGGCGCTGTCACAAGGCCCATCGACGGATCGAGCCCCACTGGTGGCAAAGACGGCTTGGGGGGTACGTAACACGCACCGAGGCGCACGGCTGTCATTTCATCGTGGAGATCCTCAAAAGAGGAGCTGCTCGAGTTGGCACCACCGCCAGCAGCGACAGAGCTGCGGCTGCCCGTTGAAGAGCCGTCAGGAAGGGTCTGTGACTGGCTCGCGCAGCGCTTCTTGCCCAGGTCGTGTCCCTCCCTGTCACCACCAACTCCTTTGACGATGCCCACCAAGGCAGATGATACGGCGTGCAGAGGACTTTGCGCCTCATCGGAGACGAGCACCGCATGTTTGCCAGGTCGGAAAAGCGCAGTCGGAGAAAAGCGGGCCCGCCAGCCGCCAGCGGTTGACTTCTCGCCTTTTTGCTGTTGTTGTGTCTGCTGCTGGCCTCCGGGCGGTGATAGAGATGTCTTCCAGTACTCGCCCGCCGCGGGAAGAGGTCCCTCCGACCCCCGCTCCGATAAAGCTTGAGGAGGGTGCCGCCCACCCCCCAACCCGGCGAAGACGTTGCCATCGACCTCCACCGTGTATACGTCGGTGGGGCCCATCTGTGCACTGGAGACGCGGCGGAGTCCTTTCGGCGAGGCGTTTCCCCCGCCCGTGCCACTCCACGCACCGTTTCCCTCGCCGGCCATCGCAATGGCAGAGTTGCTGCTGTTGCCGTAGTTGCCTCGAACACCCAGACAGGTGAAGATCAGCTTGGGCGAATACTTCCGCAGGGACGCCACACAGCGCGTGATGCCGCCTTGGTAAAACACAAACGAGCACGAGTGACCACCCAAGGGCAGCGGGCGGAGACCCGAGCCGTACGTTGAGCCAGACATCGGGGAGACAGAGCGGCTGCGGTTTGTGTTCGCGGCGTCTACGTTACTAGTCGCGCCCCCCGCCCATTCGAAGATGTCGGACGTGCTTTTGGCTGTGTAAACGGGGGCGCCGGACTCCAGCATCGCCGTTAAGCGCTGCACACGCCGCTCCCGTGTCGTTGTCACGTCGGTGTCACAGCTCTCGATTGTGGCGATGTCCCGGATATTAAAGCATAAACAGGCTGGCAATGTAGTCGTCGTCGCTGCCATCGTACTCTTGTCGGTGCCAGCCGCGCTCCTCGCTGCGTCGCCGCTGTGGTGGTGGTGGTCGTTGTTGCGCGGTGACAAGGCCAGCTGCCGAACCGGCGACACCGTGAGAGAGTCATCGCCCTCGCCGACCGCAACGGATGGGGCATCGGTGGCTATCCACAGCAGCACCGTCACGGTACCGGCGACCAGTGCATCGTCCGCGGCCGATGTCGGGCCAGACAGGTTCATGCCCCCTACGCTGCGCAGGTTGGAGGAGGTGGATTGGGGTGGAGTGCCAGCGGTGGTGGACAAGACTGGAGACCGAGGCGAACCCACCGCCGGATACGCACTCACGCCACCCAGCTGCGATGGGTTCTCCCCTTGTACCTTAGACCGGAGGGCAGTGGTGCGCGCAACACGACTGTCATCGCGGAAGACCAAAGACGAAGACTTGCTGTGCGTGCCGGCCATCGCCTCAGGAAGTTGAATCCCATCCCTCTCATCCGTACCGCCGTCACCGCCGGCAAACAGTTGCGGCGAGATGTGATCGAGCGAGCCTTGCCGATTGCGCGGATCCTCCGTCGACATCGGATCGCGGTGGTGCGATGAGGAGTGGCGCCGCTTGGCCATCGGCGGCGGCCGTGGTGGGGTGCGGGTGTCATCGGTGGCGTCGTCCGCGTTGTCAAAGGCTGACGCCTCCGGCAGTTCCTCCGTTGCGAGATGCACGTTGCGCCTGTCCTTGTCCCGGCCGTTGCTGCAGCACCGCCTGTCGGCGTGGCGACTCTCGTTGCCGTCTTCCGCCACTTCCTCTTTGCCCAGCGACAGCGTCACGTCCTGCGCGGTGCTCTGCGGAGACCCCTGTGCCCCCTGCACAACGCTCTGGTTGAGCGAGGGGCAGAAGGCGGACGCCTCGCTAAAGAAGGCGAGCTGCCGCTGCGACGGCGCAGAAGTGGCGGTGACCGCTGCGATCGAGTTCCACGTCACCTCCGGCAGCGCACAGATGTACAGTGTGCCGTTGACCTCCGCAGTCCACGACGACGACGAGGTCTGTGACTGTGGCACGGCCGTCGCAGTCCGAATCACCTGCGCAGGACCATTTTTGCTGTTGCCGCCGTTGTTGGAGTTGGAGGTGGTCAGATCAGCGCCGTCTGCCTCCAGCACCGGAGTTCCGCGGAAGCGACGCGGCGCGGCGGTGACGGCGGTGGGGCTCGAGGCGGACGGTGCCGCCGCCGCGAGTGAGACGTGCGTAAAAGCTTCGCAGCGGCGGGTTGTGCCGTCAAAGAAGCCCAGGATGCCGTCGGCGGAGAGAGGCATGACTGTTCCAATCGAACAAGAAGCAGTTAAAAGCAAAAGCAGCAACAAAGAAAAAAGCACAAAAAGAAGACAACGCAAAAAGGGCGAATTGTAGTAGCTGACACAAGGAAGTGTGCGTGTTTAGCAGAGATCACGCTTCATCCTGTCTACACTGTAGATGTGTCCAGCACACGTTCGTCCCTGAAAACCCGCATACACACACACACACAAGCAAAGTAGAAAGCAAAATTGCTGTGAATCTATCAAAGCTGTTAGACGACTGTTTGAGATGTAGTTGTATAGTGATACGGAATGGATTCGGAGTATAGGCGCAGCCCTTGATAGGTGCGTTGGTGAGCCCAAACCTTAAAAAAAAAAAGCACAGCGCTCACAGAATCGCAGTAAACCCCACAAGAAAATATTTTTTTAAAGCACTGGGTGTATACAGCAATGGACTTGGTTCAGCTACCGTCAACGGTTCTTTTGTTTTTGTGGACTACACACACACATAAAAAGAAAGGATGGACTGCAGCTGATGACCTTTTGTTGGTGACGAAGGGTCATAGCCAATACGCCGCATCAGAAATCAAGAGGAAGAGGCGCAGAAGAAATCGTCCTTGCAGAAAACCGCATCAGAAGGGAAGGTGAAACACACAACAACAAAAACTGATTAGCAGCTCAATGTGTGTGTTTGTGTGTGCTCATGAGTTGATTCATTTCCATTACAGTAGAGCGTGCTACAGGCCCCTCCGTTGATGATGTTCAAGATGACCTTCTCAATACTTTTTCTTTCCTTCATTAACCTTTTTTTTAAACCCCCGATGTTACTGTACACGCAAACGAAAAACAAAAAACTCGCCGTGCGCCTTCACCAGTTAGTCGCAGCGAAACAAAAGATGGACCCCAAGCTGTGTCTCCACCGGCACACTCACCTCACCACGGCGCAGGCGAAAAGCAGCATCGTCGATGGCATCCGAAAAGGTGCCCTTTTCCACCATGCCAAGGTCACCCGCCTTCTTCTTGTGCGACACCTCGCAGAACTCCTTCACGGCTGTCACGAATTCTTCCACTGTCCACGGAGAAAAGCCCAGCGCAGAGTTCACTGGCACCTGTGTTTGGTGCTCCTTTACAATGAAGCGCGCCATCTCCAGCGCATCTGCCTTGGATCGGGTGATGACCTCGCCCTTGTTGTGCCCGCGCGAGATGGGGTTGTCGACGTCTTTGTGTTTGATGACGAGTTGGTACAGGTGAATGGCAGCCGGCTCTGATGCCGCCGCTTCTTCCGCCGCCGGAATGGACGTGGGTCTACCTTTGTCTTCCTCTGCCTCGTGTGTCTGTGCTTCCTGTGCAGACGACACAACTGTGGATGGAGGCGGCGTGGCCGTTTCCACAGTCCGTGCCGTCGTGTCTGCTTTCGTTGAAGGAGTTGCGCATGCCACGCGGATCGTCGACGAGGAAACGCGTTCAGAGACGGCTGCAGGCGTCCGCGGCCCGGTAACGACCGAAGAGGAAGAAGACGCGAGAGGACCGGACGGCACTGCAGGCTTCTGCGCCGCACCCTCCGCTCTCTCGTACCGTGTCGTCTGTGCCTTGGTCGTTTCTGCCTCTTTTCCCTCCTCGTCACGGGTGCGCTTCCCTGCTGTCGCGGTGCCTGCCCTCAACTCGTAGGTGCGCGTACTGTAGCCAAACTGGACGATGCTGCCCACCGTGATCGGCACGGGCCTCCGCGCTTCCACCCGCTTACCGTGCAGCCGCGTTCCATTGGTGGAGCCCAGATCGAGCAGTACGAAGCACTCATGCTCCTTGTTAAAGATGAGGGCAGCGTGCACGGAGCTGATGGAGGGGTGCTCTAGCACGTAGTCGCACACATCGTTTTTGCCGAAAAGGTAGTAGGGGAAGCGGTGCAGGGCGAGCGCGGGGAACACAACGCCGCCGCGCTCGCAGTGCAAGTGAAAGGGCCGCGAAGGGAGACCCGCCCACGCAGGGCAGCGAAAGATGGGCGCCTGCTTGTTGAGCTTAATGGGGTCCGTCGCCGCAATGATGTGCGGCGGCAGCGACTGTGCACTTTCACTCAGCGCAACGGCTACCGCTGGCGGTTTCTGCTCCTTTTCGCGGGACGCCGTTTCTGCCGCTCGCGCCAGTCGCGCGACGTGCGCCTGAAAGTCGCTCATCCAGTGCCCACGTACCTCTTTGCTTCCACAGTGGTTGTGTGGTGGGGCGCTAACGACTGCAGTGCAGTCGAACCACTCGGGGGTTGAACTGCATGTGGCCGTGTTGTTTAAAACAGACACAAAAAGGAATCATTGAGCAGAAGAAAAACCAACGAGAGAAGGCGAGTAGAGAGCCAACAGGGGTGAAATGAATGAAGCTGCAGTGCGCGAGTTTCTTTTACCTTTCTTTACGTTGTACACCAGTTTTTCCTTTTCAACGAAGGAGCGTATAATTAGAGAATTCGCCAGCTGTACGATCTTCTTTCTCATTTTTCATCGCCTTCGTGTCTCCTTCGTTGTTTCGCATGTTCACTGAGCTCAAAGTGCACCACTGTGGCCTGAAGCACCACGGTGAAGATCATTCCATCTTTTTCTTTCTAGAAGGTTAGCGACATTTTATGAGAATGTGAAGAAGAAAATTCAGAGAATTCCAAAATGCGTCGCGACTTCGCAATGCGCATGGCTGAGCCCGTTAGACAGCGCTCTTGCCGTTCCATTTGACCACGTTCTCCTTGTGCGCCAGTGAGCTGTTCCGGCGCGGGTTCCAGCCTCGGTACGGATTGCGTAGATCTCGCATCACCTTCGGCCGCATCGTGAGAGGGTGCGGGGTGCGCTTGTGATTTGCAAAGACCTTCTCGCCGCCGCGCCCAAAGAAGTCCCAGCCGCTGGCATGGTCGTGCAGTCCTTTCGGGATTGGGCGCGGGTCTCTGTCAGCGTCGGCGTGGCTGCCAGTGAAGGCGGCGTGACGCGTGTCCTGCAGACGCAGATAATCGCGCCGCATCGCGTCCTCAGCGAGCGAGGTGAGAGTGGCGCTGGACCGACCGCTGCGGTGCGCGGCGCGGCGCTTTGTTGCGTGGGCAGCCCCACTTGCGTGAAACCGCGCCCCGCCAGTTTGTGTCGAGTGCGCGGGTTCTGTGAAGAGCTGCCAGCGCCGATCCAGCAACGACGTCGCGGTCATTGCCGCCGCCGCCGCCGTCTTCGAGGCGCTTGCAGACTGGGTAGAAGCAAGACACGGTACGAACGGGCTCTCACCAACTCTCGAAGAAGCGAGAGCGTTGCCGCCTGACATGGCCACCACCGGACCTTCCAACACTGCCAATGGGAGACAAGCAGCACAGGCGCCCTTTCGTTGCGGCGACAACGAGGAGGAGACGTCAGCTTCAGCGCTCGCAGCAAAGCGTCGCACCACCTCCGGCGGAAATAAATGCGGCATGCAGCGCACCATATCAAGCCGTCGCTCCTCACTGCGGCACAGCGCGTAGGCGGCGTAGCCCAGTGAAGCCAACAGAGACTTCAGCTCCTGCGCAGAGGCGGAGAGCTGCAGCGCGGCTTTGCGCTCGCGTGCGCGCACCATCATCGGCGTCCGCGCGAGCAACTCGAAAAGACGTGCGTGTTGACCCACCTGCAACAGCGCCGGCCCCACAGCGGCCATGACCACATCGGTCAGCTGCATGTCATCTCGGTAGGTGAGCAGGTCGTCGAGGAGGCGCACGACAGTGACGGGACGTGCCGCCGCGGGCAGCGCGAGTACCTGACCGCCCCGCTCTTTTGTCGTCGTGCTGGTACACAGGCGAAGTGGATCCGCCGCCTTGGGCAGACATGCAAAGACGAGATTCAGCGTCACCGCATCGAGAGGGAGCTCAGCGTCGTACGGAAACAACAAGGCGGCAGATGTGTCCCTGTAAAGAGTCTCCTCCGCCTCCTCCGCGGCTGCCACAGCAGCAATACCGTCCGCCCAACTCACCAAGTCTTTGGGAGCGGCGGTGAGGTAAGTGGAGGACGCGCGGTGGAGAAATGCAACGCTGAAGAAGTCAAGAACGGCTTCCCAGCGTCCGTAGAAGGCGTAGAGGTTGAGCAGCTCATGCACATCTTGAATGGGTGGTGTTGCTCTTTTAGGTGGAAGACTTCTGGAGACATCGTTGCGGATGCTTGCCTCGCTGCTCGCCGACGCAGTGGGAAGAAGACCGTAGAGGTGCTCCCAACACGACACCGCATCCGTCAAGTAACGCGACGCAGCTTCGCCCGGTACAGCTGCTGAAGTGCCTGCCGTGCTCGATTCTCGGCAAAGAGACTGAAAGAGACGGCGCACTGCCACGGGACTTAGCAGAGACAGCACAGGGAGAGTCGAGTTCGCGGAATATGGCGCTCTTGTCGCCTTTGTGAGTTGCTGTTGTTGCGGCTCACTCTGGCTCTTCTGCGGCTTCGTCGATGCGGACGATGTCTTCTTCGCATCGGTGGTTGTGCTCTCTGCATCGTGAAACAACGAGTTGATGGTGGGCCTGTGTCGACTCTCGGTGGCCATTTCATCCTTCGCACAATCCACTTCGCTAGCGCCGTGCTGCACATCCGCAGGAGCGGCAGCAAACCCCTTCGTCTTCCTCAGGTCTCCCTGGCGCGCCGCCGCCTCAGCCAGCCAACGCCGCGCCGCGGTGTCGTCGAAGGCACTGCGCCTGCGTTGCACCGGCGGCGATGGTGGTTGCTGAGAGTTCCCTCGCCCCTCCGTTGCAACGGAGGGCTGGAGCAGCTCCTCGTAGAGCGCCGTTGCCGCCTCTAACTCTCCATGGCGGCACAGAACAGGAAGCAGCAACTCCGCCATGTGCTGCAGCGTGAGCAGCGAAAAGCGAAAGCGCCGTCGTGCCTGGTGGAAGGTGTCGAGGGCCACCTGCGGCTGCTGCAGCGTGCAGTAAGCCCACACCAGTGTCACCCAGAGGGACGCGTTGGAGGGGATCTCGCCGGCGTAGGCTTTATCGCGCAGGGAATCAATGGCAGGTAAAACGTCCGCAGCGACGGGTGCTGTGAGAGCAGAGGAATCAGCAGCAGTAGCAGCAGCTGGGTTGGAAAGATTCGTAGTGGGTGAAGCTGACGTGCTGGCTGTCAGCTCGGCATAAGCGCCGTGGTGCTCCACCATGTCACGCACGACAGCTTGGTAGTGCTCAGGGGTGCGACCCCGCCGCGCGTAACGTGCGTTCAGCACCTCCAGCGACCGCATCCAGTTGTGGCTGTCCAGCGGGAGGACGAGACGTCGGTTAATCGCCTTGCGACTTACGGCGACGCGCATCGCCGCACGGCTGCGGTAGTGCGGGGCCACCGACGACCGCCAAAACTGCGTCGCGTAGGAGCCGTGACGCCCCGCGATCTGGTTCTGTAGCATATTCGTGCGTCAGCCACCTCCTTTTTTCTTTGTTATGCGTGTAGAACAGAAATCAATGCGTATTGATTATACGAAAAAGTGTATCGAAGAGCGCGATGAAGAACTAAACAGAAATGAAGAAGAGAAGAGAAAGGAGAAGGGGAAAGCAGGACACATTACTTTTTCAGACAAGCGATGCGTTCCGTTTACACCGCTTTCGTTTGGGCCACCGTATCTGCTGGTGTCAACAAAAACGAATACGTCGCTGCCACACGGCAAGGAGTCTCTCAGAGAGCCTAGAAACGCTGTCCATTCCAAAAAAAAGTGTTCGTCAATCCTTCGTTTACTCTTCCGTTGTTTTACATTTCGCAGTCCATCACCTTATTTGCTGCTTTGCAACATCGCAAATACAGAAGAACATACACGTTGAGTGGGTCAGGCTTCATCGTTCGCCTCTTTTCGGTTGTCGATCTTCTCGTTGCTCACGGATGCGAACACCCGTTCTGCCCAGAAGGCTGTTGTGGACTTCAAAAAGCACTGCCCTAGTTGTGATAGAGCGGCTTGTGCGGCGGCTGCGTAAAGCGCGCGCGGTCCAGCGCCGACTCGAAGGAGCGTTGCGTAAGCCCGGCCTTCTCGACCTTCTTTTGCGTCTTGGATGACCGCATCGCGATATCGAAGAGCTGTTCGTTGTCGTGAAAGCAATGCCGCATCTCCTCGACAAGAGCCACATTGACAGCGTGTAATCGCAGCACGAGTCCCTGAATGCGCTTCAGCTTTGCGTCAATGATGACGTCCCGCTGTGCGTCCTTGGCGATCAGCTGCTCCTCCAGCCCCCGGATGCGGCCCTGTAGCTGCCACACGTTCTCATTCGATACGTCGCCGCCGCTGCCGCCTGAAGACGCTGACGCCGTGTTGTGGGGATTGGTGCGAGCGGAGAGAACTGCGAAACTCGTTAGAGCGCGGACCGCCTCAGCGACCTGAGCGTCCCGCACCGCGGCAGAGGGGTCCTTGATGGTCAACGGCTTCCCCTGCGTCACCTGCGCGGCGGCGCTCAGCAGACGCCACAGAAAGGAGTTGCGCAGCTGCGTCTCGTCCTTCGCCTCGTCGACGTCGTCCTCGAGGCTGTTGTTCTTCTCGGTAAGACGGTGCAGGCGCTGCATCAGTTCCGCCTTGTCGCGGTCCGCCTTCTCCTTCAGCTGGCTGTACGAGTACAGCAGGTTCTGGTGCTCTACGTGCAGCTTCGTCAGCTCGGCCAGGTAGTCGTCGCCACGGTGCTTTTCTAGCAGCCTCGCCTGACTCTGCTGCAGCTGCGCGCGCAGGAGGCCGATTTCGTGCTGCAGCGAGTTGTGCTCCTCCTCCACCGCGGTGATCAACTCATCGGCTTCGTTCGTGCGACGTGTCAGCGCCTTGATCTGCTCAGCCTGGGACTTGTTCTCACCCTCCAGTTCGCGGCACAGCCCGTCTAGCTCGTCAAGGGAGGCCTGGGCGGCCTGCACGGCCGTCTCGCGCTCCTTCAACATGTCTTGCGTGTACTGCAGCGAGCGGCGCAGGCTGGCCAATTCCGCCACCGCCGCTGCCGACTCGCTCGCCGAGGAAGGCATACTTCCTTTCTGTCCACCATCGGCCATCGCCTTCTCCAACTGCACCCGCAGCGTGCCCGCCTCCTCGCGAAGGGCGTCGTTCTGGGCGTTGAGCTGCGCGATGATCATCTGCTGCTGTTGCTGCTGATTCATTAGGTGGGCGGCGCTGGGCTGTGCGAAGAGGCCGATGCCGCCGCCACTGTCCGCAACGGCTGCGCTGGCGAGCTGCTCCTCATACCGCCGTATCCTCAGCTGCTTACTCCACAGGTAGAGCGTCTGTGCCACCAACAGCTTCTTCGTATTGCGCAGCGCCGCTTCCAACTCACGCACGCGCGTCTGCGCATTCGCCACCTCGTTCACGTGGGCCTTATTTTTCACTCGCTTCGCACGCGAGGCGAATTGCAAGGTGCTGCGGGACTCATTTGCGCTTTCAACAGCGGGGGTAATGCAGCACAGCACGGCGGTGAAGGAGTTGCCGCCGAGGGATGTCTTGAGCAGGTGGGTGAGGCGGGAGTCGCGATACGGAATAAACGCCGTCCCACCGTTGTTGTTGCTGTTGCTGCTTGCACCGGCACGACCCGGCGGCATCGCTCCAGATGCGGTGTGCTGCTGCTGACCGGTCGACTCACTCGCCAGCCGGTTAATTACCGTCGTCAGCGTCGTCAGAGATTTGTTGATGTGGCCGCCCTCAATCATGCGCAGTCCTGTGGCACCTGTCTTGGCTACACGCTCCGACCCTGCCAGGTCAACCATGTTCAGTGTGGAGATGAATTTCTTTTTGTTCTTCGCCGACTCCCTCTTCTTCGCTGCATCGGCAGAGAGGCCATGCTTGCCCTCTCCTTGCGCAGCTTGGCTGAGGGACGCGCGGCTGCCGCCGCCGTCTTCATCGTCGCCGTCCGTCTGCGTCGTCGTTTCGTCATCCTCCTCCTCCTCCTCCTCTGCGTTGTCTGCATCCGACACGGCGTCCTCTAAGTAATAGGAGCGCTCCACGAGAAGGCGAATCACACAGTGCGAGCGACTCGAGTGTTCGTTCATCATCGTCGCGGCAGACACGCGTGACGCGGCACGGGTGTAGATGACATTGGCGCACTCCTCCTCGGAGGCCACCTGCACGCGGCGGGCGTTGTGCACGTAGACGCCGTGTTCGTTCTCGCGGATGCTCAGCGGCAGTGGCGGCGGTGAAGCGACCAACGGAGAGGCCGCCGCCATGTTGGGGCTACCCGACGCACGCACACCGCCGCCGTCGCCTTGCAGCAAGTCGCGCAGCTGCTCATTATAGATCTCTAGCACCGACACAAACACCTCCGCGTGCATGTACGGCTTGCGCTGCTGCTCCATCGCCAGAGCTTTGAAAAGATCGTGGACAGCCAGTCGAATTAAACCAGGTGAGCGGGCGCTGGTGTCGCCAAACATGGTGAACGACTTGCCGCTGCCGGTCTGGCCGTAGGCGAAGATGGTCCCATTGTAGCCCTGCGCCACCCGTGCGACAATGGTGTCTCGCACATTATTCTTGTAGATCTCTGCGGTGGAGGAGCCGGTGTCGTAGACGCGGTCGAATGTGAAGGCGTTGTCGGGCTGGGCGAGCTCGGTGAGGGAGGTGGCGTCGATCTGCCACGCCGGCCTCGACTCGTGCAGCTCCGCACGGAGAGGTCGAACGCGGATCGCCACCTCAATCGAGCTGGCGGTCGGCGACGAGGTCATGCCCTGCTATCAGAAACTACAAACGTTACACGTGGTGTTAGACGGAACACAAATGCCAATTATAATAGTGAGCACAGTCACTCACACATCCAAACAAATCAATACAACAGTGGGGGAGTAATGACGAAACCGGCCACACACACAAACACACACACACACACAAGAATTCCTCTCGTCAGGCACTGAAAGCGCTGCTGGGTTAAAAGAGAGAGAGAGAATAGAGGCGGCTCCTGGCGAAGCACAATTTCGTTTGTGCGGTGTGCAGGTCCACTTCTCCCTGGCAGCAGACGTCGATGAGAAGAAGTGTTCCAACCCACAACTCAAAGAAACGAGGTTTTTAAGAAAGTGAGACAGTGAAGATGTGTATAATACTGTTGTGGGGCTGTGGAGGAGAGAGTAGTGGGGAGTAGGAGCAGGTCCGAGGCTGGCTTCGTGGAAATGAAACCAGCGCTGCTGGCAACTCTGTTACGTGCCGCAGTCTACAACGATGTTTCTACGTTGCTCTTACTCAAACAGAGAAAAAAAAAGGAGGTTGCGCTAGATCAGAAAAAGCCGTCCTGTTGCACACATGTGACTCTCGTCGTGCCACTTCACTTGTGGCGTTTTCATATATGTATCCCATATCGGAGCAATGATTGACAAGAAGGAAAATATGGAATAGATCCGAGGAGAAAAGCGGTGGAGAATTCAAAGCCGTTTGAGATGAGTCAAATAGAAAACACCGCAGAAACGCACCCAAGCTGCATCGTGGACGTAAGCTTACGTTGTCCCTACCGGGGTTGAGCGAAAGACTATCCATTTATTGTGCGGGTGCGTCACCTTCTACACCGCGCAATTACTCTCCGAGAAACATGTGGCACGCTCTAAGTTATGAAGAAAAAAAAAACCGGCCACATACATCTGCAAATGTTGACATTGTCTTTCAACTCGCTTCAAGCTACACAACTGCTATGATGAGAACAAGTTGCACGTGGAGCATGTGCGAACCCCTCCGTCGAGTTTTCTGGAGGTTGTTGTTGTTTTGGCTAGCGCTGCAATACTTCCTTGATAGGACGAATACAAAGAAAGAATGAATAGGGAGAAGAAAAAAAAACCGGCGCACGACACGTCGGACAGAAAGTGTTCACCTCGCACGGAAGCACAACAGAGGGCGTTAGACAAATCGCCTCCACTGCGCATTCCCTTCATTCGGGCATGAGAGCGAGTGAGAGAGCGGCACACTCGCGTGCGGTCCAGCGCAGCACAAATAAGTAAATAAACATCAGCAACACCAACAGAAATCAAGCAAGATGATGACCGCAAGCACAATTGCAAGGACAGCAAAGTCTGAACCACAAAACGCCTGACTCTAGTTGTACACCATGTACTTGGCCGTGGCACTGAATTTGTGCTGACCCTTCACCACCTTGTTCACCGAGTCCAAAAAGTCCTTCTCGTTGATCGTCTTGCGGCGGGCGCGGATGGCAAACATGCCGGCCTCCGTGCACACCGACCGCAGATCTGCACCCGTCGTGTTCGGACACAAACGGGCAATCAACTCAAACCGCACGTCCTTCTCGCAAGAAAGCGAGCGGGAGTGAATGCGCAGAATGTTCGTACGGCCCTCCAAGTCCGGCAGGCCAATCTCCAACTTGCGGTCCATACGGCCCGGGCGCGTCAGGGCTGGGTCTAGGGTGTCGGGTCGGTTCGTCGCCATGATCACCTTCACGTTGCCGCGGGAGTCAAAGCCGTCCATCTGGTTCACCATCTCCAGCATCGTGCGCTGAATCTCGTCGTCGCCGTCGCCGCTACCGCGACTGCCACCGACGGCGTCGACCTCGTCAAAGAAGATAATGCATGCCTTCTTTGTGCGGGCCAGCTGGAAGATCTCACGGATCATGCGGGCTCCCTCGCCGATGTAGCGCTGCACCAGCTCCGAGCCGATGACTCGAATGAAGGTGGCATCCGTGCGGTTCGCCACCGCCTTGGCCAGCAGCGTCTTGCCAGTACCGGGCGGTCCGTACAGCAGCACCCCCTTCGGTGGGTCGATGCCCAACTGGGTGTACTTCTCCGGGTGTGTAATCGGCAGTTCTACCACCTCCCGAATGCGCTCAATCTGCTCCTTCACACCGCCCACATCGGCGTAGGTCACGTCGGGTTTGTCCTCCACCTGCATCATCGAGACGGAGCGGTCAATGCGGGGCGGCAGCGGGATCTCGATCTGGATCTTGCTGTAGCCCATGATGATGCCAACCCGCATCGATTCCTCGATGTCTTCAGGCGCCACACGCTCACCGATCGTGACGACGTACTTGGCGTGGTCACGGATGCTGACCACGTAGCGGGCGTTGTCCTGGCCCTTGTTCAGGATGCGTTCACAGCGGCCGACGTGGAGGGGGTTCTCCCGCTCCAGGACCTTCTGATCGCTGTTGAGGTCCCATTGCACCGCCGGCGCAAGGCCCATCCCGCTCTCCTTCATCCCGGCCATCTTGTTCAGCTCCTCCACCTTCGCCTTGACAAACTCCTCCAGATCTTTGATGCTCCCGTGGTAGGGGCCGGAGCCGTAGAGGTTCAGCAGCGCAATGTCATCCTTGTCGAGCGGGATGATATCCTTATCGTCCTTGTCGTCATCCTTTATGCGGACGGTGTTCGTTGTCTGGCACGCGCCCTTCTCGTTGGACATCGCTACCGCTCTTTTTTTCTTGTTCTCTTTCTTTCTTCTTCTTTTTTCCTCGTCACGTGGAAAACGGCGTACGGTTTCGGAGCTCCTCTTCCTACTTTGAAGGCACCCGCACAGGAACCCCCTGGTGAAGAGAACGACGCGCACAAAGTGTTGAAAGCCACGACAGTAGCGGAACGCAACAGCAATTTGCAGCTGCACCCAAGGAAAGACAATGGCTTCGGTAGAGCTATACCAAAATAGAAAAAATATATAAAGACTACGCTGAAGAACGGACGTCAAACGACACGAAAAACAATTGATATGTGTGTATATGAGAGCGTCGTAAGCGATACAGCGACAAGCTTCTTCGAATTCTTCTGATTATGCGGTACCGTAAAAATAGTGAAAGGAGCGAATCAGGAGTGATGCACCGAGCAAGAAGAGGGAGGGGAAGATGGCAACAGAGTTGTGCGACCAACGACTTTACAGTCCATTTTCATTTATCTTCGTCCTTACTTTTTTTTTAAACAACGAGGGTTTGCTAGCGTCATCCATTATGTATTTGTGCGAAAGCGTCGCTGAGGCATTCTGTGGATGAATGCTTGTCACAGACGCTATGCACGGAAGAAGGAACGATGGTGCAACGAGCATTGAAGCCTAAAACGAGAGGCGCCTTATCGCGGTCGACTTTCGCGAATTCATCCACGCAAAACATCCTTTTTCTTCCTTTTAATACACACATAAAGAGATGTATTGATTATTACGCATATTGGTGGCACGCTTTCCGCATCATGCACCTATTGACAACTGTACAAGGCCACATTTATTCTTATTGCTTTTCAATAACACACACACCACCACAGATAACTTCGTCAAGCTAAATTAAAACGAGTGAAACAAAACCACAAAATGAAGTAACAGCGAGCGGCACTCATGCCTGTTGCCGCTCCGTGCCGCATTATATTTGTCCCTTAGCCGTTTCCTCTCCTCGGTTTCATGTCTTGACGAGTCTAGTACAACCATCTTTAGCCATTTTGCATCGACTAGCACCACGCGCACTTGATGCGCAGGCAAGTGTAGAAAACAAAAAGAGCCTTTCAACGATAACAAACCAAACAGAACGTCTTTCTATGCACACCTCTTTTGTCTTCCACGTCATCCACAAACCTTTCGCACGAACGAAAACGCTCTCCTCCACCCTCCTTCTCCTTGTGCAGGTTTACGAGGTGCTCTTGGGCACAAACTTCGGCTTCCCTGCGTTCCACGGCACGTAGCCGTGCTTCACCATGTGCTTCACACGGCCGCCCATCTGCGTGGCAAACAGAATTAGAAAGTACAGCACCAAAATGGGCCAGAATACGGGGATATCGAGGAAGCTGAACATCGTCAAGAACAAACACACCGCCAGCACGGTGAACATCTTCTTCCACACCACGAACTCCTGCACCTTGGGCATAAACGGCCGGTACTCCTCCCCCTCCGACTGCGTCGTCGGCAGCGCGGTGCCGTCTTCCTCCTCCGGCTCCGACAGGGGCGTGATGAGCAGCAGCAGCAGGTAGAGCAGGTGAATACACAGACCGTAGGTAATCACGTAAAAGCCGCCGAAGGTCACCACGCGGGCAACGTACAAAATTGCTAAAAAGGCAAAGAAGCTCCAGCGCATCGCGCGGTGCGGCACGGAGGCGTCGAGGTAGCGCTGGTAGGTCACGCGCGCCTTCCGCATAAACGAGTTCCCGGCGTTGGGGCCAAGAAGATCCTGCGCCGCCATCGCCAGGAAACAACAACGAGATGAAAAAGAAGGAGAGAGAAAATAATAATAATAATAATCAATGGTGCAGTTGTGTGTGATGAACAGAGTAGAAATTACTCTTCGTGACTGTATGGAAGCCGAGGGCGGCTGCAGAAGATGGAGAGGAAGGAAGTGTTATTTTTTTTTTGGGAGAATGCTGCAACAAGTAAAGAGACGATGACAACGTGGTCGTGAACGAAGGATTCAGTGAACGTACAGTTCTGTGGTGCTGGCAGCACGCATGAACTGTCAACGTAGAAAAAAGTTCTTGTCGTTTTCTTCTCTGTTCTTTGGGTCTTTCTTAACAGTGCTACATAATGTGAGAACCTTTGCAATTCTATTGCTCGAAGAAACAAAAACAAAACAAACAAAATAAAACGGCGATCAACGCAGGAGAGTGTCATGCACAGCGGCGGCAAAAAGGTGTTAGGTGCCACCGCCTTGAAGATAAAGGAAATAATTCGCAGCACCCATCTCCCAGTTCTTATTGCATCGGCGTTACGCGGTCCACCAAGCTCGCCTGCTTCGCGTATTTGTGATCTCCTTTGCTCCTGCCGCTCGCGTCGAGCTCCTCCACCCAGCCCGCACGCGCATCCGGGTGTGCATCACAGAAAGGCAGGTACGGCTTTATATCCAACACCGGCGTACCGTGCAGCAGGTCGTGATCGGCGATGTGGATGTCGAGACCGTGTACGGCGACGAGGCGGACGCACGAGAGGCCAATGAAGTTCGGCCGGTGCGGGCTGCGAGTGGCGAAAACGCCTCGCCACTCCTCGTCCCGTGGTGGGATGATGAGCGTCTTGAACCCCGCCGCGCGAGCGAAGCCCTGACGACGACGGAACGGCGAGAGCGGCTCCTCCACGTCCACGCCTGCGGCTTCAGCAGCAGCGGCAGCTTCTACTTTTCCCTCCCCAGAGGCTTCATCGGCATTGGAGGGCGGTGAACTTGTGTTGTCCGGCTTTTCCGCTTCACCTTCGCCGCGCTTCGCGTCTCTCAGCCGGCGCACCGACGCCTGTCCTTCACCAGACGCCATCGGCGCGGCAAACGAGAACTGAAAAAGCACCCAAATAAATTCAAAACCCTGCAGGTCGCGTGCCGCGTTCTCCAGACCGCTGCGCAGTCGAATTAAACCGGTCTGCGGCTCAAAGGTGCCCGTGTTGGGCTGTCGTGGTGCGGCGATCTGCGCACGCATCAGGCTGTGCACAATGCCCACCGCGCACACCTCGTAGGGCAGCAGCTTCTCCGGGCTGAGCGGGATGCGGGCGAGACGGTTTGTTTGCATGACGGCACGCGTAAAGGCGGCCTCGTACGCGTCCACGCTATGCGAAGCGCGCTGCAGCCGCTCCTCAATGCAGGTCTCCAGCTCCTCGGGTGTGCGCAGTTTGTCGAAGAAGTACACCACCAATCCACTCGCCGTGACCACGTCGGCCTGCGGCTCTGCGCACGCCGTAGCGGCAGCACCCGCAACAGTCGATGACACATCCAGGTTGGCCCCTCTGTCTTCGTTCCTCTGCATTTTTCGACGTCGTGCTTCTTCCTTTTTTACGGCCTGGTCATGTTTGCGCTGCTCCTCCTTCTGGTTCGCCTCGAGCACGGCGGCAGACGGCGGTTGAACTAACTTTGCGCGGACTCGATTTGCCTCCGCGTCGCACTCGATGACTTCGGCCGGCCAGTACGGCAGCTTTGCCGGCCGCACCCAGACCAGATCTCCAACTTTGAAGTAGTTCGACCGCACACGGAAGCGCTTTTTTGTGGTGGCGGAAGAAACGGTGGTCGGGGCAGCGCGGCCGGCGCCCTCCCTGGTCGGTGTCTCGCTCATGTGCTGACGACTCTGTTGGTATTGACTTCGCACGGTGCCTATAAAGTGAGAAGACGCGTCACCCACAACAGCGGCCACTGGTGGAGATTCAGAAATACAGCAACAAAAACGGATGTTTCAAAAATACATGTATTAAGAGCAGAAGATGTGCAAGGAATCACAGAATGTACGGACATGCAAAAAGTCTGCACCACATGGCGCATTTGATTCACGAACGAAGAGACAAGGAAGGCCGTTCACAAGAAAGAGCGCTTACGGGGTTTTGCAGTAAATGGCCTCACAATAAATCCCGACACTTCTCTTTGCTTTCACAGTTAGATGAGAAATGCAGACAGTGGCCGCAGTAAAGCCTCAGCATCCAACGCTTTGTAGGGCACTTCGTTTCCGTCCCTTTTCGTTGATGGTGTTCATAATTATTATTACCTCTTATTAACTGTGCGTGGGCAGCGCCATCATCACGGCAGTCCACAACCCGCCGGCCGTTGCGTAGAGATGCGTAGTGATGAAGCCATCGTTTCAGTCAACGGCCCGCACCAGCACGTTGGGCACGAGACTTCCTGCGCGTTGTGGCGGGACAACGCGTGGCACCGCTTCTCGCACTCCTCTCTCCACGCCTGCCGCTCTTGCGCGGTCTTGAAGGTGCGTGCGAAATGCACCTCGTGAAAGACTTTTACCTCCTTGAAGAGGTGAAACTTAAGCCGCTCCGTGAAGAGAGCGATGCTGCCTGTGTTAGAGTCCAGTATCTTGGCCACGAAACGAGTGGCACCGCAGACCGCTACGGCGTATTGCATGATCATCCGCACCGCCGCCTCGGCAAGTCCGCGGCGACGAAACGCGACGTCCGCCACCATCACCTCCACCTCGAAGGAGTGCGATGGAGGGAGGGCGGAGGCCGCGGTCACCGCCGCGGTGGGTACATTCTTCTGCTTGTCGTTCGTCGTGTTCGACCAGTCAAACGTGCTTCCGGTTGCCTCCTCCCCCTCCGCCTCGTCGTCCTCTGCTAGCAGGAACAGGTTACAATCACCGACCATCACGTATGACTGTGCACAAACGCGCGTGCGTTGCGCAGCGTCCAGCTTCTCGTTGTCAAACGACGACGTTGCGGTGGTGTCGGAGGACGGGAATAGACTTCGTCCGCCGCACGGAGCAAACCGCTTCAACAGCGGCGAAGCCCGTGATCCCTGCAAGGCGGCGTCGACGTCTTCACTGGTAACGGCGCAGGTGTAGTCTGACGGGTGCACTATGGTGCCTGGGTAACTCCACGGAAAGAGAGTGGAAGAAGAAAATGTGGGAGCGTTGTCTGCTGTGGATTTGTCCGTAGCACCTCCGTCGTAGCGCGACTTCGCCTCGACAAACGCATCTGATATGGGCGTTACAGCCCCTTTCAGAGAGACAACTTCGCCCTCCTCCTGCCGCTCCGCCTCCTCTATTGGCGCGAGTAAAATAAACGTAAGTTTGTCCGTTGACTGCAGCCAGGAGTGCTGATTCTCGTACTCTTCTTCCAATGACAGCGGCTCGCTCTCCGTTGCGGCCAACAAGGCGGGATCGCCCATCCATTCGTGATAGCGAGGGACAAAGGGCTTCAAGTATGGCACCAAGACGAGATCTGGGCTGGACAGAAAGACGTGTTCGTTGATCATCGCTGTCTCTAAGTGAAGGAGCACATACACCAATGAAGGACCTATCAACGTGTCTAATGGAAGAGTAAAGGAGAGGAAGAAAGACGACAAGCGAATGCAAAGGTGTCAACAGAAAGATTCATTTGTATTTCATGCAAAAGTTACTTGCATTGCCGCAATTAGCCCTCGCGGGAAGAAACATTTTTGTTGGCCTATTTTTTTTGACTGTTCTGCCGTAGCAATGATACGCATAGGGTCACCGTGTTGTTCTTGTTCATCTTTTTGTGATGCGATTTCCATTCTTTTTTTTTTTGAAACGTTGAATAGAGCACGAGTTCATCACGCGCGGCACAGCAAAGAGGGCCTCATTGCACAACGTGGGAAGACGATCACCGTCAAATGCAAGAGGGAGAGGGAACACCATCCGAAACAGGATTTATTGAAGCAACGGGTGTGCTCGCGTATGTAGTACACAGTTCTTTTTCCCCTTCTTGTCTTCCTGTTTTTTGGAGGCGTTGTTCAGAATTATTGTTCTTTTTTTCATTACCCCCGCCTCACAAATATGTATGTATGTATGTATATATATATAATAATCAAAGCAGGAGTCGCCGATTCACCATCTTAATGAGAAAGCAAAACAACAAAAAGAGAGAAATGTAGGCTGTGAGCAACAATCCACGCGAGAGAGACCGTCGTCGCATCCGCAACGAAAAGAATGGGACACTTCAGGTCACCAAAAATATGCAAATAAATGAAGTTCCCGTTTTCCGCCTGTCAGCTCATCCGCGACCACGCTACTCCCCACTCGCCACCTCGTCTTCGTCCTCGTCGTCGTCAATGCCCGAAAAGCTCTGATTGAGGCTTTCTTCGACTAAAGTGCGGATTTTTTCATCGTAGGCGCTGCGGTTCTCCGTCAGCAAACGAGCCGCAGCGCCGTTGGCGGCTGAGTTCGGATTGGGGTCGCACAGCAGCGACTGGATGGAGATGAGAAGGGCCTCGACGTTCAGCGACGCCTGCCAGCTGCTCTTCATCGTGTCCATGCAGATCTTGCCGTCCACGTAGACGTTCGGGTGGAACACATCCTTGGTGAGAAAGCGCACCATCGGAGGCGAGAAGGGGTAGTCTTCGCCAAACAGCATATCCAGCTTGAAGAGTCCGCCCTCCCATGGCGTGTCGCACGGACCGGATATGACGGCGTGCCAGTGAAAAAAGTTGTTCTCCACCGGCGTGGCCATAATGCCAGAGGAGGTGCCCTCCGCCAAGTTCTTCTGCAGCAGTCGGTAGTCCTGCATGAGACGGCGCTGGGCGGACTGACGATCTTTCAGCTTTTGGCCACCACCCATGCGCGCGGCACCCTCGCAGTTGCGGCTCTGCCGGGCAGCGGGATCCTCCTCGTTCGGTCGCTGCTCCTCCGCCGTTGCAGCTGCGGCGCGGGTGTCTGCTGCGGTCGCCGCGACGGGATTGTCGTGATGAAGCGGGAGGGCAACGTTGGGGGGTCTTTCCGCGTCCTCTGGGTGCGGAGGCGGCTGCGGAACCGCGGCTGGGTCGGTAGGCGGCCCGGCAGTATCGGCCGTTGCGTTCTGCTGAGACGGACGAAGCGAGGACATGGAATGGGATCTAATGAAAGCGTTTTTTTGCTGCTGTTCTTGTTTTTTGGTTTGTTGGTGATGATGCTTTAAAAGTCCCGTATGAAATAGCAGTGCGTCTCGAAAAGAGGTTAATAAGCAGAGGCCACGACGGAGACAAAAATAAAGTGGAGTGAAGCAGTTGAGTGCCTCGTCCTCTTTCTTCAGTAGAGCGATAGAATACAACAGTGATGCGTCAGCCAGCACGTGGCCGAGAGAGACTTTTAGTGCTTTTACCTTTTACTTCTATTACTTAGGTTACGATGGTATAAAATGGAGGATGTTAGCAAAAAAAAACTTGCACTACCGGGGGAAAGACGAAGAGATTCTCGAAACGAAGTACTACGTACGAGGGAAGCTAACAAGTCGCAAGAGGCGGGAAGGAAAAATGTGGTAAGGAGAGGAGCAGCGAAGGAGGAGGTCAAAGGTATCGATGGCAGTGCAGTACGGCGGCGCAGCGGTGTTGCAAGGGTGGCAACCAGAACGTTTTCTTCCTCTTTTTTAGGGTTTCAAACGAGGCTGCCGGCGGATGCACCTTAAAAAAAAAAAAACCAGCGTGCAGGGGCACAGGAGGGAGCGCACAGTTCTGGAAAGAAAGTGCGAACCGTACGAGGCGTTTCGCGCCAACTTGCGGCACCCGCACAGCACCCAGCACAGTTGAAGACCCATTGCATTGCTCTGTGTCCGAAAGCTTTTTTTCTTCTTCTAAAGGTGTATCAGAATCCTGCGTGCTACATCACAACTAGGCAGAGCGATGTACCCTTCTCGTTTGTTTGTGTGGCTTTTCCTTTTTCAACTACAGTGAACAGACGAAGGAAGAGCACTTCGGTGGCACAGAATAATAATAGGTAAAGAGTGGCAGGACAGACAAGAGCACAGCCTAGCAATGAAGAGACACCAAGGAAGCAAGGCTTTCCAAAAGACAAGGGAAAACAGTTGAAGGAATGTGTATTACCCAGGTAAACGGAGAGGAAGGAAAAAGTACACAGCAGCCCCAGCACATCTAAGCTTCACAAATACCCTGTAGATTGTTCCGTGTATCATACTCCCTCTCATGCTTGCTAAGGTGACACCTTTTCCATTGCGTAACAAGAAATATATATATATGACTTGCTCCTACAGAATACACGGAGCCCAACGCATCAGATGCAACATCAACGTTCATCATGAGTCACAACCGCCACAACAACAGCGAAGAAACGAAAGATAACTACGAGGAGATGTCGCTTCACACGGAGAGTGCACCGATAATACAAAGCCCAAGTCCCGCCAACGACACCAAATGCGGTTGATGCGTTGCGTGCGTGAGGGTGAAAAAAAAAAAGGACAAACGCCACTGTGGTTCACAAAAAAAGAGAAACCTGGTCATGTTTCTTTCCTTCTTTCCTCAGCGTCATCCTCCTCGCGTTGCCTCTCACTCTGCACCTCCCCATGGATCGTTCCGTCTTTCCCATTCCCTTCCATGCCGCGCACACGACTACAAAAACTTACGCGTAGTAGTTGAGGTTCGTCTTCTTGCGTGCCTGCACCGCCGCCACGCCCTCCACAAAGTCTTCGTGGGCCACGTAGGTGCGGTCGTGGCGCAGCGCCAGCATGCCCGCCTCCACGCACACCGCCTTGAGCTGCGCGCCGTTCATGTCATCCGTGCACCGCGCCAGCTCCTTGAAGTTCACGTCCTTGTCCAGATTCATGCGACGGGAGTGAATTTCTAGAATACTCGCCCGCGACTCCTCGTCTGGCATCGGGAACTCCACCTTGCGATCGAGCCTACCGCTACGCAGCAGGGCCGGGTCGAGCACGTCGATGCGGTTGGTTGCTGCGATCACTTTTACGTCGTCGCTGCTGCCGAAGCCGTCCAGCTGGGAGAGCAGCTCCAGCATTGTACGCTGCACCTCGCGGCTGCCGTGCTTGCCCTCGTCGGAGCGCTTCGAGCCGACGGCGTCCAGCTCGTCGATGAAGATGATGGAGGGGGCCTTCTTCTTCGCCATCGCGAAGGCGTCCCGCACGATGCGTGCGCCATCGCCGATGAACATCTGTACCAGCTGCGGCCCGGCCAGACGCAGAAAGCACGCATCCGTCGCCGCCGCACACGCACGGGCCAGCATCGTCTTACCCGTACCCGGCTCCCCATACAGCAGCACACCCTTCGGGGGTTGAATGCCGATCTTTTCAAACTGCTCCTTGTGCGTGATCGGCATCACGACGGCTTCAATAAGCTCGTTAATTTGCTTGTCCAGACCACCCACATCCGTGTACTTCTCCTTCGGCTTCTCGTCGATCTCCATCGCCTTCACCCGGCTATCGTAGTCCGGGGGCAGAGTATCCAGCACGAGGAAGGTGTCCTTGTTCACACCGACCAGGTCCTCGGGGGACAGCTTATCGGCGTCCACGAGACCGACAACGGGGAGGAACACTGTGTGGCGGTTCGTCGTCTTGATCACCGCACTCCGCTGCTTCCGCTCCGGCTTCTTGCGGCCCACCGCCAGCTCTTCTGCTTCGTCGTCATCGTCGCTCAGGTCGAGCACTTCGGCGATGCTCGCTACGAGGTACGGCAGACGGTTGTTCTCCTTCACGCGCTTCTTGCCGAGCTCCACCTCGCGCTTCAGCTGAATCAGCTCGTGCTTAGAGCGATTCTCGACGCTACGCAGCGTCTGCGCCTCTTGGTGCAGGTTGCGGTTGCGGGTGCGGAGTTGGTCGTTTGTGAGGGTGTCGAGCTCGTTCAGCTCCGCCTCGCTGATGTTCTGCATCTTCTTCTTGTCACCCGCCTCCTCCTGCGCCTGGGCGTAGGCGCGCGCATCCGCGACTTCCTTGGCGGATGGCATTCTGCTGTCGTTGTTTCGTTTCTTCACGACGACTTCGGGAAGCGGCTCGTGGAGAGAGAAGAAGAAGAAGAGAAGGAAAGAAAAGGTATCGCACCACGTCGACAAGTACCACGGAAACGGAAAGCCCTGCAGAGACTGTCGTGTACTCCTCCTTCTTCAACAGAAGAAACAAAAAAAGAAACGGTGCCTGGCGTCAGTCCAGGTGGGTCTTCGCTATTTAGATGGGCGCCTCTTGCTTCGAAGTTGCCCGAAGTCTGAAGAGAGCGAGAAGGCAAAACCTGTTGTATAGACGTGTCGCACCGTGAAAATGTGTGAGTGTGTGTGTGTGTTTCAGTGAGCAGAAAACCAAGTCCAGGAATGAATGAATGAATGGTAGGAAACGAGAATGCTGGTAACAACGGCGCGGTGGAGGAGAAACCCTCGAGGGTGCAAAAAAACGACAGAGAAAGTGATAAAGGAAATGAAAAGAGTGCCAAAGTTTGCATTCTGTTTAAATTATTAATCCCGTTGCTGCTTTGGTAGAAGCGAACACGGAACGAGGTGTTCACTGCCTGTTTTCGCCAAAAGCAGCCACACACAGGTACGTTATAAAGCAGCCTGTGACGGCAGCTAGACAGTCTAACACACAACGCACTTGAGACGTCTGTGATCGTTTGCGCATACGCGACAGCCGCACGCCGCCCACACACGTGCGACGCAACGGAAGAAAAAACCCGGTCAACAAGAAATGCGTGTTAGATACGTTTCCTTTTTTCTTTGGCCGTGATGGCTTCTTACCCATCGTTGCGGTAGACAAGCATAAAAGGTACTATACGTTGGTACAACACAGAAGTATACGTAGTTGCATGGTAGCTTACGAACAAACAAACAAAGAAAAAGGGTCGGATACAAAAACAAAACAAAAAGAACGCCGTCGACGAATCCAAAGAGATGGAGTGCGAGAGAGAAAGAGAAAGAGAGAGATAGAAAACAAGAATTGCATAAACAACGGAGAGAGGGAGAAAAAGCGATGGAAGGTGAAAACCCCCAGCGGGTGGTGACAGCAAAGAGCGACAAGGCAGTCGATTCATCTACAGCAGTTTTGTGTGTGTGTGTGTGTCGAGGGTCGCCCCTCCGCCACCATCACAGCGCGTTTCACCTGTATTGGGCAAATTCAGCGGTAGGATATATACCCAGCAAAACAAAACGACAAGGCGAGAGACAAGGGAGGAGTATAGAAAGATGCGAGTTGGTTTCCAATAACGTCAAGCCAACAAACGTGGAGCACACGCACACACTTGCCCACCGAGCTTGATCAACCGCCATCATATAATACAAAACTAGTAAAAAAAAACCTTATATACATCCCTTCTCTAGAAAGGCAGTCAAACACCTCAGATCCTCTCTTAAAAACAAACAATCAAAGATGCAATGTAGGAACCGTCACATCGGAGTAACTAAGATTCGGCAAAGAAGATAACATAGCTCAAAGCAAAATAGAACCAAAAGACAAACGTAAAGAAAAGAATGGAGAACATAGTTTAAGGAAAAAAGGGAAGAAGTCCAAATTATTTGCGCGGGAACAATTAGAAATACTCCAAAAAAAAAGGAATAATGCTAAGAGCAAAAAAGCATGGGGAACAATCGAAAAGAAAAACCCGAGAGAAAGGGAAAGGAGGCAGAGAAACAAGAATGCACTAGACGCGCAGCTTCACAGAAAGCAAGGCAGAAGGCCAGATGGGGAAAAACAGAACACGCTATTTTAAGTACTACACACAAAAAAAAAAAAAACATGGAAGAGTAAAAGCCAAGCCGAACGCGAGGCATTCTACACAAAAAAAACGGATTGGCGTTTGCTGCAACAACACGGTGAAATCCACCGTTTTTTTTTTTGCTAATTCGACGTTTTCACAGTTATTATGTCTCGGAATCAATTGTTTAAGGATGAGCTGAGGATTCGAACAGGGAAACAAAAAGTGAATAATGAAGCGCATAAACGAGAAGAGGGAGAATTAAGGAAAAAGGAATTCCATTCCTCGTCGGCATCAGAAGCAATGCAACAGCGATGAAACAGTAGTGGTAGCCCGTGATGCGGGTTCCTCCGACGAGGAAAAGGTGAAGTGAAGAAGAAAAAATCAGCAACTCTACGCATCGTAACGGCAACAACAATTTTAGAAAGCGAATGGATATGACGCACACACCGTTCTAGATTAACACGTACAAACGAAAAAATAGAAGCGGCAGTGTATTTGAGACGGGAAAAAAAAACTTCCGTCTCATCCCATAAAGAACTACAAGTAAAAAATAATACTAATGAAAGCCGCAGAAAACTGTACAGTGGCATCCCAATCAGCCTTTTAACGCCAGAAAACACTTTCAAAGTCACTCGCTCTTCAACATCACAAGACAAGAGAGAGGGTACTCCAGCAAAGGCGTCATCGGAAAGAGGAAGCCTCTCGTGCATCACGCATAAGAAACAACACACACACACACACACACAAGAGTTGAGCCCAATAAATCAGAGAGCAAAGCAGACAGCATATACGCGTTTAGGGGTACACATTAAAGAAGACTGAATCCCCCCTTTTTACCCGGGCACCGCCGTCTACGAGCCCGAATGCTCAGAAAAGGAGACTGCTCGCGTTGTGAACTACTGGGTGTTGTTCTGCTTTTGCGCTTGCTTCGACGACGCAGACACCGCGGTGTGCGCACGGTGCTCGGACGAGTGCAGCACGGCAAACGCCGGCTGCTGTTCCACGCGACGCGACGACGGCGGCACCACCGGCGGCACCCCGCTCTTCGCATGGCTCGGCCCCTGCGGGACTTTCGGAGAGCCTTTTCCCCTGCCCTGCCCCATCGCCAGCGGTTTCGACGACGCATGCGACCGAGGCAGCTTGCTCGACGGTTCCTCTCCGCGCTCCACCTTCTTCTTACTCGGATTCGCGTCCTTCCGTGACGAGGTTGTGTGCAGCACCTCGCGGGAACTGTGGCGACGCTGCGGCGGTGGCTGGGAGTATTGCTGATGGTAGTAGTAAGAGGCGGAGTTGTCCACCGACGCCGACGATAACCGCCGCTGCCGGCGATGCGTCGATTTACCCGCATTGCTCTCCGCAGTGGGAGTGGCGGGACCAGTGGGGCCCGGTGCCTCCGACGTGTGTGTCGAGGAGTCGTTGCTGCGGGTGACACCAGTGCTGTGCGGCTGCCGCGGCGGCGCGTCGCTCGACGCCATCACGCTGACGAGGGGCAGGTAACTGCAGCCATCCGCGACGTAGTCCATTCCGTAGCAGCGGCTCGAAAGGGCGTTGTCAGAGTCCACAGCAAAGCCGTAGTCGTCTACACTGCGCAGGGCGTCCACGCTGATGCCGGAGGACGCCTCCGATGGTAGTCGCGGCGAGCGGGTGACAACGGCGATGGCGACCACCTGTGCTGGCGTCCCGCCTGGCAGCCGACTCGCCCGCTCCTTTCTGTCGCCGCCCTCACCCCACCTGTTCTGCCGCGTCTGCTGAATTCCCGGCGACGGCGCGAAGGAGCTGTTGCGTACGGCACTCGACCGCACCATCACGCCATAGTTGGTGTTGTGGTGTTGATGGTTGCTGCTCTCCATAACGGCCGGCATTGGGGACATCGCATCCTCGCTGTGCCCACTTGGGTGTTGCGGCAGCGCACTGGTGCTGCGGAAGCTGTTCAGCAAAAAATATTCGCTGTTGCGGCAACCGGAGAAGGACGGGGATCGCGGCAGGTGGAAGGTGAGGGGCGGCGAACTTCCCCGCTGACCTGTCATGGGACTGAAAGCGGCCGATTGGAAGTAGAAGGCGTCGCTCGCTGTCCACTGCGGGCCAGCGCTGTCGTCTGTCCCCCACTGCCCCGCCGGGCCGCTGGGCTTCACGACTGGCGCGCACGACAGCGCGTGGGGCATCCCCTGCGATGACAAAGTGTCGCTGACCGCCGAGGACGACTGTGCCCGTCCGTTTTCAACCGAGAAGGGACATTGATGCTGCTGCTGCACGGAGCTGGTTGCATAGGGCGGGAAAGACACCGCCGCCACTGCCGCCGTGACGCTCTTCTCCGACAGCGACACGACCGTGACGGAGCCGGTCGACCTACCTGGTATCGTAATCAACGCGGGCTGCAGGGAGATGGGCATGACGTAGCGCCGGTTGCCGCTGGCGGAGGAGAACGGATTCACTCGCGTTGAGGCAGCCGCCGTCTCGAGTGGATCTTCCACGGACACAGTCGAGGTGCGGCGCGTCCCAGTTGGGGAAATGACCCAGTTGAGCAGCCCGTACTCGTCCCTTTCGTAACTGCCCAGCCCGGCCGCGGTTGCGGTACTCAGCTCAAAATTTGGCTGCGCCACCGTCTCGTACATGTTGTCTTCCGCGTCTCGTGCGGCGGCGGTGACCTTGACGTTCCTGGTCGCGTTTGCATCCATCGAGAAGGCGCTACTTTCCGCGTTGGCGTCGCCACTTGTGAGACCCCGTCGGAAGTTGAGAGACCCATTGCTTGGCGACGCCTTTGAGCTGTTGTCGCCACTGCTGTTGCTCTTCACCGTCGCGTAGCTAGCCATCGCAGAGGCCGCGGCGTAGGTGGGTGGAAAGCGCGAGAGTGGCTGCACCTGCTGGTTGTTCTGCGGTTGCTGCTGTCGCGATACAATGCGATGGCGGAAGTTGAGACGATCAGGATTGGAGCTGGAAGCGGAGGGGGTCGTCATCCCTGTCGATGGGCCCCGGGTGCCGCGAACAGCGCCCCAACCCTCTCTGCCGCTGTCTCCGCCAGAGGTAAAGGCGATCACGTCATCCTCGCTCGCGTTGTGGGCGGTGCTGGCGCCCTGCCACGTCATGCTGGCGAACGTGTTGTTGACCCGGTTCGTATCCGTCTCCACGGTTCGTTGCGTGTGCAGGCGGGAGTTGAGAGACTGGAAGAAGCGGGACTGCTGCATTTGCTCGTAGCGCTCCTCCTCGCTTTCGTCTCCGCTGAGGTCGGCGTGGCTGTCGGACGGCGGGTCGGTCTTTAGGGCCGTCGGCACTGGCACCACGCTCTTGCTCTCCCGAAGTGAGTCGTAGTCGTTGTTGGAGGAGGTGGACTGGTTGCCCTCGAAGAAGTTACCCTGTGAAGGGGACACCGCCGGGGCAGGACTGTGCCGGTGCGGGGCGCCTCCTTCTCGGTCAGGGCTCCGCACCTTCTGGAATGCCTCCATAAGCGGCGAGTGCATCGGTGAGGAAGACAGCAGGTGTAGTGGTGAGTTGGCACCCTTGGCGTCAAACGGCGCGTCGATGACCGGGCGGCCCAGAGGAGAGAGCTTTGGCCTCGATGCTGGGCGATTGGCTTCCTCCGCCAACATCAAGAAGGTGCCGTGGTGACTGATCAAGGCGGTGTGCGCGCGTGTCGTGTCGTCGCTGCTTTGCGGGGACGCCACACCGTTTTGGAATTGCTGCGGGTGGGCGCCACCTCCATAGGTGTACGTCGCGGGGCCGGTAGATCGTTCCAGTCGGACACTTTGCGGCCCAACGAACACCGTGGAGGTGCCGCGGCTAAGGCGGTTGTGTAAGAACTCGTCATCCTCCTCTGCCTCCTCTGCCACGGTGTCCGCCGCAAGTGGCGCGTGAAAGACGGACGGGACGGTAGAGTTGTCGGAGCGATTATTGTTATGGTTGTTGCCGATGCCCGCAAGTAAGCCGTCGGCGCCGTCGTGATGTGGAACACTACGGATGGTTGGCAACATCAGCAGCGACGGCTTCCGTTGCTTCTGCATCGTCACGTTGCTATTGCTCGGCTGCCCCGTTTGGGGAGCGTGCAGCAGTGCGGCCACGTCCTTCCCGCGGCCTCCTTGGAGGTCGTGCGTGTCATCGCCGCCGTCAGCGGAGTGTTGCGCCCCGCTGCTGCTGTTCAGATTCACCTCCTCCTCGCCTTTGCCGTCGTCGGTTTTTCTATCGTGTTGATGCGAGACGAAGAGACTCCCACGTCCAAATTGCGCCTGACTGGCCAGCGTCGGTGCAGCGAAGGAGCCCAACGCGGCGAGGTAGGGGGAATGATGCTGATCGCCGCAGCAGCCGTAGCCGTCGTCGCCAAGACCGAACTCGTCGCGGTCCTCCTCTCCGTCGTTGTCCTGCTCCTCGTCATCTATCTGCAGCGACTCTGCAGCGGCGTCTCCTAGGTGGTCCCGCCTGCCTGCCACCTCCCCACGGCGCTGCTCAGCGCGGTCCCTCCTGTTGTTGTTGCCCCTTGACCCCGGCAGACCATCGCCACCCCGCGGAGCTGCGTTGTAAACCCTACTGCTCGTGCCAACCCGACCACATCGGCCACCACCGGCACCACCACCATTACCGCCGTGGCGCGCGAGATAGCCGCAAGGGTCGTTCGGCACGACCAGCTTCACCGGTGCGCGCGCTTGGCGCTGCTGCTGCTGCCGTTGCTGCTCCAACGACGGAGGCGAAGACTGCACAGGGGCTGGACTAGGGTAGCGCACACCATTTACTGGTTGTGGCAGTTGTGGTGGGGGCATCACGATCCGCGACGAAGGACCAGCACTGTAGCGCATATTGCCGTTCTGTTGCGTCGCGCCTAGGTTCATCATCATCGGTGGTGTGGCGGCAGCAAAAGGAGCCGCCATAGGGTTCGTTTCCTGCGGAGCGACGTTGGAAGTTTTGCTCTCCGCTTCCTCGTCACTCCATTCGGGGGAGTCTAACATGGGCACATCAGGCAGTACAAGGTCGGCGCCCCTTCTGGGCCGCCGTAACTGCACCGGATACATTACGATGATGCTGTGCGGACTTCGACGACTTAGCAAAAGCACCTCGTTTGTTTCCCGATTGCCGACTCGCTCTTCTTTCTTCGCGACTGCTGTTGTAGATGCTGATGCAGTACTTTCTCAACACGAATGATTTAAAAAAAAAAAACACAAAGGACAGTGCTCGAAGCCGGTGTTGCTGGACGATGCGCAGGACCCAACGCGAATGTGCGAAAAGAAAAAGAGAAGACACGAAAATAGAATGAAAGCAGGCGGAACAAACGACAGAGAGCAACAGCACCTATTACGTGACTATGAGGAAACTCTACACGGCGAAAAATAATAATAAATACTAAATAATAACAATGATATCCTCGACAGAACCGTTTGAAAGGATCAGAAGGACGAAGGGGCACACAAGTATAGCATGACCCTTCCCCTTTGGTGCCTTTGCAGACGACTGTTGTTTTCACAGTACCGCTCAACTCTCGCTCCGTCCTTCGCTCGGCTTTTTTGTGGTCACAAGGCCGAACAGGTAAAGGCGAAAGAGAGAAAGAAAAGGGATAAGAATGAAAAGAGAAGCACAGAGCTGAAGAAAATAACAAAGGCAAAAAAAAAAGATAAAGTTTAATAACCAAGAAGGAAGAACACAAACGAGACCGTACGTCGCAGAGTTACAAGAGAAAGGAGAAGCTGCCAAAAACAGAAAAGCTGCTAACAACAATAAGATGCGAAACGGTTAGCACGAAATAGCACACACACGGAAAAAGGGATGAACAGCTGACGAAGCAAGGATGAAGCTCACGAGAGCGGCGACAACAACTCTACAGTTACAGCGAAAGATGGAAATGGAGAGAAACAAAAAAGGTTTCTCTATGAAGAACAAGAAAACAGAGCAGCAGTCAAAAGGAATGAACTGTGTGGAATACAGAAGTCTCCTACACACGTGACAACTCTGCAATGTAAGAAAGAAGAAAAGGGTTTCGCTTAGTTGGCTCCTCTTGTCGCCGGCTTCCGTTTTTATAGTGTTTTTTTCCGAAGCTGTAAACGGCAGCTCAACAATCTGCAATTTGCACAGTGCGATTTGAGAGGCAAAGAGTAGCTTTAGTACATATATCTACGTACTCACACATACATACATACATGTATACGGTTTTCGCCTTCTGACTGCCTTCTCCACCGCAACCGGAGGAGAAAACCAAAAAGACCCCCAAAACAAATTATATATGCCTTTTCGGTCACCGTGAGGGTAGCGACAGGTACGTCCTTCAAAAAAAAAAACCCAACAGTAATACGATACAAGAGGCAAAGAAAAGACAGGGAGAAATGGGAAAAAAATACACGCGGAGAAACGAGAAGGCTAGATGAAACGATGTGATTATATATACAGTAGAAATGTAATTCTAACAAAAAAATAGGAGGGGAAAGGGGGGGGGGTGGGGAGGAGGCCGCTATAAATGCAGGATTTAAAATAATGTGTTGTAGAGAGACGGAAGAGGGAGAAAACCGACCAACACAAAAGCAACACGCACCTACTTACAAATGGAAAAGAAAAGATATCACACACACAAGCACCGCCTTTCCAGACAAGGAGTTGAGAAGAGGCAGAGGAGAAGAGAGAAAAAGCGCGGAGCGAGAACGCACAGAGCAGATCCGCGACTTTTCTGAAGAGAGGAAACGCGGAATAGAAGACTTGTGTGTGTGTGTGTGTGTGCTTCTATCCCCACACAAGCTGAAAAGCACTTGCGTATGCCTGCCGCAAAGAAAAGGCTATCTGCCCAGTGTGAATGCGAAGTTGGGTACTGCAGCCATACACTACAGCGTTGTAGTGACATTGTCGTGGGAAGGAAAAGCAAAAAATCGGAACGACGAGAATGGGGAAGGAAAGAAAAAGTCAACAGAGAAATATGTAGTTAGCAGGTAACACAAGAACACTTTATTCATTCTTATGTTGGCTTGTTTCGCAGTGTCGAGTTCTGCTTGTGCGTGTGCGTGTGTTGTGCGAACGCGGGTAGAGTAATAAATAGGCCATTGTCATTCCTCTTCGCTGTTTGGCCGAGTTAGCCTCCCCATTTTGAACCAGTCTTCATTCAGCAAAGCACCACATTTCGCTTTCCACTGCAGCTATTTCTTCGGCTTCATTTTTCTTTTCTTTTTCGAAGATACACCTTCCAGTGGGTACGCGCCCCTCCCGCGAATTACCGTGGCAAAAAAAAAAAGCGGCGCGGCAGCGGTATCGACCCCTAAAAATGGAGACGAGTGGAAGCGAAGGACCTCATATACACACAACGCAGTGCGTGGGGAAAGCAAAAAAAAAACGTCGACAACTCACCGTTAGTAAAAAAAAAGGAAGGTTTGTCCGATAAGTTATATAATATAAGTGAGACAGTTACTATTTCTCTTAGCGGAAAAGGGCTCGACATCGCTAGTGAGTTCGACGTGTCGACAAACAAACAAGCACACACGCACACACACACCAGACAAGAACGCTCTCTGCACAAAACCCGTTACGCTCGCAACCTACGCAAAAACAACATCCAATAAATCCGTATAAATGAAAGAAACGCACACACACACACACACACACACACGCAAGAAAAAGGGATTATTAAGACGTTCTAAAAGCATGTATATATTATACGATGGGTGAGAAAAAAGGGAGAGGTAAAAGTAGGATAGCACAAGCAAGACTGTACGGAGAAAAGATTATATATATGTACGTTGTGAACGGTGCACACGGCGCGTATGAAGACAAAAAGAAAAGAAACGAAAAGGAAGAGGATGGAGAAACAAAACAAAAAGGCCGAAGAAATAATGAACGGCTTTGGAGGGGGGAGGGGAAGGGGCGAAACACTCCCTACGTGAAACACATGCGTGCACGCCACTGCGAAACCAAAGCGCACACATTCAAATATTTATATATATACATATTACCTACCTGTCCTCATTGCCATTACGACTCTGTCATTTTTTGATGTTCTGCACCAACTGAATTTAGAAACCCAACACTGTTTGATCGAGCTCCCCAGGCGGGTGCTGCTGCGCACGTCTCAACCTACGCGCTCACATGGGCTTCGTCAGCCAAGCAACCCGCCATCCCCAGTGGTCTGCAGATGCGATCTCCGTCGTTTTCGGTCGGGCGTGCTGCTGCTGCCGACTACATCATCACTCACCGTGTAACAGGTCTTCACGGCTGTAACAGTTGCCGTTGAAGCCTTTCCTCTTTTCTTCGCAGAGCCCCATGTGGTCGGCAATGCGGATCGGGCGTCTGGCCGTGGAACTGGAGTCAAGCGTCGCCACAATGGAAGACTCACGTCCGCCTCGCCACCCTCGAGTACCTCCCTTGACCGTAATTCGAGTCAGGAGGTCTGCGGTGGTGTGGAGGCCACCCGTTGGTCCATCTGCTCCACTATCCCTGCCTAGTCTCTTTGGCTGCTTTTGCGGCTTCGCTAACGGGACTTGGGCGGTGGGCCGAGGTGCGATCGGCGGCAGTGTCGGACTGTACAGGATCGCTCCATGTTGCGGCGACCGCTGGTGCATCAGCATGTCCTCTGCTAGCGGCGGCACCGGTGGTAGCATCGGCGAGGACGGCGCCGCACTCCTCTGTGGCACACCGTGCTCGCTTTTAGGTTCATCCGTATGTGTGTGGACGCTGTTGGACTGGCGATCTGCGCGGTCGTTGTGACGGGGATCGGCGACACGGCGGGTGATGGCCCGCGGGGGAGGCAGCGTTGACTGCTTCAGGATCTTTGCGAGGCGCATGGGTGCCAGAACGTCGGGTATCGGGTTCGTCTTGCTGCTGCTGCTCAGGTCGTTATTGTTGCTGCTGCTGCTTGTGTTTTTGTTGTTCGATTTGCGCAGCACCGACGGCGGCAACGCATCTGTCGGAGCGTTTGGCCGCGGGGTGGTGCTGCCGTTCTCCTCCGTCACGTCGGCTACGTTATTCGACGTGGCAGCACCGACCCGCATCACAGGTGAGGTTTTGCTGTTAGATGAAGGATGCCCCGCCTGCGGTGACTTCGGTGATCGCGTAGTGTTGAGCGCCGCCACAGGCGATGCATTGGCGCTCATCCTCGCCTCCAGTCGCTGCACGAGCGCACTCACCGACAGCGGCGCCACCTCCATCGCCGCCTCGGTCGGACACTTCGCGGTGTTGATCGCCGTCGTCGTCCCAGTGCCGGCGTTGCTACCGTCCACCATTGTGCTCTTCCTTACAACTTCTGTGGGTCCGCCTGCCGACTCTCCGTCGTACGGCGGGGCGGTGGAGTAAGGGACGCGGCTGTGCGAACTGGAGTCGCCCTCGCTGCCCTGCGCGGCAATGTGCACCGGCGATGCGACTGCGCCGTCTGCCGCGCTGCTGTTAGAGCTGCCACACAGCGCCGCCTCGACGAGGTGCCCAATGCGGGTCGCGAGGTGCCGTTGGCGGTTGCGGTGCTGTACGGACCGACTGCTGCTCCGGGACGACCCCACGCTCCATTCCACGGGAACGAGAGCGCGAGCTGCACTGGCGGAGGGCAGAGGAGGCGCTGCACAGTTCGCATCAGCGGTGGACGGCACTGAAGGGACGGCGTTGGGCTGCGCAGCCGGCGGCGCGGGGAGTCGCATGCGCAGTGGTGGTGGAGGCTGATAATAGTCGTCCGCCGGGTGTGCGGTCGACGTCGCCTTTGCCAAGACCCCGGGTGTTTCTCCAACACCGTCGTGGGAGGCCATCGGAGTCGTCTGTCCTTCCATCGCTGTGGTATCCGTTACACTTTTAGCGCTCGTGCGGTATCCACCCGTCAGCTGCCGCAGACTGCTCGTGTACACGTCGGACAGATACGTACTGCCAATCAAGCTACGGAAACGGCCAACCTCCCCGCAGGGGACAGGGAGATACACGTCATACGGCGACTGCCTGTGTGCGTCTTCCAGCACCGGCGGGGCCTTTCTCTCCGCGGCGGTCGCGTTTTCCGACACAGGCCGCGCCGTTGGCTTCGACGTAGAGCGTGGGGAAAAGGGAGGAAGGGTTTTGGTCAGTAGCAGGTGGTTGCACGACGACGGGGAGATTGGCTGTGCAGACCCTTCCGCCTCGGTTTGCTCAATGTGGCGGTTGCTAGACGTGAACGTGGGGACCGCCTTTGCCGCGGGTGGTGCCTTTTGCTTTGGTTGAAAAGCAGCAGGTGAGTGAAGGGGAAGACCAGCGAAAGAAAGCACCTTTTGCTTCGGCGACTGCCCTTGCTGAATTTCTGGTGTTGGTGCCCACTGTTGCTGCTGCGCAATGAAGTGCGTCGGCGGGGTTGCGGCCTTTTCTTCGTCCTCCGGCATCGGCAAGAACCCCTCCGGCGTCGCGGTGGTCTTGCGCTCCAACAGGGAAAGCAGATCGAGGGACTTGTGGGCGGTGTCCGTCTGAGACGCAGAGCGGTTCAGCGGAAGGGGTGGGACACAGAGGCCAACGTACGGAAGAGACGACTGAAGCGGTCCTTGCAGCGAGAGAACGCGCACCGAGGCGGAGCCCCGCGCCGGCGGTTTTATCGGCCGTATCGCGGCTGCCTTCGTCTCTTTCGCCTCCCGCAGCGCAAAGAAACTTTTCTTCGAGGAGAGGAGAGAGTACTTGGCAGACGTCATGGACGACTTCTTTTGGCCGTCAGATGGGACCGTTGGCAGAGGCGGATGCACTGACCAACACGACTCCCCTTTTGCGCCGGGGTACTCCCACCAGTCATCGTCAGCGGTGGTGAAGCCGGCGGCTCGTCGCGTGCCGCCGTTCTGGATGTGCGGAAGCTTTGCCGCCGCCCTTGACGTCTCCGCTGCTGCTCGTTTGTTCGGCTCCGTGGTCCGCAACTCCGCCATTGAGTCCTCCAGGCCCAACGCATACGGGTCTTTTCCGAAGCTCACACGCGACGGCAGCAACGACGCCTTCTTTATTGGCTTCATCTCTGCCTCGCCGTTCGTCGGGGGAGAGGTGAAGAAGGAGTACACCGCCGGTGTCGCGGCGCGGTGCATCTCCCCTGAGTAGAAGTAGCTGAGTCCGCGATCGATGCTGCTCGCGCTGTTCCGCACCAAACGCCGAGAATCCGTCGGGGTTGGCTTTGTGGCAACGCGGGTGATCTCGGGGAAGTGCGCGACAGCTGCGTCACGCCGGCGCAAGTCCCTCTCCGGCTTCGATAACACAGCAGCAGCAGCGGAGTCGACACCAGTCACACGCCGATTCTCTGTGCTGCCGACCTCACTGAAAGTCTCGCGGGAAGGCGGGCTGTCCAGCAGCTTCCACAAATCGCCATAATACGAGGAGTGGTACTCCAGGATGTAATCCACATCCGACCCGGCGCTCGCGGGGCTGCGCACGTCCCGCCACGACTCCGAGCACCGGTCGCTGCTCCCGCCGCGCGCCGCCGCTCCGTCGTTCTCGTCGTCTGCTGCGCCGTGAGAAGAGTTGCTGTCGCGTGCGCGAAACAAGCCATTTCTGTCCTCACTGTTCGTCCATTGTGTGATGGTGGACATCGCTGCTGTCGTCATTGTGTTCGGTGTGCACCTCGAGGGCCTGCCAATCGCATCATGACCCTGCGCGGTGGTCGTCTCCGCGGAAATTGGCCTGCCAGGGTAAGGTGGAACCGATTCCACACACTGGAAGCAGCTCGGCATTCCGCGTAAGTTGTATTTGCTTGGCTGCAGCGACTGTCTGTCTCGAGCCGATGGAAGCCGCTCGCACTTCGCGGCTGCGGGGGATGCGGAGGGGTTGAAGGGTGAGTGTCGGCCTGTGATGCTGCGGCGTACGTGCGTCTTCTGCGGCGCTGTGGAAAACGGCGGGGGACTCGGCGGGGGTACAGGCATGAAATCCGTCGCCTCCGCCGTCGCCGCAGTACCTCGCTGCGGCGGGTCAGCCCTGTGCTGCCCCTCGGTGGAGAGATTCGACCCTACGTAAGGACACGTCGCATCAAGACCGGCTCGCGCCACCACCTCGCAAACGTCAACGTTGAGCGGGCTTGGGTAAGGGGTGGTGGCATACTGCGAGGCAGCAACTTTGGCGGCTGCTCGCAGTGGTGCGGTTGGCACAGCAGAAGCGGCAGTGATGCTGGCGGCGCCTGACACGGCGGCCGTTGTGCTGTGCTTCGGTGAGCCCTTCACAATCTTCGACACAAAAAACCTGTTGGTCCGGGGGTGTGACCCGCGTGTCTTGGGCAGCCGCACCTCCGTGGAGGAAAGCACCGCCGGCGAGGACGTGGTGTTCGTTTGGCCTTTGGCACTGTTGCTGCGTGGTGCGTCCTGGTCCAGTGGGATTTGCAACGGTGCGGGGGCAGGCACGGAAGGCGGACGCGGTGGCGGTGGTGTCCCGTCAAAACTTGGTGTTGTGACAGCGGAAACGGTGGCGGGGCGCTGCGTCGGGGAGGCCGAGTGAGGGGAGTTGTCTGAGGTGCGCTCCTGCCTGCCTAACGAAGTGAGTTGCGTGTCGGGCGTGGGAGCTGGTGGCACCAATGCGGCCCTCTCTTCTTGAATCGTCGTGGAAGACTTCGTGTGCTCGGCAGCGGCGGCTTTCGGCTGCGATTTGGCGGAGCGGTTCGGCCCCACCTCGGAGGGTGGTGGCGCCCCCGTCACAGGCATCGGTGTAGGTGAAAGAGAAGCCGCGGCATCCGTTATCGATGTTGTGGCCCCGACCATGCCCGCAGTTGGCAGCTTCGATATCGCGTCATCGCGTGCGCAACGGGCGCTGCTGCCGTCGGCGGAATGACTTGCACGTTTGCTTCGCCCGTTCTTGGTGCGCTCCAACGAGCGGGAAAAGCTGCTTGTGCGGGAGCTGGCACCACTAGAAGTCTGCGACGGTCCACACCTCGAATCCGGCCCGGTCTTCGTCGCTGCAGCTGCAGCTGCCACATCCTCCGTACACGGCTGCTGGGCCGATGTGTGCCTCTGCGCCTTTGCGAGTTGCTGCCACTCGCGCTCTTCCAGCCTCTTCTGTATTAACAGCCGCCGAATCTCCTCGTGCTTCTTGTGACGAAACCGTTTGTTGTAGGTTGGGTTGTCGAGCTCATCGTCGCTGGACCACGCAGGCGAGTCAAGGAGCGGCACATCATCCAGATGAACACTGCGCAGAGCGAAGTTTTCTGCGTGCCGGTGAGACGGCGACGTGTGTGGTGGCGGGGTCTCGAGATGTATCGCTACCGGAAAGGCCTCCGCCTCTTGTTCCGGGCGCTCTGTCAGCATCGTTTTCTCTTTTTCTTTTAATGGAGGAGAAGTAGCAATAATTAAAAAGGAAAGAGAATAACGGGAGTGGAAAACGAGGCAAGATTGTCGAGCAACAACGCGGACAGACTGCGACAAGGAAAAAACGAAAATAGAGCTAGATCAGTTATAACTTCTTTAATACGTACGCGCACCTTGCTGTTACGTGAAGGGCCGCGTAGGAAAATAAACAAAGGGATTTCAACGGCAACCTCGCATACACACACACAAAAAAAAAAGGTATATAAACGGTAAACAGAATGCGAATGCTGTACACAATAACGACAGAAAAGACTGCTACTACGAATACGCGTGTTTTTCTACAACAGCACGTTCGACGGAGTGTGAGGGAAGACAAACGAATTAAAGAAGAAGAAGCAGTTGGTATGTGTGAACTCGCAGTGAGCTCACAAGACGCTTTCTAGAAGAAGAAGAAAAATAATGATAGTCGAGAGCACTATCGCGTTTATCTGCTATCTCTGCGAAAACAAATAAAAAACAAGCTTTGAATTAGGAGGTGAATGTGTAAACTGGTACACATAACTACATAAGAAAATTGCCAACGAGAGAGAGAAAAAAAGAAAAATCCGAAAGAAGAAAAAGCACACACATACAACTCTAAAAGCAGCTGCTGAGCAAATACACGATATTTTGGGGTGGCACTATGCAAAACGTATAAAGAGAGAAGAGGGAGCTTATCGTTCACTAAATTCTTCGGTCAACCGTGGGTCAGCTGATGGAAAAAGACACGGGAAGAGGTAGAACAAAAAAAGGAAGAAAGAGTAAAACACACGGTGAATGTACCTTATTAAGAAAGCGGAAAAGGGACTAATCAAACACAGACGAAAGAGAGAAAAATGTCGTTTTGCAGAAGTGGACAAAGCAAAGTGACGAAGTTGAGAAGCTGACTTCACACACACACACACACTCACACACACAAAAAGACAGTAACAGAACACTACCGATAAAAGAAAAAGGAGGAGACAATGTAAGTACGAAGCTGAATTTAGAACGACGATGGAAGAACCAACGCGAAAATGCACACCAGAAAAAGAAGAAGAAGTTATCTTCCTTTGTCGCTGAACCGCTGGTTGCTTGACGCAACGCACAGCGACAAGTATATATATATAGAATTCCTCTTTGCTTCAGTTGGGATACGCACCACTCAAAAATCAAGAAGTGGAGAAGAGAAGAAAAAAACGGAAACAGCTGAACTCAACCACAGCGGTAAAGAAAACAACGTTAACAGCCGCCGTGTGTTGCACTACGCGATACACTACTGAAAACACCGGGGAAGAACGATAAAGCAGAAAACTATGCATAAAGAAATGTGGGAAGAGAAGACAGGAAAGATAAATAATAACAATAACAACAGTACGAGGAGAAAAAGAAGATGAGACCGCAGGGGAGTTCGGTTTGGAAAAAAAAAATAGTAATAATAGTAAACAATTAAGGATGAAGATAAAAATAGAAAGGATACGCAAGTAAACGCCAACACAGCGTGTCAGAAAGAGAACGTATATAGCGACCGCACAGCTCACTTCGTAAATTAAAGGAAAGCGCAGAAGAAAATTGTTTCGCGTTCAAGAATGGGCCGCTTTCATAATCACAAACAGACCTAATCGCAACTATTGTCTTTTTATCGGCGCACAGGAGGAAATGCGACAACGATACAAACAGAGATGGGTGCGAACTACACTCACGCAACTGTCCCTACCAGCCCCTAGTGGTGAAGCTAAGAGAGCTGTATTAGATGGCAGACTTTTTCTTTCTTTGGAGTGCTGTGTCTTCTCCTCCTTCACCGCCTTGACACTTGCCCCAGCAAGATTCTTTCTCTTCCGCAAGATATGATGATGACTGTTTCCTTTTTCTCTCGGCAGATCTCTGCGCTGTGAGGCGACAGACAACAAAGGGAAAGGAAGCTGTGACGTCCGTCTTGTTTGTTAGATAAGAAACCAGCTCTCCGGCGAAGCCCTACGAGGTCTTTACTAGAATGAATGAGATAACGAGAAGAAGAACAGCTCGATCTGGGAAACACGCAAAATCGAATGAAAACAAAAACAGAAATAAAATGAAGCCTTTGTCTTTTTTTAATGATAAATCGCTGTCTTTAACTTTTACTTGTGGTCGTCGCAACGCTGTCGGTGTTCTGCTCGCACTGCCTTTTCACTGCAAAAACAGCCCGTATCCACAAAAAAAGGGGAAAAACAGAATTAACCTTCTGTGCACGAGCGAGATCGGGCGTAGCGTTCCTATACACGAAAAGGAGGAGAGGTAAAGGAGAAAACGGGAAAGATTGTTGATGCGAATGAAATGAAAGGCGTGATGAAGCGAAAAAACAACACGACAGATGAAGAGGCGAGTAGAACCGAGAAGACTTATTTCCCTTCTTATTTTTCGTGCAGATCTAAATAGAGCACAGCCAAACGATCCACGCTTTTTGCTGCTCATGTGTGCTCCTTTGCACAGGCAGCTTTTTTCCTTACCTTCCGCTAACACTAAACGTGTGTAGCGTGTTTCGAGCGATGTTGCCCATGCGAAATTAGCGTGTATCTGTTATTATAATTATTATTATTATTGATGTTGTTCTTGTTGGGCGACGTGTGTCTTGCGGTGTTGTCGCTGCTAAGGGTATGTTGACCAGGTGTCAGGTTAAGGTAGATGAAACGGCTGCCACAGCGAGAACGAATGGGGAAAGAACAAAAGAAACGTTGCGGTACGATCTTCACAGTCATCGTTGCCGTGATCATTCGCACACGTCACTGCGCGAGATACTTTGCCAGCAAATAAGCGCAGGGTCGACCGCAACGTAGGCAAACACACTTTCCGCATCGTCCGCGGAGCGACGGTCACTGTCACTCATGCAGCCACTCGCCAGCGTAGCACACAGCTGAGCGTGCCGAATGACCAGCCGACTTTGCACAAACAATGGTGACGGGTTTGCGGCCGTCGCGGCCGTCACGCCTTCGCAATAAAACACGCACACCCTGTCCTGGAAAGCAACTGTTTCCTGTGTGGCGCTGAGGGCATTTGCTGCACGGTGCGCAGGTGAGGAAAGCAGAGAAGGCGATGAGGCTGTGGGCAACACACGCGTCACCCCAACGGGAACAGCTTCCGAGTTCACCTCAACTGGTGGCAGCGGTATCCAGTGCCACGTAAGCCTCACGCCACTCACACCTGCGTTTGCTGCTTTGCTCCTCGCTGCAGGACCAAGAGAGGCAGAAGGAGTCGCGCGATCAACGGGTGTCGAAGGTATACCGCACAGCAGAAAAGACGCCAACCGATCGCGCGGGACGCTGCGGCTTGTAGACGCTAACGAAGCCGAACGTGTCACATCGCTTTCCGTCAGCAGCAACGTGCACAGTACCAGGTTGTGGAGAGACGCCGAAACGGGGGAGTGAAGAGAATCCCGCAGCGCCGCAGGACCCGTCAGCGAAGTAATGTACAGAACCTGCTGGAGAGCGAAGTCGGTGAAGTTCAAGCCCGCTCCGTCGCTGTTCTCTCTATCCAATGCTACACTTACCTTCGTCGCCCAGTCCATGTCCGCCACGAGCCGAGGAAGTCGTACCACAAGAAGCCTTGCTGCTGCTGCTGTCGCTGTCGCTGCATCGGCGTTATACAACGGGACCGGCGCAACGCGCAGTGGCCGACAAAGAAGTTGACGTAAGAGCGCATCCGCACTGCGAGGCATGTTCTCTCCTGCACTTTCCTTCGTCGAAGCAGCATCGCCCTCCGCCTCCCAGGACCACCGAAGACGACGAATGAATGGATTCTGTTGACCGTTGTTGCTGCTGTATCCAAGGGCAGGGCAGAGTCCAGACTCGTCTCGCACTGCCTCTTCAGACACGGTAGCTTTCTCCGAAAGAAAACGTCGGCCAGGCCATACGGTGTGTAAAAGGGCGGCATCACACACGCAGAGCGACGCCGCTTCCGTTGGCAGGCGGGCCTCCCGCTCTGTCTCCGTCGCACTCACCTCATTCGCCTTCGATGCGGCGTTGAACCAACCAAAGAAAGGGCAGAGTTTCGATGTCTGTGGCGGCCACAGCGGGGTCTCGACGGCGTCGTCGTTTGCCCTGTTTCCTGCCGCGTCACCCGACGCAACTTCCTCCCCAAACCAGGCGATGCTGTTTTGCAGAAGTACAATGGAAGGTGGAGGAGTGAAGGTTACGAGTGAAGAAGCGCGACTCGCTGCAGCCGCAGCACCAACAGCAGCAGCCTGGCCGTCTTCTCTTAACGATGGTCCATGGATGGAGTCACGCAGTAGTTGGCAAAGCGCGGCGCCGTCTGCATTCGCCACGCACGCATGGGAGGCAGCAATGTCAGCCCAAGAGACGACGCCGAGTTGAAGAACGCACGTCATGGTGCGCACCCGCCTCCGCACACGCAAGTTGCTGACGCTGGTCTTTCCACTCGTACTCTTCGTATTTGCCACTACGGACGATGCGGCGTCACGCGCGAGCTGCTGTTGTTCTGCGGCGGTGTCGTCAGAGGTGAGAACACCTGTCCAGAGAAACGAAAAGGTTTCTCCACATCCCTCTACACCACTGCCCTGAGAAGTGCAAGAATACGGCTCAGTGACGGGCAGCTGTTCGAGCTGCATCGTAGACACAGAAGTCGAAGACGTCCACACGGACTTCGTGTTGGCTGTCCGCACGTCGATCACGCGCTCCACATGGCCGTCCGCCAGGCGTACAACGCCCACCAAAGGCCCGGCGGCAATGACGAGCAACACAGCAGCCGCGTGCGTCTCCTTGTTCTTTCTAGTCACGACAACTTTCATGGAAGCGTCGGCAGGACCCGCTCCTTCGTTCAGCAGCACCTGTAAAAACTTTGTTTCACGATCTCGTTGAGTGGGCGAAGACCCTGATGGTGTGTTCGTCGCTTTCGCGTACTGCAAGGTGCCAAGACGCAGCACCAACTGCAATGCCTCCTCATGTCTGCCGCTGCTGATCTTGTCTGCTGTTCGCGGAGCTTCTGTATCGCAGCGCCAGCCGACCACGTCGCCAGACCGCAAGAGCGCCACAACATCCATCAGCTCTACACACGCTGCGAGCTCACACCCCACCGACGTGATACCGCTGGAAAAACCGTCTTTGTTTCTGGGAGTGCTGTGCACCCAAGCAAGGGCGACGGGAAGCACGTTGGAAGGCAGCGCGGTGGATGGCAGCGCGTGAGAGCCGACAACGGAGAGAGGCGAGTGAGAGAGCACGTCCATGCTGGTCGAGTCCATCGAGCTGCAGAGGCGACAAGAGCGTGCGAATTCGATCGCAGACACGCCTTGCGCGCAGATGCAGATTTTCGCTTTCTTGTCTTGCTTGACGGTCCCAAAAGGAGGAGGAGGTGTCTCTGGCGTGGCAGCAGCGGCGGTAACAACGCTTTTATCGTCGACTGGCGATATGCACGTCTGCACACTGGAAAGTGCAAAGACACCTTCATGGACGACGTCAACCGATCCCTCCCGGCATGCCGCATATCCGCAGATCAACATACACACGCTATCGCCGCTGCTTCCTCTTTGCCTGTTCGAGCGAGCACCGCAGGTAGTCCAGTGCAGCATCTGATCCACGGAAACAAGCGCGGAGAGTGGCGCGGTAGCAGCGGATGGAAGTGACGAAGGAGAACGCGGTAGGCCGGTGAGATCCACACGGACTCGCTGCGTCAGTTGCACGGAATATCGACAGGCACCTTCTTGCTTTCTGCTGTCCGGTGCGAAAGCACGCCGGTTGGAAGCCACCACGTCTGCGGCCAACCCCCGAATTCTCCGAATCGGCTGCGCTACGATGGTGAGTAGCACGGCGGTGTAGCCGCCTTCTGCAGCAGAAGCAGCCGTCGATCCTGCGAAGAGGGCACCAATACGGGCTACCGCTCTTACGCCGCCGTCAGCAGCCGTGCGCGGATCGCCTCCATTGTGGAAGGCGTCATGCGCGAGCAGGACCGTGGAGGCGCACTCCGGGTAGCCGTCAAGTGCGCAACGCGCCACTTCCCCCGCAGCGCCATACAAAACAAAAGCGAACGCGCCTTCACTCCTTTTCTGGTCCCACTGCGCAGGCTCAGAATTGCTGACCACCTCTGCACTTTCTTGATCAACCTTGTGGGAGTGCCGCCGAGCTGCACGAAAGAGCCGGCTAGCTGCGTAGGGCTCCTGGGCAGGTCGTTGGAAAACACCCACGATTTCGGTGGGCGCCTGCGTCATCGCACGGCGAGTGCTGCGAAACGCGTCTGCGGCTGTGCCCCGCTCGGAGCCTCGGCGCATTGCCCTTTCGCCGTTTTCCGCGCTTTGCTTGCTCGCAAGTCCCGTTCCGTGAAGCGGCGTTCCGAGCGTGGCGGCAAACAGAAATGAAGGATGTGCAAGCGTGAGTCCTCGAACCGACCACGGCCCCATGAGCACGCGCCCGCTGACGTGTATGGGCGGTGGATCCGTCACATCGGTTACCGTCCGCGTCATCACCGACTCCCTGTTGGGATGGCGTGCATCACACCTGTCCGACTCGTCCTCCACGAGGCAGCAAACCGAGAGGGTGTCGAGGCAGGAGTCGCCAATGGAGAGGGCAGGGGCGGCGTAGAGTACGGCCAGTAAAGGAAAACCGTGGCTGCAGTCCAGCGCGTCCGGCAGCCAGCGCACACTGCGCAAGGATACGCAGGCGCTGTTCGAAAGCGCGTGCGCTTCACTGGCGCCTCCGTGGGGTACGTCTTTCAGCTTGTGTTCGTCTGCTACAGCAGCCTCGTTGCCTTCAGTGGGTCGTGTCAGGGAGGGCGGGACACGAAAGAGCTCATCCAAGTAAAACCACCCCTGCGCGTGGAGCCGCCATCCTTGCATTGCCGGTGAGTCTTTATCGTCTCTTGCGGAAGCGGCGGAGCCGGAAAGACGAATATCCGCCGCTGCGCGATTCCCGCAGCGCAGACGGACAAAGTGCAGTTTCGGTGCGACGTCGTCCGCCGGGCGATGCGGGGTGAGAATCAACATTTCTTTCCCTTCTGCACATCCGTTTGTCGTGGATCGCAGAGGGCAGATCAACGCCGTCGTCGCAGCCTCTGTCAGAGAGCTTGATCTTTCAAGAGTGCTTCCTGTTGCGGCGACGCTGGACGAAAGCCGATGTTGCTCCTTTGCGCAGTTTATCGGGCGTGGCACCCACACACAGTCGTGCAGGCGCACCCTTCTCGAGTCCGCCTCCATGAGTGCAAGCGCGAAGGTTGCGAGGGCGCAGCAGCCGCATTCGAACACGCACCACACGTCGATAAAACCCCCCTCTCCATGATGCCGTACTACGTGGAGTCGACGAAGTGGTGTGCCCGCACCACGCAAAGCCCCAGTTGTGCTGTCTGGTGAGCCCGCTGATGTTTCTGCCGGAGATAAAGCGGGGCCTGCTGTAGCCGCCGTCGCAGCAAGGTACTCCGTGGCCCGCAGCTCGGCAAACGCGTTCGCGATGGTCGCTGAAGCGACGTTCCTCTCCCGGCTCTCCGTAGAAGATGACGGTGGCACGTGCACTTTGTGCCGCGGGGACCTGCTGTGGACGTCGCGCAGGCAGCAGCAGAGGCACGGCAAGGGTGCGCCGCGTGAAGTCGGCTCGAACGCGGAAGGTGAGATTTCTTGTGTAGCACGGTGCGCTGCGACGTGCGCCCACAAGTATTCCCTGATCGTCGGATGATTTCCCTGATCGCTGGCCGCTGAAACGCCCTCGCCTGCCGTTGACGATGTGGGAGAGGTCCGTGAAGAAAAGACACGGTAGCCAAAAGGGTCTGCGCTGTCACCGCCGTCACTTTCCGCGACAGGAGCTGCGTGTCGATCCGCCGCAGCAGCGGAGGCGGAGAGGACGAAGAGAAGCGTGTACGCGTCTTTCGCGATAATCGAACAGACCACATCGGAGGAGTACTGGGCGTCTGCCGTGGAGATGACACACGCCATATTGGCATCTAAAGACGTCGGTGCTTCGCTGAAGCATGAAAACAGTAGGAAAGAAAAGGTGTCGTGTAGAGAGAGAGAGTTGCGTGTGGGACGGAGAAACAACAGCCATTAACGAAAAAGGCTATTTCATAACCCTACGCCTGCGTCTTTGCACGCATACCTCAAAAGAGTTCACACACAGCTGCGGTTTCGCCCTTACATGACCTCAACCGCAGCAATGCGTGCCGATATCGATGGTCCGGTTAGAGGGGAAGGAAAACGCGTTTATTCCCCTAAGTGATCCACAGAAGAAGGCTTCCCAGCACGAAGGCCACTGGCTCGATTTGATCGTCACACACGTTGAATCATCACTCACCAAAAAAAGAATGCCTATTCAAATATCCGGTGCAACTTCTTTCAATGTTTCTTTCTTTCATCACGGTAGCAAAGTCACCGAGGCCAAAACGAGAGTCACCCCATCAGTTGCCCATCCTCGATTAACTTCTAAGAAAACAATAAACACTTTCAGGCTCCAACAATATGAAAACAAAAACGATGGCGATGCGGCGCAGGTGAAGGAGAAGAACCGCGTGACGAAGCGTGCTAGCAAAGAAAAAAAAAGGCTGAAAGACACATCCACACAGATGTGCGCAGTCACACAACGTGGCCTGCTCATGAGAGAAATGGCACAAATCTGTTCGTTCCCTCTCCACAACGTCAGTGTAACTTGCACCCTGCTCGGTCTTGGCGATAAGCTTTCTTTCTTTCTTTACTTCACTAACCGCGCTTGTCCTTTCCTCCGCAGCTCTGAAAGAACACGCCTGTGCAGGTTGCCGGCGACCTTACGCAGCGCAACTGACACCGACTCATCGCCATCGTCGCTGACACAACGTGAAAAAACAAGAGACAAAGAAAACAAACAAAACAAAGAGTTGCTGTCCTTTCGAGAACAACACGGACAACAAAAGAAGGCTTCTGTGAAGAGAACAAAGTGGAGAGCGCGTATATCAAAGACCTACTACCGAGCGGGAGCACCTGTGGGCAGCAGCGGCAACTTGTCTTTCTTTAATTTTATCTATTCGCTCACACAGGCATGTCTCGCCTCGGCGCGTGCGTGATCTACGAGCTTGCGCTGGGACTGTACGTGAGTCCGTAGGCCTCGTTGAAGGGGGCCTGCACCGCCGCACTCAGCTCTTCCGCCAGCGTTAGCACCTCCAACCCCACTGCGCGCACGTCCATCGTGTGACTTCCAGCGCTGGCGGGAATGTCAACGCTAATGCGGTACTCTACCCGGGCGTCCTCCTCGTCGTCGCGCAGCACAATCAGCGGCTGCCGCTTAATCTCGCGCACCACAATCGCGATCCCCTTCGCGTTGAGTCGCTCAAAGTGCCGGGACTCGTTCTCAGAGAGGTACACGAGCTGCCCATGCTCCGGCGGCAGCACATCGCTCACATCGTCCTGCGCCAGCTCAATCACCTGCGTGCGAGAGTAGGTGTCGCGGTCCTGCGCACTGACTGGCGCACGTGAGCGCAGCAGCACCAACAGGTCGGGCTTCTCTAACGAGGTGCAGAAGGCCGTCTGCACATCCACCCAAGCCCCATAGACGCCGTCCACCTTCGTGTGCTCGTTCAGCACCACCTCCAAGCTATCGTTTGCGCGCTTGATGGTGCCCTCGTAGGTCAGCCGTGCGTTCTTGCTGACGAGGTCGAAGCCCTTCTCGGCCAGAAACTTCTCCACCGCGCCGATGGCGCTCTCCGGCACGCTGGAGATCCACGTGTACGGCTTCGTGAGCTGCATGCGCTGCTGCAACGTGTAGGCGGACACAACGCGTTCGTTGTGCCGCATGGCCGACGCCGTGAGCAGCAGCTTGCCCACCTCCACGGAGAGCTCGCCGTCCATGCGCAGGTTGCTCATGTTCAGCAGACACCACTGCAGCACCTTGCTGTAGCGGGCCTGCAGCGCGCCCTCCGCGTCCGAGGCGGAGAGGGTGTAGCACTCCGTGTTCGCCGGGAAGCCGGGGAAGGCGGCCGTGTTCACGCGACTGACCACCGCCTCCGCACTGCTGCCAACTGTCAGCAGCTGAAACGCGCGTGGCACCATCGTGGTCGCGCCTTGGTAGAAGCCCGCCTGCGCTAAATCGAGCAGCGTCTCCGGCTGAGTGGCGCCGGACGAGGCCCAGTTGCCGTAGTCCTGACCTTGTCCTCCACGATCACCCGCCGCAGCAGCAGCAGCAGCGACGGCGGCATCGCCAACCGCAGCAGCGTTAATTTTATCTTTCGCCTGCAGGTACTCCTCTAACCGCCGCACCACCGCCGCCTTCTTCGCCGCCGGGTCGGTGGCGATGCCAACGCCGGAGAGAAACTCGCGCATCTGGGCCAGCTGCAGGGAGAAGAGATTGCCCTCGTTCCACAGCGACCACACCTGCTCGTGCGTGACGGGGGCCACCACGTTGCCGGAGATGATTTGGGGGCCAGCGAGCATTTCGTCTACTCCGCTCGACGCAGACGACCCGCTCTGGAAACGTTTTTGAACGACGGTGGCGGTGGTGGTGTGGAAGGCGGTGATGGAAGCCGTGAGAGACCGCGCCGCAACCGCACCGCTGCGGGGATGCGCTAAACGCAGAAGCCGAGACCGGAGCATTTCTCTTTCCCCTTTGGTTATATATTTGCTTTCTGGGAATTGTTGCTGTACCTTCGCGGCGACGTTGTTCAACGGTGTGCCTATTTACCCCTTCTGCTCTAATTCGACGCGCGAACAAAAGCACGTCCGATGCTACGGGTGGTTTCCAGCACGAAGTCAGCAAATCACGGCGCCCGCTCCGCTGCTCGTGTGTGTTCTTCTTGATTATACACTTTAAGAGTGCGAGACAAACAGAAGAAGAGAAGGGTGAAATCGACGGTGCTTCGTGTCGTACGGACGATCGTCGACGTGGCCGAGAGAAAAAAAAGAGGGGGAGGCGACCACGGAGGAGAACACAACGATGAACGATGGCAATAACGACATTTCTTTTCGTAAAACAACATTTCCGAAATGCGCGAGGGCGATGAAACGTGAAGCAACGAGTAGAAGCCCTTAACATGAACGTGCATAAGGCTTCGGTTCATCGCAGGAAAGCTGTCCTTCGGTTTTTGCTCTTTTCGAGTCCCCACACCTTTGGAGGAGAAGGGCCTCGCGCGTGTTAGTGTTTATTGTTGGTGTAATGGCCTGCATTGATTCCTCCTTTTCGTAGGGTGCTCTGAGCAGAGACGCAGCTCACCGCCGTGACTTTCCTGCATTCACATGTTTTCTTCTTCCTGCTTGCTTTCGTCCTTGGTTCTGTAGAGAATCATAAAAGACAACAATGTGGAGCAAGAAACTAAACAAAGAGAACCGACTCTAATGTCGCCGAACGTCATACGTGGTTTCTGTTGGATCACACGTACACGGAGACGGAAAACAAAAAGAAAAAAAAACAGAAGGAAGCCAATAGAAGGGGAAAAACAAATTTCAGATAACACACCACCGCGATGAATTGCGAGTGCAGCATACAAACAATCAATCACATCATTAACGCTTTCCGTTTCTTTTCGCTGCTTTTCCTTCATTACACCTCGACGTGTTTGGCCGGTGGCGTCGGAGATTCGAACACCAACTCGCCCGGCCGCAGCTAGCACGCCGCCAAACGTTATCGAGAAACAAAGAATTGAGCGACTTCCCATATAAAACAAAGGGGGGGAGGCCGCGCGCCGTTTTAGCAAAAATTAACACAGACGCACAACGGAGGAGACGCACGGGAATCTAAATTTTAAAAAGGTCTAAAGAAAACGCTGGACGAAACGAAACGTGAGAGATAAGGCTTGAAAAAAAAGGGGGCGGGAGACGGAAGGTGCTGCCTTCCTCCGTTGTTTTCTTTTCCACACAGCTCTCAGCCGTCGCGCCGCTGATGTGACAGCACAAACAAGCGAATGTTGCTTGTACAGCTCTACGGGAGCTCGCTGCGTGCTGCAGATACGCACTTCCCTTCTGTCGCTCTGCATTAAACGAGCGAAGGTGACTGCACGCGGGTGCGAGTGCCAGCGGCGGGAGCAGAAGCGTCGGTGTAGTCCTCCTCCTCCTGCTCCCGCATCACCGCGGCCGCCACCGAGCGCAGCGGCATCACCTGCAGCGGCGTCTTCGCTTCACAGACGGGCAGCAGCACAGAACCGCGATAGTCAACGCACGCCTGCTGAATCGCGTTAGCTGGGTGCGACACGACAGGAGAGTTGTTCTCCTCCGTTGTGAAGCCGGCTGTCACGGTGCCGGTGGCCGTGTGACACGTCGGTGACACAGCGTTGTCGAAGTCGTGCCCAAGGCAGCGGTTTACAGAGCCGCTCCTCGTCTTGTCCTCCACGGTGCTGCTGCTGCTGCCGGTTGGGGAAGCGGCACCACTCAGGCGCAACTCCCGCATATGAGATACGGCAGCAGTGAAGGCGTATGCCTCGTCCTCATCCATGAGAACGTCCATCGCAGACCGCGGGATGAGCCGCGTACCGGTCTTCATGTCGGCCCCCTCCAGCGGACTCTGCTTGTGGTGACGGTGCGGGGTGCTGCCACCGCCCATGAAGGCGTCCTTGTGGATTGACTGGCCACACGGCGTGTGCAACGCACTGCCGTCGCTGTTGTGCATCGCTGCCGCCGCAGCAGCAGCTGCCGGAGCCCCCACGCCTCCGTGCGAATGCTGCCACGATGGTTGCGTCTGCGGTGTCACGGCAGGAGACGGAGACGGCGACACAGGCAGCGCGTGAAGTGCGTGACCGGCGTCGCAGCGCGGCAGCCCGTGGTTCAACAAATAAATGCGCTGTAGCTCTGGCGGGCACGGGTCGGGCAGTCGATGCACCCCACTGCATTCCGCACGCGCCACACAAGCCCCACGGACCCAGTTGAGGCACAGGTTGCGTGGAAGGCTGGCGTACGCGCAGCTGGTCGCGTTGCGGCACGCACCGTACCACCGCAGGCATGGATGGACGTCGGTGCAGAACGGCCGCTCCTCTGGTCGTACGCGGCGCCATGAAAGATTGCCGCCGCTTCCTCCAGCGGGTTTCAAGCTCTCGATTGCGTGGGTGCCTGTGCCGCTTACCTTGTTGGTGGAGTCATCGCCCTCGCCGTCTGCCTCGTCATCTTCGGCAGCCTCTGCAGGAAAGATGCAGCGGGCGATGCTTCGATTGCCGGATTTGGTACCCTCACCAGCCGTCACAGCAAGAAGAGCCTTCACAGCACCCTCCGACACGCTCTTGCGCCGCGGCTGCTCTTCTCCTTCCCCTTTACTCTCGGCGCTGCAGCTGTTTGTGTTCATGGGCAGGGTGCCACTGGGTTTGTCGACAGCGGCGGCCGGCGTCGTCTCGCGGCTGTGCTCGTGTCGAAACGCAAAGAAGAACGCCTTAGCGTCGATGAAGCGCGAGGCCTCGGGGTTGCAGCTGCCGAGCTCCAACAAAATCTGCACCAGCTCCTCCTTGCTGGCGTGCAGGAGCTGCCTCTCCAGCGCCACACCGGACAGGCCGCTGGCGATGGCCGCCGTGGTGGTCGCCGTCGTGGTGCCGGACACCGTCGGCACGGGTCCAAAGCCCGCAGGGCTGCAAGTGCTGCCCCGCTGCATCACCGCTGAGCACGTTGGAGAGGGAGAGGCGGTGTGGCTGTGGTAGCTGCTTTGCCGCTGCCGCTGCTGCTGTGCATGGGAGGCGAAGCCGGGCGGAGAGGCCCCGCCGTGCACCGCCTCGCCCATCGGCACACCATTGTGGAAGTACGGAGAGACGCCACCGGAACCATTGGAGGGGTGTGAGGACTGCAGCAGGTAGCTCGCGGCGGCGGCAGCAGCACCAGCGCCGTCCATAGTGGCAGAACCGACCTCCATCACCATCGCCGGCGTCGGCATCATCGCAATGGCAGATGTCATCCCACTCTGGTGCAGTGCGGTGGTGTTCATCGTGGCGTTGTGCGAACCGGAGAGGCCACCAGGCGAGGCGGAGAGCCGCGACACGTCGCCGCCAGGCGGGGTAAAGGGCGAGGTGAAGCCCATGCACGGCGCAGCACCGCTCTCTGCAGCGTATCCGGGGGGATAGTACAGCGCCTGCTGCAGTGAGGAAGCTTTCGGTGCAAAGGCAGAGCGCGCGGCCGCATCCCAGGAGCACGCCACGGCACCGCCGTCGGCGGGGTGAGGGCTGCTGCTGTTGCTGCCGGTGGTGGTGAAGACACGCATCGCCTGCGACACGGCAACAGCACTCGGAAGGGGCATTGACATCGAGGGTGGGGGCTGGAGCTGGGACACAGGCAGCGGCAACAGGCTTGCAGACGGATCCACGTAGGGGTCACCTCCGCATAGTTTGTGGTCGAGGCTGCTGAAATAGTCCGCACCAGACGCTGCCTGTGCCGCCGAGGCCTCCATCGTTTCTCGCGGTTGACTGCGCAGCTGCGAGTCGTGCCGCCAGCTGCCGCCGCCGTTCGTGATGGGTGTCACTCCTTGCAACAGCGCAGAGTCCTCCGCCTCCTCTCGCGTGCTCACGTGCGGAGTGTCCTCAAGAGCCTGCGTGGCGGGGTGAGCAGCGCCGTTATCGCACGCACGCTCCACTGGAGAGGTTGCGGTGGTGGTAAAGGTAATGTCCTTGACTCGTTGAAAGAAAGGCGAGGCGGCGTAGGCGCTCGGAATGTGGGGGCCGCCCGCCGAGTTCACAGGGCTGCTGCTGCTGTTTGTGCCGCCGCGCTGACTCTGCAGCTGGGACTGAGACAGCGTCTTCGCTTTGGTTTTGTTGCCGGTTTGGTTGAGCCGTGCGTGCGGTGTGGTGTAGATGTGTGAAGGTTGAGGAGGAACGACAGCAGCAGCATTGTGTGGCTGAGGTGTGTTGCGGTTCGGCGTCGCCGTGGCAGAGGCGGTAGAGTACGCCGTGTCGCCGTTCGAAGCTTGGCGCAGCGCCGTCAGCGGCGGGGGCGGAGGCAGCGAGCGCGGGCTCTGACCCTCCGGTTCTGAAGAGAGGCTGTGGCGGTGTCCAGAAGCAAAGGGTATCCCAGCTGTTGCCCCTGCTCCTGTCGTCGTCGTCGTTGTTGCGGTGGAGTGAGAGCTAGCAGAGGAGGGGGTGGGCGATGAAATAAACCGCGCAGTGGGCGCCGGCGCCATCGCTGCTCGCTTTGAGCTGCGGGACAGCGGCGGGTGCACCGCCACGGCCGCCACCGTGCGTGATGTCGGTGTCATCCCACACGGTGGCGTTGTCCATGCAGCTTCACTGCCACCCTCATTCGAACGCACCCCAGGGAGAGAATGCGGAGTAGGTGAGGTGTGCGCCGACGGCGACGGCGACCGAGACGGGTTGTGGTTGCTGCCGTTGCCGCTGTGCACGATGGTGGAGGTGGCGGCCGTCATCGTCGTTGTTTTGGTCGTGGTGGTGGTGCTGCCGTGTGGTGTGGGCCGTTGTGACGGTTGAGGCTCGGCGAGGGTGGCGTCCTGGCGGGCCAGAACGTTTTTCTGGAAAGCTTCCGCCCAGCGACCGGCTTCGCGCGAGACGCTAACAGATGCCGTCGCCGCATCTTCGCGGGCACCGACGGAAGAAGCATCCATTTTGTCGTTGTTGGTGCGGTACGGTGTGAAGTGCTGATCGACGTTGGCAAAGGAATCGGACTTGGCGCGAAGGCGTGCAGCAATCCGCATCTATTCTCTCTTCCCCCCTCTTTCTTAACTATAGGTGTCTCGCAGCAACTGTTCCCGACGCAGGGAAGAAACTTAGTGAACGCCACCGTAAAACAGATAGTGAATAATACGACAGCAACGTGAGCTTTTAAAAAGGGAAAAACTGTGTGTGTGTTTGTGTCCACAAGATTTATGGTCTCCTTTTCGTCGGCGTGTAGCTTAATATCTATCGCTGAGAATGTGCTCTATCGACTCTATCGACTCTAACGACGCTAATTTCTAAATTCTATTGCAGTTACCCCTCGGGCGCGAATAAGTCTTTCTATTGTTTGTTTGTTCTTTCTCATGTGTGCTTGTCTAGTGCAACGTTGAACAAAGATGTATATTGCTTGTTTCTTTGTTTTTAAAGAGATGCTGACGTGGAGGAATATATAGGTATTTTACCATCAAAAAAGGAGCCAACACTATTGGTGTCGGAAGAGGAGATAACCGGTAAAGTGGTTAAAAGGAAAAAAAAATGTATGCAAATCGATGTCCACAGGGATCACCGCTTTTTTTTTTGGAAATCTAGAATATTTTATGCGTGCTCTGGAAAGCTATGGCTTTCTACTGCAATAGGGGAAAAAAAACTAAGGCTGTATGTGTGTGGAACACTTCGGGTAGAACAAAAAAAAGGTTAAATAGCGGTTAATAGCCTCGTTATTGTTGTGGTTCTTCCCTTTGACGAGGCCATGGCGTGCAACGCATCATTTCAGCGAAGCGTTGCGTGAAGAGGTGCATGTCAGGTGACACAGAGCAAAGAAAAGGGAAACAAAAAGGCGATGAGACGGAAAAGGTCGAGAAAACCCAGAGCTGAATGCGGAGGAAAGCATAAACAGACAATTGTTTTCCGGCTAGATATTTTTTTTTTTTTTACTAGCGCGTTGTGCCCACAATCGATCGCACGTCAAGTACACCGAATTTGCTCGTGCTTCATCGTAAAGTGTTCTCGCTGCCACTTAGGGAAGGTAAATGAAGATTTCTTGCACCCACGTTCGTGGTCTTCTGCCCCCGGCGAAATGGCACAGGAGAACCTACCAAAGAGTGTTTCACGATCAACGCACACTCAGCCGTTGGTCTTCGTCTTGACAACCTTGTTCAACAGTTTGTTTCTTTCTTTTTTACATCTTAGTTGCCGGCCACTTCTTCGAAACGCTTCGTGTAGTACCTTCTCGAGCGGCAAAAGAACAAAAAACTGTTCTGTTTTTCAGAGGTAGACACCTCAGCTTTGGTCAGTGCAAATGCAAAGGATAGAACGCGCAGCTTAATCAAGAAGTGGCAGCAACTTCACTTTAATTAGAAAAAGATGCAGTGAACACAGCAATTCACACCCACCAAACTAGAACGACCTTCAAGGACAAAAGGGAAAAAGAGGATAGAAACGCGAAGTAACGGCGTAGAGTCAGTGAAACCGCAGAGATGTGAAAGGCGATACACTTCCGCGAAGAAAAGCGCATCGACCTCGTACGGCTTTCGTTGCATCTGTGCAAGTGCACGCTTCGACCATCAAGTACGCGCTTTCGGGGGAGGGGATGCATCTCGTGCTCCTGTGTCCTCTTGTTTTCTTGGAATCACTGTTTGTCTCGCTTACTCGCTGCCGTTCTCTTCGCGGTAGCGCTGCATGGCCACCGTCTTCTGTTGCAGGGCGTCAATCACCTGGTTCTGCTGACGCTGCTTCAGCACAATCGTCTTCTCCACCTGATCCATGCTCTCCTTAATCTGTGCCGCACGCGAAGTGAAGTACTTCTTCGCGTGTTCCATCGACTGCTCCAGAAAGTAGCCGGTGCCGACGTCGACGAGCACCTTGTCACTCGGGATGACGGTGCCCCGCACAAACAGGGAGGACGTCATGCAGACCAACACCTCCTGCTCCGCCGCTTCCTTCTTCGCGTTCTCGCAGACCACCTTGTACTGGTCGATCACATCGTGGTTGTCCTGGTAGCGGTTGCGGCCGTTGTACAGGCCGTCGTAGGCGGTGCCGAGGCTCTGCACGTCGTTGTCCAGCTGCTCCTTGAGGCCCTCCAGCTGTTCAATGGGAAGTTGGTACACGTTGATGCTCATTGTCGCGGCGGTTAATGTGTACGTGTAGGTGTGCGTGCGTGCGTGTGTGTGTGTCTGACAAGTCTTCTTGGCTGATCCGCTTAGCGTAAACAAAAAAAAACTGCGACAGGGAGCAGGTGAGATCGAAAGGAATGTGGTGTTGAGGCGCGTAGTGTTGAGCGAGTTGGGGCGGTATACAAGAGAGAGAAAAAAGGAAGTTGAGAAATGTAAACATCAAAGGGGAAGAGTGCACGTCAACGATTTTTCCTCCACAGCCCGGCCAGGAAAGAAAGGAAAAAGGTTGTCGCCATTCTTCAGTTTTAGTTCGGCCTTTTCGCTCGACGAAAATACTCTGCCAATTAACGCCCTACAGTGCAGAGGGCCATTTAGATTTTTTATTCCTAGAAGACAGAGCGCCCTTTTTCTCTTTTCTTTCAATGCCTCCTCTCAAAGCTGAAGAACAGCGCCATCAACACCAACGACGACAACAACAGGGTGGAGCATTCGTGCGCCTTTGCACGCCACCTGAAAGTGCCCGTCACCTTCGTAGAGTTCAGATAAACCGCAGCGGCATTATCACGCGTCCTCATGCCTCGCCGGCTCCATGAAGTGCTGCAGGTGCAGCGGCGGCGGTATCGGCAGCTCCTCCCACGACACCTGCGTCCCCGCGTCGGCGGTTAAAGCGGGCGGCGCGAACTCCTGCACGAAGTAAGGGTCCATTTGAAACCACTCCTGGTACGGAAGCCCCGGCACCAAATCCGGATACTCGCCGCGTGCGTTGGGCACACTTACACGCCACACCGGATCGCCAGGGACGAGGTAGAACAACACGCAAGAGGTCGCCGGGGTATAAGGGAGGGTGGCGTGGTCCCACGCACACGCGCGGAGCATCGACTCCTCTTTGGATGGCGACGGAAGTTAGCAACAGAACGGCGGGGGAAGGAAAAAAAAAGGAAATCCACAACACCAGCAATGACGGCTGTTGTGTCAACACATTGCGCCTTGATCGGTGAGGAAGATGGGCTTGAGTTCGATAACGCACACGTAGGCGGCAAAGAGGAGAGAGAAAGGAAAAAAGGATGAAGTACAGACCTCTAAAACGAGTAAAGCGGGGATGGTAACAGTGTGTAACTCGGACACGGGTTCGAACAGGAGAGCTGCGTGCAATTTACGAAAGATCACCTCGAACGCGGTTAAAACAGTATCGTTGCTTGATGCACTACGGTGTCTTGGAGACTCGAGCCAAGAAAAAAAAAACACGAGTTCAACACGCCCACTTTCTTCCTCGCGTTTTCTTTTGGCCATTTCATCTGGCATTAGCAGCAACGAAAACAAGAGAACATTTTTAAAAAAGCAAAAAAATGGAAACAGCCTTTCGGGTAATTATCAATCTTGAACTCAGCGAGTGCCGCTTTGTGAGCACGAAACGGCCAATCGAGGTGCGGCCAGCAAATAGAGAGTTTCTTGCCTTTCGCTAACGAGGCAAACGATTTGCGGCACCGCGGTAAGGTGACACACCAGGACGTCCCTGCGGCTGCGGCGGCCGTCGTTCAGGCGCCAAAGGAGGAGCATCTTCCTCTTCTTCCTCTTCTTCCTCTTCTTCCTCCTCCTCTTCTTCCTCCTCCCCTTCTTCGTTGAGGTCGTCATCGTCACGAAAGGCGGGCTGTGTTCTTTGTCGGTCTTTTGGACTGCGTCCCGGTGGATAATCACGATCGCCGTCTTCTTCGTCCTCTTCGTCCTCTTCGACTTCCTCTTCTTCCTCCCCATCGTCGTCTTCTGCATCCTCTTCATCTGCATCGTGCCCTCGCTGCGCAGGCGGCTCCACACCTGTTTTCCTCTGCCCAACGCCTGGCCTGGCAGCAGCAGCAGCAGCTCCAGGACTGCCAGGACTGCCGCCACGCTGATGGAACTCCTCCCCCACATTCAACGGTGCCACCGTCGACGACAAAATGTGCTCAAAAGCGCTGTTCTCGTCAGCAGCGTGGTGGAGCGGGGCGCTGCCGGCACGACCGCCGGCCATCGTCGAGGCGGCAGGCACCGCAGCAGGAAACGCCCCTGCGCGTCCGCGTAACGCAGACACCTCATTGCTGCCACCATTCCCCCCGCTACCGACGACGACCTCGTTGTCACTGGTGTAGCGGTCCAGCAGCACCTTGGCGGTCTCATTGAAGTACTGCGGAGTCAACGCCAGGGGCGGGACGACGGTCTCGGCAGCGGCGCCGGCACTACCTGCCCCCTCCACATTCGCAGCCGTGCTGGGGGCCACCATCGAAGATGCGTAGATCGGTCCCCGCGAAGCACCAGCACCACCTTCACCAACACCATTCTCGCTATCACCGCCGTCGCTGGACCACGTCTCGGACTCCTCTGCACCTGGCTCGTTGGGCTGTAGCCCCGACTTGAGGCCGAACTCGCCGGCGGCACCGCCAAGTTGCGCTCCGCGTTGATTCGTGCCGTCACCGGCGCCTTCCGCAGCCGCCACGGCAACACGACGGGCGCGCTTTCGCTGCCGCGTCTCCGCCGCATGCTGGCCAATGGGGTCGAACTTCGCCGCGTCCCCGCGAGGCGCCTCCACTGCCGTCGCAAACCGCGACCTCCGCACAGCGCCCACAACGTGCCCGGCGCCATCGGCGCCGTCCAGGTTGAGCCAGTCGCCACCCTTCACGGCCTGACCCATGTCCGCATCGTCCACGTCGCCGGGACGGCGGGTGCCGTTCAAGCGGAGCTGACGCATCCGCCGTCGGTTGCGGTTGCGGCGACAAATGCACCACCCCACCACGCCGCCGATCACCACTAACACAAGGAGCGCCAAGAGGCCCAACAGAGAGAGATGGGCGACCTTGTGCGCACGCGGGGGACCGGGGCGCCGTGTCGTCGTGGACGGAGTCGGAGAAGAGGAGTCGGGCGAACTGTCCAAGTACACGGCAGCCCGTCTGTGGCTGTAGTCTCCTCTTTGCCTGTGTTCGGCTGTGGCAGGCGAAGTACGAAACACCGCCTCCGCCGAATTCGGCTTTACATTTGTCGAGAGTGTTTCCCGTGCTGCATTCGCGAGGTCCGCAGAACTGTCTTGCACGGAGACGCCTACATTGGGCAGGAACGCAGGCGTCCCATGATCCTCCTCCTCCTCCCCGTCCTTCACAAAAAAACGGTGTGCGGTGTCGGCGTCTGCCTGGGTAAACGCAGCGTAGCGATCAGATTTTGCAATTTCCTTATTGTCGTCCTCGGCCTGCGCGTCACGGAAGCCTTCGCGTGTAGCCAGCACGAGCTGGGTATTCATTAGCACAACAACGACAATGATCAGCAGCAGTGCTATGCTGCCGCTGCGCCTCCAACAAGACGATTTGCGTGGCCTATGAAGCGAAGAGGGAGAGGTGGCTTTTGAAAGAAAAGGCTCTCCTGTGATACGCGACAGCGTGTACGCCGAAGGCACCACAAAACTCAAAAAAGACACCGAGTGCATGGCGCATGGCTCAGAGGGAAGATGCCTATTTATTGACACTCTCCTGTGATCCGCAACGAAGAGCAACAAAAACAGTACTGATCAAATGGTGTAGCACGCAGAAAAAAAAGAGGGCGATTGTGGTGACGCCTCCTACTCTAAGCCTCATAAAAAGCGCTAGCCAATGTGCAGGAATGTATTCTTCGGACACGGTAGTTCAATACTCACCATTTAAAAAATGAATAACTATACGTTGTTGATCGATTGAAGCGCTAGTAGCGCTTGCAGAATCAGGTGAGCCGCGGCGCCGTTTATTTCAGTAAGTACATGATTCTTGATTCTCTCACGTGAAAGTACAAAAAAAAAAACAGCGAATACATAAGAAGCGGTTCATGCAAGAAGCGGAAACGGAGGAAGTAGTGATGGACGAAAGAAACAGGCGGAGGTAAACGCCACCTCCATAAGACAGCTTACTCATAACAGTCACGCAACGCTCTCCCTAGTAGCAAAGGCAACTCCGTGATTCAAAACTCCGCACAAGAAAAAAGTAAACAAAGAAGAGAAGCGCGACGCTCCACCTGTGTTGATCGCCTCTCCGGAACACGCGCCCGATAATCGGCTTCAACGTCCTGCAGTTCTCGCATTGACGTTCTTAACTGGCTGATGAAACTAGCCCTCTATTGTTTACGTTACTTGTTTGTTTCCGCATACATTCCGTCATCGATGTATTTGACCATAAATAAGGATGAATAAGTAAGTATATCTATATAAGAGCAAGTCACTTGATCATGCCCTTCAGAACAAAAAGAAATATATATATGCCCAAGAGCCGCGTTGGGAGGAAAAAAAGGAAGAAGAGCAATCAAGTTGATACAAGAGGGAAAACTTCTGTTTCTTTCCAACACTAGTCTGTTAGCGTATTACAATTGAGAAATACAAACTGCTGTCAAAAGGTACACGAAACAAACAAACAAACAAAAAAGAAAACGGCGCAAACACATAACAGAAGAGTGAACAGTAAAAATGATTGAGCATTTGCTTCACTTCAGCACGGGAATCTAAAAAGGCACACGGAAGCGCACGTCTTTAATGTATATGAAAAAGTTCTGAAGAAAACAGTTTCGGCGCAATAAAACTAGGGAAAAATGCTTTCGAGCAAACGTAGCGCAACAGGAAATAAACACTGGCACATCCTTTTTCAAGGATGCGTTTGTTTGTGGTTTTATTTGATCCATAACATTGTTTAACCCCCTGATCTTCCTGGAGACTTGACTACAAAAACTGTAGTTACCGTTTCAGCGTTCTTCTTTTACGCAGCAGGTCTGATACGCAGGAGTTGGGGTGCTCGGTTTAACTAAAAAAAAAAGTAAGAAGCTTAAAAGTCAGAAAACGCCATGCTTGTCTGGGAAAAATAAAAGACAAAGATGTCGTGATTGCAGTACTATTCATCAACTTGACACTGCATTGTGTTTTTGTATGTCTATTAGCTTTCCTGTGGTGATGAGATTCACGTCACTTTGCTGTCAGTTTGCGTGGCAAAAGAAACAAACGGAATGCTTTTATTTTGTTGTTAAAACGTTTTCTGCAGGCAGGCAGATCGATTCTCCTTCGTCTTTTGAGGGGGCTGGGGGAAACAAAAAAAAACGTTACCTGATAAAATAACATAAAAAACTACTCCCTCTCTCTCCCCTGTCAAAATGCTCTTGTGGCTGGAATCATTATCGGTCAATGGTATCATTATTATGATTTACCTTGCGAAAACCCAAAAGAAGGAGAAAAAATATGTAAAGCACTGAAAACAAAACAAAAATACGGGAAGACAAAATAAATTGGGGGAACAGAGCGTTAGTGGGAGGAAAAGAAAAACAAAGGAGGGAAACACGGAAAGGTGGTCTCCTCGAAATTGGGCAACCCACAGAAAAAAAGGCCGAGACGAGGTGCCGCAAAGAGCGTACGCGCACGCTGACACGCTCACACATACACACGTCAAAAGGAAGAAAGAAGGAACCGAGGTGCACCGTGCAGCTTTGCTGTGCACCTCAAATCAGCTCCGCAAGACGGTCCACTTCTTCCATCCGTTGTTTCGCCTCGCTGTGCAGTGCCATGTGAGAAACCAGAAAACAAAATGATCCACTTAACACAACAAACCAGCTAAAGTGGAAAATACGAAAGCGATGAAAGCAGCGATTTGGTCCAACAACGCACTCTTTACAAGATCATCTCCTGCTACACACCACTATACATATACCGTTTGGCATCAGCGACTATCGCTGAATCAGCAAACCGTTCTCACCGTTCGTTAGCGAAAGTTCAGTAGACGGAAACGACTCTTTGTTTTCACCTCAGGGTGGGTTGCGCGTAATGGAATACAACAGAAAAGACGCTCGCCTCTCAGTTCTAAAACCAGAAAAAAAACGCTGTTGGGTACCAATAACACAAAAAAAGGAAGAAGAAGAGCAAACACAAAAATAAAACACGTTATTACGACCACAGCCGCGTGAGGCAAAAACTCTCCCACCGCCTCGCCGCATCCTACGCAAGGAGCACCGCCGCAAAGGCCGTCACGATACAGGTTATCGCAACCCGCGCATTCACGATGCCGGTGACGCTGTTGCGGCGCGGAGGCGGTGCTGAGGTTGTCGTGACAGGCTTCAGCGTCCGGACGCCACCTCCATTCGTGACGGAGCTGGTGAGAACACGAGCCAGTACTTCTCCGTCACTGGCCACACCGGACAACGAGCTGGTCGACGACGATGGCGCCGCACCGCTGGCAGAGCTGCTCACGGGAGAGCTGGTCGACGACGATGGCGCCGCACCGCTGGCAGAGCTGCTCACGGGAGAGCTGGTCGACGACGATGGCGCCGCACCGCTGGCAGAGCTGCTCACGGGAGAGCTGGTCGACGACGATGGCGCCGCACCGCTGGCAGAGCTGCTCACGGGAGAGCTGGTCGACGACGATGGCGCCGCACCGCTGGCAGAGCTGCTCACGGGAGAGCTGGTCGACGACGATGGCGCCGCACCGCTGGCAGAGCTGCTCACGGGAGAGCTGGCCGCATCAGACGAGGACTTGGTCGATGATGGAATGAAGCCCGCAAGAGGACGGATAGCAGGCAGCACAGACGCGTTGGGGGGCGGTGGAGTGGAAAGCAAAGTGTTAGACCCGCGCGCCGACGCGGCGGATTCTGCACTGATGCATATCGCCAGTACGGCGATCACGCAGGCAAGAACGGCGCAGAAACGCGAAGAAGTCGGCATCCTGGGGAAGGCAATAAGTAGGACTCGGTGATGAAGTGTCAGCAGCAGCGGAAAACGGCTTTGTTTTTTCTCTCTGTTAGGCTGGTTGCGGCGCAAGTTGGTATTCGGAAGAGACAAGTGCCGCTACACGGATTGAAGTAAAACAAGGATATATATATGGAGGTGCCGGTTTTCTGCAGATACGAAACAAATTTGACTGCAGAAGAAAAGAAGAAAGAATCAACCCTCTTCTTTTAGGGTCCACGAACTTCACGGTGTTGTTTATGGTGTGTGTATGGAGACCTGACACGAAGAGGTAACGATGATAAGGAGAAGGAAAGCAAACAAGCGAGTGAATAGAGATGTGAAAGATCGAAAATAATATGGAGTTCGTTTCGTAGTCGTAATTTCGCTTGTTGGTGCTTTTGCCTTTTCTGTTTTTCGGTATTTTCTTTTTGGTGACGGGTACAAGTACGTTATCAGCCGCGATGGCAGAAAAGAAATGATCTGCATGAATTTTCAAGTACGGCCAGAAACAAAAAGAGGAGAAACCCCGAGAAGAATGAGAAAATTAGCAGAAAGCAGCGACTCTTCTTTTTGTATAAGCGGACTGAGCGAGGTGAACCCGCTCGCATGGACCTGCAATGAGCACAATAGAATTTGCTCCAGTGCACCAACGTGCCTAGGAGTAACAGCGAGTACACAACTCGTACCGACTGTCATGAGGTGCCAGCCAACGTTCTTTTTTTCTTTTGGTAGCTGTTGTTGAACGCTTTGGGTATCACATCTTCGCTTTTTCGAGTGAGGTGCTCTTTGGACTGCCTTTGTTTATTGCTGACCGGCGCTATGTTCAACTTCTCTTTTTGTAATCTCTTCTTGGGAGCCACTCCAAGCAGCAACGCGCTCTCCCGCAAAGCAAGATTCCGCTCCGTCGGCGTTCGTCGTGCGGACGAAGCGAGCAGCCGGAAGGAAGACAGAAAAAGGAGACAGATGGATAAACGCAACAACGGAAAAAAAAGGAGTTGAATCTTACGCTGACCGCGTTCTGATCCTACGCAGGCATCGAGTCGAGCTCCTTTGACAGCTCGTCCAACGAAGCCGCCATCGCAGCCTGATCCCGACGGACGGACGGCAAGCCGACAAAACGAGGAGGTCCAGCAGCTTGATTTACCTCTCTTTGGTCCTTTCCCTGCCGTGAATACTCTAATGCAGTTGCCGGAGGTGCAACGACGGCGGCGCCGGCTGCGTGCTGCACATACGTCACTGCGCGTTGGTAGTTCAGCTCCGTCACCGCAATAGTAAAGCTGTGATACTGCTGCATTACAATCTGACGACGACGAAACGCCTCTTCCTGCATGAGGCGCTGCTGCTCTACGACGTGCGTGTGTCGTACGTTGCGCTCCGCCAGTGCGCAAAGGTGCTCGTGATCCCTAGCATCTTGTGGCCCGCCTTCTGCGGGGCCTGTCCCAGTGAACGGCGCGGAAGGACGTTGTACAAGGGACATTGACGAAAGGCGATCCGGCTCCGTCGTCGAGGCACTCCGGAAATCACGCGGGCGACTCCCGGACGCTGTAGCCGTCGTCGCGCGACTCAACTCCGATGGCGGAAGCGGGGACGCAAAGGAGGCCGTGGCAGGGGCGGCGACGAGGTCTGTGGAGCCAGTTCGATCCTGTTGGTGCAACGTCTGCGCTGGCGGGAGCGCGTCGCCGGCGCGTTGGCAGCGTCCACCGTCGCTACCGCCGCCGGCTTCGGCGGCCTCCACGCCGAATCCGAACGGAATGCGACGCGCCACTTCTTCGTTCTGCGGTGGCTGCGGTGGCTGTGGCGGCCGCCGCTGCTGCCCAAACCCGGGCTCTCGTGTCGTTGAGGTATCCGCTGCCGGGTAGACGCCGTCCCTCTCCAGAAAGAGACTCCACGGGTCTTCTGCCATTGCGGCCTCTACCTTCTCTCCCTGTCGACGTGCCAGCGCACCAACCAGCGGCTGCTTCTGCTGCACATCGGCAAACGTCGCCGTCGCGGCTGTGTCATCGTAGCTGTTCGACAGCACCTCGGCCATGGACGGTCCTCGCAGCGGCGTACGGGAGAGGTCCACCCGCACATGCGGTGGGAGAAGTAGTTCAAACGTTGTCCGCGGCGGCCCACGAAGCGAGTCGGCAGACAGGGTGGTAGACACGGCTGCCCCGAAGGCCGGCATTGCGCGGCTCCCGCCGGCAGTACCCGCAGAGACGCAAGGAAATTCAGACGAACCGAGAGCAGGGTCTGAATGATTTGCTGGGCCGCGTCTTACACTGCACTTCCCGTTGAAAAAACTGTTGCTTGCGCGCGGCGCCGATGCCTGCGGTCCAACTCCCACCAGCAGCGCATCTCTCGCCTGCAGCACCCGCGTGGAGAGCGTACGAGGGCCATAAACGGCCATGTAGCCTGGGGCGACATTTGGACTGCGCAGGTGTGTGTGCGCTGCGTCTGTCAGATGATCAGCAGTGCTGTTTTCTTTCTCGGAACTCACTCTTGTGTGTACTGCACCGAGAAGTGAAGACGAAGACCGACGTGTGGAATCGGAAACATCGATGGAGAGCGCCGCGGCTGCGGAAGCACCAAAAGCCTTTTTCTTTATGTTGGTCATCGCTGCTGCTGTTGCCGCTGACACGCCGTGTGTCCATCGACCCATCGGAGTGCCTCGCTCATCCACCGCTTCACTCACGCTGCTGGTGTGCTGCGTGGGCCGGTGCAGCTGCAGCAGCAGAGAGTTGCTCATCACGGCAGAAAGCGGTCTCCATGTTCGCACAACGGTGGGCATGTCCGAAGCTTCATCGTCCGCACCAACCGGTTCCGTGTATGCGTCGCTGAAGGAGTTCAGGTAGGCGGGGCGAGAGGCCAAGGCGGCGTCTAGCTCCGGTCGCATGGGATGCCCACCTGGACGTATCGCCGAATCGACATTGACCACGTCTCTCCCCGAAGAAGAATGTTGATGGGGACTTGAAGAAGGTTCGTTGGCATCAGAACCTCCGACAGCATTCCAGCTCCCGGGAGAGTGAAACGGCTTTCCGTGTCGGCTGGACAAAGCGGCGGAGGTGAGAAAACAGCCACTCCTCTGCTGCGACCACGCATCCACCGGCTGTCCGCTCGTGCAATAGTTTGCCTGCAACGAGGCAGAGTCGTGCGGGACATGGGCACCGTCCGTAATGGCATATCCGCTTGTATGATGAGGGAAGTCCGTACGATGCATCGCCTCTCTTCCCTGATGGTCAACATAAGCGCGAGCGCTTCGATTTGCATCACGCGTGAGCTGTGGCGACGTGATGGTAGACAGTCGTATACGCTGCCGGTCCGACGTCTCAGGAGGGGAGGACGTCGTCGACAATGGCGCTGCTGCTGCTTCTTGAGGGGTCCAGCGCACACCTCCCGAAACGAGGGACGCAGAGTTGCGGCGCTGCGCCACCTCCGCGAGTACCGCCGCTGTGGTGGCATTTCGGTTCGGTTTGCGATGGGGCGAGGGAACGAGCGGCACCGCCACCACTCGCGCAGCCGCACCTTCGCTGCTGCTGAGGGCATTTGCGTCAGCTGCACGTGCTTCGCCTGGCCCGCGGCGCGGAGGCGTGAGCGACGCCCCGGAGAGGTCGGCGTCGCGTTGGAGAGAGGTGGGCACCCATCGCACAAAGTCCACGCCGCCTTTGTACACGTCCGCGTCGTCACGGCGCTGACTTGCGGCGCTGGTGGAACCGTCTGGCTTTGCTGTGTCAGAGAGAGAGGCGGAGCCTGGAGAGAAGACACCGCCTTTTCCTTGGGTGCACGCAACACCAGACCGCCAACGGTCGAGGGCGGATTGCTTGTTCTCGTGCGGCGAACTGCGTGGATGATGGGCGTCACGTCTCTCTGAGGCAGCGTCTGTGTTTGAGTTGTGCGGCTCGTCGTGGAGCGGTGCGCTGCGCGCCGTCGCGTGGTGAACCTCTGCTGAGTCCGTCTTTACCTTCGTGGCTGGAGCGTGGATTCTCCAGGGTGCGGGCGGCAGTGGTGGGGGGCTCTCTTCCGCAGACCGCGTCCCGCGCATTGCCGCAGCAGCACCCGTAGCTTGCACGGAACTCAGGTCAGGATCACTGCTCCTGCGGTGGTTGTCGTTCTGCCTGCCTGTATCGCTGCTCAGGACGGTGTCAGCGGGGGTGGTAGGAGAAATGGAAGACGCCCCTGGATCTGCAACTTCCTGCCTTGCGCGGTTTGCAGAACTGGAACGCTCGTGCACGTCTGCCTTTGCAGAGTCGGCGGACTTCTGTTGAGGGGCCCCTGCCGGCACAGACGTACCGTTGGGGAAGAGGGTGCGCGGCACTTCGCCCACAGAGGAAGCCGCAGATGAAGGGGCCGGAGACGGCGAGGTCTGCACAGCCTGGACACGCTGATCCTGCTGCCGGTCCTCCTTCGCCCCCTCAACCACATCAACACCAACATTATCAAAACCGTCATTCCTCTTCTCGGATTTCGAGCTCTTGCTGCGACTGCGCTGGTGCGAAGCCGACGCCTCGCTCTGCTGCCACCGCCGTTCGTCCTCATTGCCGACCGATACAGCTGCATCGCGGTCGAGGTCCAACGTGGGAGCGTGAGACGGCGGACGAGCACCGTAGTCGGTCACCGACGCACTCTCCGCCCTCTCCGCGTCGTCGCGCCACGACGGGCGGCGCTCAGCAAACGCAGCAGAATCCTCACCAGCACGGCCGAGCGAAAAGCGGGGTTCGCCTGCCCGATAACGTGACGGGGAGTGGGACGACTCAACTGAGCGCGACGGCACCCGTGATGACGGTGCAGACGAGGCGGAAGTTGTAGCTGTTGCAGCTGCGGAGGGAACTGGCGCGGTAGGACACGGCAGCGGCCGTGCTGATCGCGGCGGCCGCGCTGCTGCCCTTGCAGCGCGCGCTTCGGCGGACTCAGCGAGTAAAGTAGCGTAGCGATTCGGCCTCCCGCTTCCACTGTCTGATGCCTCACTCAGTCCTCGCACCTCCACAGTGTTGGCGTCTGCCTCGTTGCTGCTGCTCTCCCTGCCGCCGCCGCCGCTCGATGTGTCAGCAAGATTCTTCAGTGCAGGAAGGTGTAAAGGCTGGTAGTAACCATCCGATGTGCCGCTTGTCTTCCCTTCGCTATTACTGCGGGCTGCGCCAGCGCCACGACCCGGCTCAGCGCTTTTAAGGTGTCCTGTTGAACCCGTTGCTGCTGATGTTGATGCGTCTTCGTCGCCTTTCTGCAGGCGTGACGGGCTTTCCGTGCGCACAAACGCGTTCGGCGGAGAGCGGGCCCCCGTAGAAGACGGTGACGGTAGCCGTGGCGGCGTCGACGGGTCGAGGGGCTGATCTGCCCTGCGCAGGTACGCCACATCTTCGTCTGCCGGCTCCCTCTCCAGCGAGGTGGTACCGGGAGCTGCACCGCCCATTTGTCGCGGCACCACGAACCGAAACGGCGCTTGTGAGGAAAATTCCATGGCCTTCGGAGACGGCGGCAGCGGCGGCGGCGGCACGGAAGATACGGTGAAGGATGGATTGAAAGGCAGAGAGTTGGAGGGGGTATAACGCGGGGAGACGGAGTCCCGGCTGGAGATGGTGTAGAAGACCTCCTCGCCGCGCGGATGGGCGCTGAGGGACGCCGTGGTGGAGACGTCTGGGGCTTCTTGGTCGTTTAGAAACTCATCACTGTGAGAACGGAATTGCCCATTCGAGTAGCGGTGCGCGTGGACGATCTCCCCAACATTTCTTCCGTTTGGGTTCTTGGTGTCATCGTGGTATGGCTGCTTCGGCGTCGCTTCGGTATCGCGCAGCTGCGTCGCGTTGTGCGTATCTACATCTTCGCATGCAGTCTCTGGCTCTGCAGCCGTGTTGTTGCTGTGCTGGTGGTGGTGATAACGGTGGGCGCCTGCGGGTGAGGACTCGCTGGGCTCGCTGCTGTACGACGATGATGACGAGCCGATCGAGATGTCCATCCGATGATTAGTGGTACACGAACTATCAAAAAAAAACTCTAGGGGAGTAAACCAACGTGGTGAAGAGGAAGACAAAAGGAGAAAGAGTGCCGCTATATGTACGGCTCTAAAAAGCAAACGGTGCCCTTAACCGGAGTGGGATGGCATAGAGCGTAACGTGTGATTTACTTTCCTTGTTGTGCAAAAAGGGAAACGTTTGATTCTCCTTGAGTGAACGTCTAGGTCGAGTTGGAAAGCTATTTTGTTGTTGTGCGCTTGTTTGTTTCTTACCGTCGTGATGAGCACACAGGGTGGCGAGGAGACGCAGCCAGTAGCGTGAACGCTCGGAAGGACGAAAGTGTTTTCCGCGTGTCCTGCTTTTCATAGATGGGCGTGAAGCGTTGGGCAAAAACGAGACAGGTAGACGATGGGGAAAGATTCGATACAGACATAAGAGCGGCAGATGGCATGGGAAACGGCTACCTTCGCCCATTCACAGGTAATCGAAGGAAGCGTCGAAGACGAAAGTCGTGCCCGTGACGTATGGGGGCACAATTTGCCCAACTCAAATTCGGTTTCACAGAAGAAAAAAAAACGGCCAAACACGGAAACAACAGAGACGCTCGTTGTTCAGCAATTGGCACACGGCAACGGGAGACGCAACTCGTAACTCCTTCTCGATTTACTGCTTGACGGTGATGAGATGCTGCAAGAACAAACAAACAAAACAACACGGATTGTGGGCACACCAACCCGCGGAATCACCAAACAACAAAGCCAGTCCCAAAGTAAAAGCAAAAGGAGACAACGTGACCGAAACGCGAAAGAGAGAGAGAGAGATAGCGAGAGCGAGAGCTCAGAAAGAAGCAGCATGAAGTTGATAGCGGCAGACAGAAGAAGAAAAAAGGGTTCGGCCGCCTCAGCACGTTTCTCCTCGTCTTTCGTTGCTTTACTTCGATGACACTTCAGAGGTGCGCCTCGCAGCAACACCAGCCCCTTCTCCCTCCCTCCCTAACCCCCCCTCCTCTCACTACCAACGATGAGCAACATCTTCGTTAATAGGATGATGCCACGCCTGACCACGCTCCTGCAGCTGACGCAGCTGCTTCTCGCGATCCGCCACCTTCGCGCGCGTCCACAGGGACTCCGCAACGTGTTTGTTATCCATGTACGCCATCCAGTTCTTCTTGAGCAGCCGGCCCTCGTCCATCGGCGTGTAGGGGGCAAGCAGCTCAAAGGGCAGCACACGCTTCTTCGCGCCGGGCGCGCCACGCGGGCGGTACTGCGGCCCGTGCTTTGAGAAGTACTCCTTGCCTTGTAAGGTGTGGGCCCACTGCTGCCCCTGCTTGCTGGCCAGCCACTGCTCCTCCCACGCGTGGCGTCGGCGGACCTCGTCTACCGGCTGGTGGGCCTTGGCCATCGGAATGGTGCGGTGCGTTGCCGCCTCTGCGCCGTCGCTGGTGCGCCGCAGCACACCACCGAGGGTTTCAAGCGAGTCCTCCGACACCGTGTAGAACTCCGGATTATCGCGGATGCCGAGAATAACCGGCTTCAAGTCCTTCAGAAACTGCTTGTACACCCGCAGCTCGGCCTGCTCCATCAGCGCACGTCCCTGCTGGCACGCGTCGGAGTAGGCGGCCATCACCAGCTTGTGTTGCTGCGCAGGTGTCAAGTCCTCCACGGCGGGGTTTACACGCACGCGCTTCACAAATCCGGCGGGCGTCGTCATCACCTCCACGCGGCCTCCCCAGGCGTGGCCGACCACGGACATGCGGTCAAATCGAATTTGATACTCGTACTTGTTGTTGTAGACGTACGCGAGAATGCGGTGGAACTGTCGCTCCGGCATGAGGCGGCGGTGGTGAGCCCACAGCGCACCCCGCACCCGCTCCGTGATGCGCCGATACACCTCCATTTGGGTTTATTCCTTGTGCAGTCTCCCTTTTCGCGAGTGCGCTGGACTGGAAAAGAGAAGTAGAAAGGGGAGGACCTTTTCCGGGGCTACGCACAGTAATGTCCCCTTCCAATGAAGTACGATGTCCTACCTCCACCTCCAACAAGAGGCGATGTAATGAATGCTGAAAACGGCAAGGAAAGGTGGGAGATGAAATGAGGGGGTAATAGTGCTAAAGAAAGGCACTTGCACGCCTAGGCCGATCTGTCGAAAACAAAGCAAAGAGGAGCTTCAATAGAGCACACATACACAACAAAGGCTCCACCGTGAGCTCATCGCTTATGTCGAATTAGCATGACCGGAGAAAAAAAAGGACCGCTGCTTTTACATTTTTTTTTATTTTATCGGTGAAGGATCAACCGTACAACACATCAACATAACGTCTCCAAAGAATGAAGCAGGCACAACAGTGAGTTCGCTCTCTTCAAAAGATCCGAAGAAAGAAAACACACACTGCTTACGGCATCGCAACACCATAGCTTTGCCAACCCCAAAAAATTGATGTGAAGATGTTCGGCGAACGGCGATCCGCAAAAGGGGCGGCGCCTTCTTGGCGCATCACGGCCTGTGACTCTCGTCCTGGGCACGTCCCAGCACCTGCGGCGTCGGCCAGTACGTTTCCTTCCCTCCGTACTGCTTCCACAAACCCGGCGGCATCGATCGATAGTTGATCTTGGCGGTCGCGTTGAGGTGCATCTGCTGCTGCGAGCGCAGCGTCGGGGCTTGCCGGAACTCATTCATGTACTTCGCCGCCGTGACCTCGCCCTCGAACTTAGCAAAGCTGTCCGTCACGCGGCCGGCGTCACGCAGGTAAGCAGCCACCTCCTTCTTTCGCATGCCGGACAGCGCGGCTTCTTCCTGTGAGGCCTGCAGCTTGCGCCGCAGCGGCTGCATAGCCTGCCACGGCGCCTCCGGGTTCTCCTTTGCGATCAGCTCTTTTAGCTGCTGCGCCCGCCACTTCGCTTGTCGACTCTCGAGAGAGTCGTCCAGCGACGCAAGAGCTGGGCCGCAGGGTCTGCCCGCTTGGTAGGAGGAGAGACGGCCGCTGGCGTCCTCGACGAGCAGCGCACCGCCGACTTTCGTGCCCTTTTGCTTCCGTTGCCACCGCGCCTCCTTGCGCCGCTGCTTCGCTGACTTGACGGTGTTCGGCTGTTGACTGAAGTCCTCCAGGACATCCAAAAAGTGTGAGACGGCGCCACCACCACCACTACCACCACCGGCGCCGTTGTGGCTGTTCCCCCTCGTGTTGTTGTGATTCGAAGAGACAAAGGAGGAAGAAGGGGACGAAGGAGCGGCACCGGCTGGTCCTGGCGTGAAGCCGATCACGCTCGATCGTGTAACCGGCGAAGGAGGAGGCGGCGGGGACGACGACAGCGATTCCGCAGGTGCGGTAGTATTCTCCGTTGTCAAACGCCCATCTCTTCCAATTGTCTGTTGGCGTGACACCTCAGCTGAATTGTCGTCCATTCCTGTCATCATCATCATCCTCCTCCCGGCGTCACCCGGCACGTCCAGCACGGTCTGCGCCGATTGCGGGTTGTCAAGACCGGTGTGCAGACGGTAGCGGCCTCCCTTCGTTCGCGCTACCAGCGTGGGCGCTGCTTCTGTGTTCTGCCGGCTGTTCTCGCAAGCACTGTGTCTCATCCCTTCTTTCTCCGCTCCTTCCGGATATAAAACGCTAGCGGCAAGGTGTCCCTCCTCGGCACACGCTGGGGTGCCTGAAGAAAACAATGCCGCGTCCTGCCCTCCACGTGCGTCCGTGTCACGCACCACCGCCTCTCCTTCCCCCTCCCATGCCGCTGACGCACCGTACGACGGCTGTGTAGTCGCCAGCGGATGAGCGCGGCGCCATGCGAGGAATCGCTCTCGCCGCTCTCGCCGCGTCTGCGCCGCGGCCTCCTCTGCCATTGCGGCCGTCGAGAAAACGCTGGGCGTGCTGCTCGCGTCTTCGCCAGTGAGGAAGAGCGACTCCGCCACGTCGGCGCTGCTGTGGCCCAGACCAACGACGTACCGCTGAGGTCCGCTGTCATGCTGTGCGTCCGCCGAAGGGAAACGGGCAGCGCCATCAGCGGACGCGCTTCCGCCTGATTCGCTGACCCCTCGCTCCCTCTCTGCCGCATCCAAAGGTGGAGACGAGCCGGTGGAGATTGACCCAGCCTGTTCGCTCTCCAGCACGGCGTGTCCATGAGTCAACTGGAAGAATTCCTTCGCCTGTGCCCGCTCCAGTTGCCGCGCCGCTTCAATTCGGTTGGACTCCTCCAGCAGCGCCACCTGCGTGAAGGCCTCTTTCTTCTGCCTCAGCAGATCGCGCAGCTTGTCGCCAGGGATCATGCCGGAGGTTTCCGTGATGAGGCCCCGCAGCAGCTCCACGTTTGTGCCGTCCTTCGCCGAGGTCGGGATGATGAAGGGGAACACCTTGCGGTACTTGCGCCGATTCTTCGTGATGAGCGTGTACACCTGGCGCATAACGGAGGTGACGCGGGAGTGAGGGACGCTGTCGCACTTCGTAAGCACCACAAAGAACGTTCCTTGCACGTTCTCCAGCCACTCAAAGTACTTCACATCCGTCTTGGTCAACCCCCGCTCGCAGTCCATGCAGTACAGCACCGTGTTGACAGAGCGTCGCACGCCGAAGTAGGCGTCCGTCAGCTCAATCGCGGCGTCACGCCACTGGTCGCTCATGCCCTCAATGCCGTAGCCTGGCATGTCCACAAAGGTCAGCTGAAGGCCGCCGCCTGGCAGCTTCACGAGCTGGTTGTGGTGCTCCTTGGCGTGAAACGCGTGCAGCTGGTCCGGCGTCACGCTCTGATAGAAAGATATTTTGCGCGTCGTGTTGGGGCTGCTACTGGTCTTCGCCACATTCTGGCCCAGCAATGAGTTCAGCAGGCTCGACTTCCCCGCACACGCCCTCCCGACCAGCACAATCTCTTGATAAAGCTCGTTCACCTCAAAGAAGTAGTTGTGGTCGCGGAAGATGTTGTCCTCGCGGGCACGGCTGCGGTACGGCGCGTGGCGCTGCGGCGGTGAGAAAACAGCGGAGGAAGAGGAAGAAGCGCCTCCGACGGTCGTCTCAATCGTGGACGAGGGAGAGATTGTCGTTTTGCCGGCAGTGCTTTTGCCGGCACCGGTGTAGATGGTGCCACAGAAATCATCCTCTGCTGCTCGCGTCCCTGCCTGCCGCACCAGGGAGTAGGTTTGACCAAGCATCATCGTGTTGCCCAGCGAGCGTGCCTCGGCGGTGACTCGGCCAAAGCTGAGCGGCGGCGGCGGCACCAGCTTCCCGTTGTAGGTGTAGTCGATGGGGTTTGGGTGGGTGAGGTCGTACAGCACCTGCCGTCGCCGCTGCACCGCTGCCTCGCGCTGCGCCGTGAAGGCGTCCGTGACGAGGTCAATCACATCCTGGCCGACGCCGCGCGCGGCAGGGTGGGCAAATTCGTTGCTCTCCGGCGTCACCGCGTCCAAGTCGAAACTCCTTTCGTCCTTTTGATGCGGGGCGAAGAGAGAAGAGCGCGGCCGTCGCTGATGCGCCGACTTCAACTCGTGTGTTGCAGCGGCCAGGCACGGAAGAAGAGAAGCGGGGGTGTCGAGCACGATGTCGTCGTCTTGGACTTCCGCCATATCGTTTCCCACCGACCACGTAAGCGTCTCGGCGACAACGTGAGACGCGGCGTCGCCTGTGCGGACACGCTCGGCGGTGAGGACGGAGGGGGACGAGGAGGCAAAGGGCAGGCGCTGCGGCTGCAGCTGCGGCCTCCGTTGCAGTGAAAGTGGAGGAGGAGAAGAGGAGGGCTCTTCGGGGTAATGCTGGCTTGTGCGGGCAGCTGCACTGCGAGAAACCGACCACGCTGCGGCACCATCGCTTTCAGGGGACTCGTTTCTAAGCGAAGAGGACGGAGCTGCCTCCTGTGCTCCTGTCGCGTCTCCCCATGGGCTTTGCTGAAGACGCTGCGCGAGTTGTGCTGCCTTGCCAAACGCGGAAGGCTGCGCTGCTGTGCTTCTGTGCAGCAAGCTTCCTCCTCGCGGTAGAGAGCGGGGAGGGCAACGGTTTCCACGGGTGCTGTAGCCTCTTGCGGAGGACGCGGCGGTCGAGTAGATGCACCCCTTCAGCGTCCACCATTCTTGAAGTGACGTGCCATCGAGGTGAGCGACACGACAGTAACATCGTCCATTCAATGAGAAAGGCGGCATCCACAAAGACGGCTGTTGCTTTTAGGAAAAAAAAAAACACGGGCGCCTCGCACCTAAGAAGAAAAAAGGAAAGACGTCGAGACTGTACCGTTTCTAAAGAAACGCAGGCGCAGGTGGAGAGAAAAGATGATCAATGAAAGAGAGAAAGAGAGAGGCGTTTAATGAAGAGAACAAGAGCAGGCAATAGGAACGAGGTTCCACCAATGCGGCCCCAGAAGGCGCCAAGGGGGGGGGGGAAGTTGGTGAGACAGGCCGGATGCGGTCAGCACGCGTGTAGCTGCGTATCCACACCACACACACCGGCCATCTTTGTCCAGCGAGACGGCAAGAGAAGCGAACGACTCAAACATCACACTTTCCCTTGATGCACGTTGTGATTTGCGTCCAAGAGGCGGTGCAATTCTCACCGTGCACACTCAGGAGCGAAACGACATGGACAGTATGAGGCGCGGAGCAGGTAAAGCGTCAAGACGTCTTTTCCTCTTCTCTGCCGCTGTTTGTCATCGCTGCGTCCCACGCATGAGTGACACGCAAAGGGAAAGAAACAAAAAAGGCAAGGCCTGTGTGCGTGTGTGTCGTGTTTCTCTTTCCTCTTTCTTTCGGCGGTCAAGCGGTGTCGACGCCAACCGTTCCAGTCGCTTTCATCGAACTGCCCATCTACATTCGTCGAAGTTGTGCTTCATGCTGCTTTCCGTTTTTTCGCTAGGTGCTTCAAATTCAGGAAGAAAACAAACAAGCGAGAAAACAAAGAAAAGAAAAGAGAAGAGAAACAATAATGTCAACGTCCACCATAAATTTAAAACGAGATGATAATCCTACCATTCAAAAGGGGCTTTCCTTACCTAAAATGGAAAATAAAACAAAGGCGACAATGCGCGAGGAAAGAAGGACTGCCTATCTGACGCTGAAACGTACAAAGAAACCCGAAAACCAGCGCGATATCGGTTGACTTCTAAACGGAAGATGGGGGAAAATACAGGAGAGGCTGTCTTCAAAAGTTGCGTGCCTGTCACTGAATATAAATGATTGGATAGACGCTAAAGAAATCACACGTCACTGCCTGTCGTCGTCGTTGCTTGTTTTTCGTTCTTCACCTCTGCTCCTTCGATGTGTTGAAATGGGAAAAAAAAAACATAAACATAAAAAAAAAACAACGCAAGAAAGCCAAAACTCAGCCGCAGGTACACCCAAAGACAACAAGACGCGGTACAAGAAGAAAGGAAAAAAAACTGGAATCAGCAGCGGCAACAATCACAGCATAACAGCTAAATTTGCCGCAGCAAGCACAGCTTGCCAGGTGAAACTCGGGAAGGGACGGTATTGTTGCCGCTCCCGCCACCCTCTTCGCAGGAGACTGGAAGAAGAGCATTTCGCAAGTGGCGGGAGCGAATGATGACCAAGAGAAATAGGTAGTTAGGCGCATATATATATATATATATATATACATAACGTAAAACAC